CGATTGAGTTTAATTAATAGCCTTTGGATCACAAATTACTTCATTCATTTGTAGCATGAATATGGAGATGTTGTAGCATTTGGCCATACAAAGTTATTTCTACCGATTCAAAACTATCATAATATCAGATATAATATTTGTGTGAAATATTATGCTCAACATTTTTCATGCTTTGCAAGGATTTGGAAAATCAATAATATTATGATGGACATTGGATAAAAGATATAATTGTAATATTTCCCTTGTTCTTTGTTTACACTTGCAAATATTATCAATTTTGCAGTGAATGTCATCAATTTGTTTGATTTTGCCTTTGGTAATGCTTGATGGCAACATTGTGGATAGAGGTTCAATCAAATTCCATAAGTCCTCTTTTTTGAAAATACTTTACATAGCAATAGACTAATACTTATAATTCTTTGGTCCAATCAATATAGTCTTCTTTGAAAAAATATTTTTTTAGATTACTCATCATATTTATAAGTCTTGAACTTGCATTTTATAACTTATAATAAAAATAAATAAATAAATCGCTTGTTTCAATGATCACTTAATGTTTGGAATAAAAAAAAAAAAAAAAAAAAAAAATGCGAATGCAAGAAAGAATACCTTTCTACTTTGATACCATGAAAGAAAAAAATATGTATTATAAAATAATAAGTAAATTAAGATTAAAATAATACAAAAAAACAAAAAAGCACAAAATAGGATGGTATAACTTATACAGTGCAATTGTGACACTTGCAGGTATAAGTACATTGGAAATCATATTGGATGTTGAGTATTCAGCCATGATTCCAAGTTCTAACTACAAGAATTATCTAGGCAAATGATACATAGGATGAATGTCATAAAAATTGCATCAATAGAAACAAACTCCAAAGATATACCAAAGGTTTTGTTATATCCCACATTTAACAGCAACAATTACCAAGGAACAACTATACAAAGTTGAGAAAATAGTTAAAGGAAGAATAGTGAAACTGAGGTTGGGATTGTAGGATCAGATTGAGCTTGCATCAATTGTGAGTCCACTATGTGTGTGTATGTAAGTAGATTAATTACATTAACAATAACGATGGAAATAATCAGTTTGAAAATTATGTTGCTCCTTCTTTAAACCCATACATAGATATAAATTCAATTAAAATATTTTACAACAAGAAATAATTAAAATAAAAAATTTAAGATATATGAGCCCAAACTATAAATTTCTTATTCATAAAAAAATTAAAAAGCTAAAAATACATTAAAAAAAACCATTTTAAGGTGAAAAAAAATATATAAAATAAATAGAAATAATATCAAAAGAAAAAATTATAAGAAGTATATATTAGACTTAGTGCAAAGTCTAATAATATTAATATCCTCATCTTCAAAAAGGCAACAATAAAATATTTGGTAATTAGTATCCTATTATTTTATTTTATTTAATTTATAAAAAAAATCAAAAAATATATATTCATAAATCTATTCTATCTCATTAAATGTAATAGACTTTAATCGAAAATATATTTCTTCAATTATGATATATCTTAGATAATGTATTACTTGTGCATAAAAACATATTTTAGATCTAAACTTTAAAACAAAAACACATCATTTTAAATTGTGGTTTTATAAAAGCATATGATTACATTAATTAAAACTTTATTTTTTATGCAATGGATATTTTTGGATTTTTCTATTTTTTTAAATCACCTCTTTTAGAAATAAAAATTAAAATTAGTATTAATAGATTTTTGTCACTATTAATTTCTATCCAAAGAGTGATTAAACAAAGATATCCTTTGACATCCTATTTCTTTTCTTTAGTAGGAGAAATCTTAATTTTGAAGCATAAATAAACCTTTTAATAAAGAAACATTAAAAGTCTCTAAATTATATATATATATATATATATATATATACATATATATATAATTTATCATTGATCAATATACTAATGACTACAATTCATTTAGAAGGCTTAGATTCAAATGTGGATATTACCATCAACTTAATAAACTCTTTTATTCAAACATTAAGATTCAACATTAATTAGATAAAATCCTCAATGTCGTGGTACTTACAAATTCTTAAATTTTTAACTATTAAAAAGTATAACTCGAATTAAAAAAAAAAAATCAAAAAAAAACTAAATTCCTTGTACAGTAATCTATTTAGTTGACATGTAGGATCTTTTATGGTAAACAACTTTCTTAAAAGAAAGATCTTAAAAAAACCAAAAATTTAGTTTGTAATAATATTAAATATAATAAGATACATCTTAATTATGAACTTTGTAATTTTATCTTTTAAAATATATTTTATTATTATTTTAAAAAGATCAAATAATAAGATCCATGAAAAGTCCAGCCAAAAAAATTTTAGATACAAAAAAATTCTAATTCTTATATTGGCATACTTTAGAAAATATCATTTAAAGACTTTAAATGTAAACCACTTGACAACAACCACTCCATCTTTGACTTTTTACTTTGGAATAAGTCTAATTCAAATTTAATCTTTATAAGAATCTCAAAAATATATTAATTATATTTTTCAATAAAAATAAATATAATAAATCAAGGACTTATGGAAAAAATAAAAAATAATTATTAGAATAATAGAAATAATATAATAATTATTTTTTTATTATTAAAATTATTTTCTTTTAAAGACATGTATAGAATGTTTTAGATTTTTAAATTTTTAGATGATAAATTAATGAATTACTTTCAAAGCCCAACTCTAATTCAAGACATAGATTAAATAGAACTATATAACAATGACAATTAAACATGGCCTAACTATTTTTTTCAGATTTTCATAGACAATATTTAAAATTTGACACAAATAACTATTTTTGGAATATTTATTTTTTTCAAAGCAAACATGGTGCCAAATAAATAAATAAAATAAAAATATAAGATTTTTTTGAAGCAACAACTCTTTGTTATTTCAATCCAAATTACAAAATGGCATGGAATTTTTTAACCAACTTTTGTTATAAAGTAGACCAAACTATATGACAAAACTTGAGCAAAAATAGAACTAACTTTAATTTGGCTTATTTGGCAAAAAAACATTGTAGTAAATGCATGGGAAAAAAAATTAGGTAATAGAATCAATGATGCATGCTTTCTTTGTATTCTAAAAATTCTAAAAATGTTTGTTAACAAATTTTAGAAATGTCTAGCAATAAAACTAATATGAAATTAGATTACAATCCTTTTACACTATCTTATAAAAATTGATCTAAAATAAGTATCTAAAAAACTCTTAATTTACAACAAACAATCTTTAACAACACTCTCAATTACTTCAATGATATGAAAACACTATAGTCAATAGTTATTGAATCTTGTTTTTGGACCATTTGAAAACATCATAATAATAAAATATTTTCATAACTTACATGGATAGAAGGCAAAGTACACGAGGTACTTTGGTTTAAATTGATAGATTATTGTCTAGTTTGTTGGAAAAAAAGAGACAAGAAATGAAAAGATTCTTCAAAATAAACTAAAATTACTATAAAAAAAATTAAAAAAAAAAAAAAAAAAAAAACTTAGATCAAGGATAATAAGTTAGTTAGCTTAACTCAGGATTTTTTCATATAACGTTGAAATATCTTAAATTGTGTCTTGTCCTTGAACCAACCTATAGACCTTGTCAAAAGCCGCCCTTGCACTAATCCAAAAACAACTATTCTTCTTGTAGAAAGATTCCAAGTCCATTCCAAATCCACCAATGATTGGCAAACTTTACAAGGATGAAGTTGGTGGTTTAGTGTGATGGAGGAGGTGGTTTAATATGTTTTTATGGACTGTTTACGCCAATTCATTGTGTTGATTTAAGGGCTCAAAGCATAAAACCCGTTTGAAATTTTATTACAATTCAACCACTATGGCTTTTGTAATTTTTTCTTCTTGAGCACATCGAAACCTTACTTCTCCACCAAAATGTTCTTTTTTTTTTTTTTTTTTTTTTTTTTCAAAACATCAATGTTAATCAGCAAATGTTCAATGCGTCAGTATTAATCAGCAAAATGGTGAATCCCCTTGTGTTTCAAAAAACACAAATAAACAAACCCTAACTACAGTGACTGCAGGTGACAGAGCTCTGTGATGCCCCCACTTGAAACACAATTTCACAATCACCGAGGAGAAGCTGACAATCGTTCATAGATGCATAGGAGAATCATGTGTTTCAGAATCATCATTTGAAACAGTTGTCCTGCGTTGATTTCAAAGGCTAAAGTTAGTATGCATGGCGTTGAGCTTGAAGCATCAGACCCTTATAGCAAACGTTTTTTTGTTAAAGATACAACATGTAGGACCAATGCATTCACTTAGGAAGAAGCCTTCATTCTATTAATAAAACTAGCTGTTTAGAACGGTTGACTGCATAATGCTAACAGAACTCGCTTCCCCTGCATTAAAATATGCAAAAACAAATTCAGAATAGCACGTTCATGTCAGTGATTCCATGAACTAGGAACAATCTGCAGACAAATCTCTTGGCACTGCACATGAATCGCAGCAGCTTTACATCCCCCGCTCGTATTGATTGCAGGTATTGAGTACTCGTCGTTGAAGTTCCAGCACCATTTCACAGTCTCCGAGATGCAGCTGTTGCTTTCTTTACTGTTGCTTAAACTAGCTTGCCATCGCAAATCAGGTAAAGCACATATTATTTGCATATGAATATTTTTTGCATTTGAAAACTCCTCCCGCCATTGGCAGGAATGGGTATCATTCCCAATGGTTCCATGTACGAGAAACGTGTTACAGGGTTCAGGCTTGACCAGGAATTGCTTTCTCCGGATTGGGTTCTATGTTTGCAGTTGCGTGATTAAACCACCAGTAATGCTTCCGTGAAGACTTCCAAATGAAGGTAAAGGTTGAGCTTCACTGTTCAGATCTGGACGAAACGTCTGATCGTGTAGAATAAACGCTACAGAAGCTCACAATTTTTTAGTAGAATAACGCAACTTTCAACCGGAAGCGTCGAGATATGGTAAAGCAAACTTCATTTTTGTATTGATAATAAGAATTCAGTCACAGTAGAAACTGAAGCTACATAGTGTTATAACCTAGGCAAATAGTTCTTGCTATGAACTACATGGCAGGAATCCAAATGGTTCGTCCTCAGAATGTTTCTGGAACCGTCATATCCGTTACTTGGGAAAGTGAATAGAAAAACCAATTATTAAGAATTACAGCGTTGCTGCCTCGAATAATGGTCTAACCTACCGATCAAATCTAGCTTATGTCGATCGATAAATTCTCTGTACAAATGGTTGGTGTCAGGCTGGTCCAGGCTGGTGCAGGCCATGATCATGGGATGAAGAGCTTTTAACACCTCTGAAGACCCTCAAGAGTCTCCGGGTGCGTTAGGAAAAGCTTTCGCGTTGTACACTTGTGATGAAATATCATATTGCTGATGGGTCTTCGTCTATGCTATCAATAACATAATTGTAGACGATTGTAAGAATCGGCAAGTGTAACCAGCAGCGGATGGTTGAAAAACCGTCCTGAAAAAATGATTTGAAAGAGGTGTGTTGATGATCCGGTTCAGTGTAGGGGAAGGCAGCCAATCGAAACTTTGGTATTCCGTCTGACATTTTGAGCTTCCATAACTCTTCTCGCTGTTTTATCAGCGCGCCTGACTTCCACGGTTGCTTTTTCCCCCTCTGCTTTCCTGCGTCCCATCGCCAAGTCGTTCTGCGTCGTCATCAAACCCGAACGATTCACGTCCATTTTGAACTGCAGCAGTGGAATTGAACAACATGATCATGAAAAATTCTTGGGAAAAACAGAACAGATATAAGCAAATTGTGGTTCTTGCTGTTGATTACTTGCTTTTTTAATGTTTACTCTTTGTGTGTCATTTTAATGTGGAAGAAAACCTTGTTCTTATAATTAACATTTAAATAAAAATATAGAGGTGATTCGCTAACCTCAGATTGTTTCATCACAGACGAGGGTTTGGCTCGTTCATGGACTTCCAAGGAATTGACTCCTTTCTCCTCATGGTATCTGTTTATCGTTCAAGGAAACATTCGGGCAAATACGTTAGAATAACCAAACTCAAATTTTAAACTCTGAACACACATCTCATCAACCAACCTCAAAGTGTACTAGTAGAGCTTGAAGGTCGAAGCGTCGTATGCGGCAATCGTTCATTTCCACAGTTAGATAACCCCAAAACGGAAATCAATAATCGAATTAAAAAAAGAGCAAGATTTACCGACCTGTCGGCTGGCCTGAAGTATTTCGCTTCCTCTCTGTGGTTTCGAGCTGTGCTGTACGCCTTGAGTTTTGGAACCGGCTCAAATACCTCTGCCTGTAAGGACCTCCTCAACGGCCTTTGAAGTCCACCTCGATCTAAAGATCACAACCATCAGATAAAGAGTATCAGCGAGTCGATCAGAATGGCTGCCACGGTGAGTAGACCATCATTCCTTGAAAAATTTGACATCCGGATCGTTTTAATCATCAATCACAACGCAACATTAACGGAACAGAACGCGTAACGAAAGCTCAGTACACATATGAAATCGTACCACGAAAGATTTTCTTTTGCGTTTGAGTGTCATGTAACAACACGCCCTTCAACTCGCCACTTGCAGAGCGTTCGAGAGAGCGCACGACTCGTTTAAAATCCATGGACCGGGTTCGGCGTGATTTCCTGCTCACAGTTTGCGGAGGTGGGGGAGGATTCGATATGTCAGAGTTGGGATTGGAGACTTTCACAGCCTCGTGTTGGGTCTCAAGGTCAGAATGGTTGGCAGACGAGTCCCGTGTGCTCATGCCTGCCGCATTCCCCGCTGCCAACATCTGCTGCCATTCAGAAGTTAAGCTGAACTCTCTTCGGAGGGCTTTACATTCTTGTGCATTGAAATTCTCATGGTGATCGTCCGTGTACTGAAATGCAGGCGGAGATTTAGAGCTACGATCTGCGAAAGATACCCCTAAGCATTAGATACTAGCCAGTAAAATGCGCATAGAAATTCGACGAAGTGGGCACATGACGCAAGAAATCAAGAAAATATGACAAAGCTCACAAGGTTGTAAAGAATTCGGGGAGTGTGTACATTGTGCATTCTTAAATGCGAGCATAAGGAAACTCCCCCCGTTGTAGTGTTCGGCATCGATCCTTGAAAGGTCTACAGAGTTTCTATTAGCTGAGCATTTGGGAGGAGAGATGGTCCTTGACTGCCATAGCACCATGTAGAAAACCCTACTATCAGTATCTCACTCGTGGTGACAACCTAGCAACCAAGAAAACTCAAAAAAAAAACATTTAATATTTTTTTTTGAATCCATTACGAAATCCAGGGAATTTGAGCTGGAATGCTTACTCTGGGTTGAGCAGGTTTGGTAGTATTGTAATTCGATGTTTGAAACCGAGATGTGCAGCTGAGATGGTCCGACCCAGAGGGAGAAGAATGGAACGATTCAAAGGAGGATGGAGGGCTTTCATCATCAGGATCGTCCAGCACGGAAATGGGACTAGTCTGCTCCAGCCACGCCTTGACTGTTTCTCGCGACCGATACATGCGCTCGGATGTAACAGATGGAACTGCACAACCACTCGACTGGATCGATTTGCCGGATTCTTGTTCTTCGTGCCACCGAACATACTTGCCTAGCGATCGGTTGGCATGGTTGGAGGCGCGGTTATGGGGCTTGTCTGGGAGTTGCTTCCCCAAGCATTGCGTCGCTCTTGAACCGATGGACATCTCCGCAAGAATTTCGGAAAACTCTACACTACCCTGAGAACGCTTCTCCTTAGCAATGAACCTCACTAATAAATCCTGGTGTCCCGATGAGCCACAGTATTGGCCGCAACGAGGAGCTTGAAATTCAATCCGAACGGAACGTACACCGACGATGATAAATAATACTTCGTATTCCAACCTAACGCTTGAGACTTACTACGGCGGCTGTATCTGACGACCCGAAACTATTTCAGAATGTCCCCACACTACGATGCCAATACCCACATTAATTTCAGCGACAACAACTAACTCAGCGCTCCAAATACTCGTGAACTGAGCCAAACAATCAACCTGCGAAGCCGTCCGCAACCACAAACGTTGCAAGACGAGTCATAAATCACCACAAACTCTCTCACTCCGCCACCCGAGCCACCCACCCACAGGAGACCAACACCCCAGAAATGGAATCTTCAAAACAAATAATCGAAATGCGCACCCAACTCCCACAAACGGAGCCTAACCCACAATGCGCACAAGCAGACCCTCTGACACTACCCCGCCTAAACCTCAAAACTGACTGAACCGCCACTTGCAGACAGACAATCCCAACACGCCCAGGGTATTCTACCTCTCACCAACTCATTCTGCGCGTATCAAACTCTCACCCCACGTCCCTACTCTGCACGCCACTTCTTCTGATCTTCAACTGGCTTCCGAACACGACCAACTGTCAATCACCCTCTCACTGCAAACTACCTGATAGACCCACGTACACGTCCCTTTATACCGAGGCGCAGGTTTTGGCAAAAACCGACGACTGTATAATAAGGCTCTACTTCCATGAACTTGCCACCACACCACAATACCAACACATATTTTTTTCCCCGACTCCGAGTCCGGAGTGTCTGCGAGGCGGCACTAAACTAAGCACAAAAGCTCGATGCAAGGACACCTGGTGGTCAAATTGCTGTGTGGTGACGCCATGAAGGCCGCGTTTGGGGCCCACTTCGCTTCCGAGCTGGTTGGCTGGCTTCATGGCACAAGAAAGTGGGCGCTTGTAGGATTGGATTACGAAGATGAAGGCACCCAGCAAGTGGACGACGCGATGAAGAAGGTGATTCATGTGCAAAACTGTGTGTTCGTCGCCTTCGGGAATCCAATTCCTTTGGCCTGACCGCGTGCCAGGTGGCGAATGGAGAAAACGCGCTGAGCTGGACATAGGGATGAATATCTCGGGGCCGGGTCCACGCTGGACCAAGACCAGGCAGGTCTCGGATGCCCATGTGTGCTGGGGTGAGGCCCCGTTTCTGGTAAGTATCAGGTACCGCACCACCCCCCCCCCCCCCCCCTCGTGCTGTGCTGTGCTGCGGAATGGATTTTTATGTGGCGTGTCGGATGAAAGGGGTCGTTTCATCCATATGGGTTTTATCTCTTTGGTATTGATTTGAATGATTACATACAGGCACTGAAATCTCTCTCTCTCTCTCTCTCTCTATATATATATATATATACATATATGTGTGTGTGGCTGGAACTGACACACAGGTTTTGCAGTGAGTGTTTGGCATTCCACTCGACATGGAGATGCCACATCTTTCAGTGATGCAAGGACTTGTATTCAGAATCAACTCAGTGTGCCAAAAGACTGCAGAGATTAGGTGAAAGGAGAAAAGAAAAAAATCATCAATGATTGATCCATCTTCTGGTTGTTTATCTTCATGAACCCACATTATGATAATTAATGATAATAATAATAATAATAATAATGTATGTGCATTAATTGGGCAGCGGGCAGCAAGTCCAAACGTGTCGCATGGGAAGCCTGTGCAGAAGGGTGGGTAGAGAGCAGAGCACACTGACTGCCAAAGCTTTTTCCTTCCTTTATCTGAAGAAGATATGATATGATAGGGTTTTAGTTCCTGTGCTTACATGAGTGACTACATTCTGAGCCAGAGACTGTGAGGAAGTTACGTTCAGATCCATTCACTCTAGAGCAGAGCAGACCAGCCTTCTGGCAACTACAGCAGCAATTCCTTCCACAGGATGATGAACTAATAAACTGGATCAGCCTGACCCACCCCAACAACAGACACGGACGTTGAGGGCAGAGGCCGAGAGGTGGGGTGGGTTATGACTACTCAGGCCCATGCGATATGGTAAACAAACTCTTCTGGGGGAAGAAGGAGAGTATAGACAAAGTAGGGTTTTGTCACGTTGTGAGCACTCTTCGTTTCCATATTTGTCCCCTCTCTCTCATTGGGGTTCTCTGCAAAGGGGCATTATATACCCAACCAAGCCTGTGAGTAGTGGCCCATGTGTGGCTGACCTGGAGTAAGGGGATGCGACAAATCAGGTCAGTGCCTGTACTGCTTGCTGCTGCTGGGTACTCCTCATTGTAGTAGAACCCACAGCTCCATAGCCAACAACAACAACCATCACCACAGAGCCAGCAGCAGCAAGCAGCAGTGGCAGAGGAGAGAGAGAGAGAGAGAGAGAGAGAAAGGAGGAATGCTGCCTGCCATTGAACCTGGCTACTATTATTGCACTGCTCTGATGCCTACTTGGGGGCTGAGCTGTGTCCAGTTTGTGCTCAACACAGGAGCAAAAGTCCTCAGCAAGCAAGTTGAGGAAGGGCACCATAGCAAGTTTTAGGGTATGGAATTCAGTCTCTCACACATGTTTGTGTGTGTCTGTGTGTGTGTGTGTGGACTACATGAAACCCTGCAGAGTGCTTCACCCCCCGCAGCATGATTTTCAGGGGAGGGGGTGGATTCCATTTGCTTTGCTTAAGGGCAGGGAGTTATATCATGTCATCTTGGGGGAACATCGGACATGCTTCACAAAGAAAGGAAACAGTTATATACATGTATATATAGAAGTAAATGGAAATGAGGAAGGATAAATGTAATTCTGGGTAAAAGGCAAGTTGCAAGACAAGGTGTCAATAGAGCAGGAGGGTGTTGTTGAATGCACAGGGTTTGATTCGAGAATACATTCCTGTCTTGCTGGCATCAATGCTTTGGTCAATAGATAAAAATTGAATTGATTGACATAATTTATTCTATTCAGTCCTCAATGTTGTTTGTAATGAATGATAGTACTGTTTACTATACTAAAAATACAGAACTAATGTTGTGCAAAGTAACACCTTATTCTTTCAAAACCATGTCTTTGTCATCGAATTAATTCTTATTTACATTTTTGTTGACATCTTAAATATATCTTCAAAAAAGACAAATATTGAAGATATATTGATGGTTCGGTGTTCAACTTTAAAATATCTGAAACCTTCCACAAGTTTGGTGAAGGTAGATGAAGGTAAAAAAATGGTTAGAAGGCAGGATTTACCAGCAATTAGAAGTATGGCAAAGACTAAGATTAACAAAAATAGGGATTACATACCCAACTGAAATGTTTGGCTAAGCTGTAACTTTTGTATTTTTGTACTTTTGTATTTTTTTATTTTTTATTTTTTTGTGTGTAATTAAGAGAGTTCTACAAAACAAAAAACAAAAAAACAAAAAAATACAAAAATACAGAAACACAAAAAAGACAAATCATATATCATTATGAAGATATTTTGTGCATCAAACTGTATGTATTATGGATGTCCCACATCTTTGGCATCTTTGTAATTTAATAGTATGCACCTGTTGTTGCTGTAAGCTACAAAAGAGTTGTATCCAATTGCAAAGTAGTTCATTATTATGTTTATGTTATTATGGATTTTTGGAATCTTTGGAGGACAACCTGAAGCACAAGATGTGCATGGGGACATATTCCTCTGAAAACACTTGTACTCAAATGCAGAGGAGGATTTGATGGTTTATTGAATCCATTGATATTTTTGTGGAGACATTAGTGTTTAAAGAGTACTTTAATATAATTTTTAAGAATTGTTTTACTGTTTTTGAATAAATATTATTTCATAAAACACACCACAATATATATTTTTTAATGCATATTTTGAAATTTTGAGGGTTTTAGTTGAATGTTTAAATGAAATAATATAAGAGCACTAAGGTGAAACACATCAGAATTCTGATGTGTTTGAGTTGAAATGTCATAAATGAAGAATTCAATAGTTTCTGAAACAAACATATGTATTTTTAAGTCATGAATATAGTATTGAATTTATTTGAAATAAGTTCAATTAAAGGTAAAAAAGTATAAGTCACTGAAAATATTAATGGAAAAGCTCTTAAACATTTAGAATTCATTTTTTTTTTTTTTTTTTCAATAGATCTATGAAAGATTATAACAGATACAAACAAGCTTTCATAAAGAAAAATAAAATAAAACGAAATAAAATAAGAGCACCAAGATGAAACAAAGTTCAAGGTGACAGAAAATATATTTTAAACTATGATGATAATAAGCATTTTAACGTGTCCAATTGTGTGTGACAGATTGATCATGCATTTTTAAAAAAATTGTGTTTGAATTTATATCAAGGATCATTTCTATACATTGACCAATGTCAAAGAAACTTGTGTAGCATAAAAAAGATGGAGATAACTCAAATTATACCTCAGAGGCAATAGTATTGAGACACACACATTTTATGATGCAAATTGGATGAACCATTAAAGAATTGTATATATATATATATATATATATATAGAGAGAGAGAGAGAGAGAGAGAAATAAAAGCTATTCTGTAGAAATACAAGAAAAAATCTGTAGTTACATGTTTTTATCATGGAAGTGGAAAATATGGTTATAAGCTCATATTGTACAGACTGTATGTGATTTAGAAAACTCAAGGAAGACATTTAACTTATGCAAGCAAACCCAATATCAATTGTACGTGACAACCGAAAATATGTTGTATATTTAAAAATATCCAAATATTATACTTGAAATAAAATATAACCACATGTTGATAAACTCCGTTATAACAATAAAAAAAATAATTCAAATAATTTAAAGTTATATTATTTATGATTTTTATAGATATTTTAGATATTGTGGAAAAAAATAATGAAACAGTTGTTGTGTACCAAGTTTAAGATAAAATAGAAATTCCTTGGGTGACACAAACTGTTTTTAAAATGGCATTTTTTTCTTCTTCACTGATTTAGTTAATTAAATTTCTATCGTTTTTTTTGTTCTGAGTGTCACAAAAACAACAATATTAGAATTTCAAAACTCGAATTTCTTTAAGCTTTGAGATAAGTAGGATTCTGAGTAGACATTTAGTGGAGTAGCATAGAAAGTTGTTAACTTTTAATTTTTTAAAAAAAAATTCTCTAACTGATTCTTGTAAGAGAAAGATTTAATTTTTTATTGACATATTTTTACGTATTATAATATTCTAGTCAAAAGAACAAAAAAGATTAAAAAATAATTAATCATCCTTCAAATTTATACAATCACTTTATAGTAAATAATTTTATTTTCATAATTTTAATATATATATATATATATATATATATATATATACATATGATGTGATTGTTGATGGCTGAGATTTGAAACAACTACGATTCACTAGAAACTTAAATTGATTATCAATTTACCACAGCAACAAGCAAGATTGTATTGAGGTTTTGATTAGGTGTCCAAATTTCATTTTAGAGAATTAAAATTAGGAAAACAAAAAACTAAGATCTCCAGTGATCTGAACATTTCTACACATCAAATTGTGGGAATGGTACTTGTGTTACAAAAACTACATCAAATAAATATTAAAAATTAATCAACAACTAAATAATTTGAAAGTCTAGTCAACTTTTAAAAAATAACAACAGCAATAGTAGTAATAATTTTTATGCTCACATTCTAAAAACAGCACATAAACAACACAACATTGTTCTCAAATCATTTCATGAAACACACAACCACTCAGTTGGGGAGGGTGCTCCATTCTGCACTTCAAAGTCCCCTTCAGTAAAGCACTACTAGACAACAACAACAACAACAACAACAACAAAGCCACATGCATCTGAATTTTCCACAACACTCTGTAGAAGCTCTGTATGAAATTTGGAATTTAAGGCACATAAATTGCAAGCCATTTCACAGCTTTGAGATACTGAAGCAGACTCCAGGGTTTCCCCAGAGTGTTGCTTCTTCAACGCACATGGTTGAGATGGGATGAAATATCTTTCAAATAACTAAACATTTGTAAATGCACACTTTCAACCCATGCAAAGAGCTCCGCTGCATTTCAACCACAATACTTCCACTTCAAGTATAGTATCTATGACATAAAGATATATATAATGTTGGGTCCCTTTGAAGAATGCCCAGATCTTTAGCAATTGAGCAAATGGCAAAGCTGCACCTAAGCAAGGTCAGAGTTGTGTGTGTGAGGTCCTCGTTATGGTCTTGTGAGCAAACATTTTTTGCTCTTCTCTTTAAGGCAAATGAAACGAGAGAGAGATACCCTCACACAAAAAAAGCAAACTGATGCTGCACTCAGTTTCAATGCACGATGTTTCCATTTATGTCTTATATTCTCAACTTAAAAAGCCTGGTGGACCGTTTCTTCTTCAAAAGCAGCATGTGACCCACAGAAAAAAATTTGCTGGTCAAAGCGTCTCAGCAATTGTGGGTAATGGGATCCTCAACAAAGCAAAGTTGAAATGCACAAATAAAATTGCACATTTCAAGGGTTGATTTGTCACAGATGGCAACATTGTGTATGTCTGTATATGAGGAAGAATTAATACTATGAAAGCATCTGCGATTGATTCAAAAGCCAGAGATATTTATGAACCAATTTTGACTCACACTCATGCTGCCCTCACTCAACTTCTATTCTTCATATATATATATATATATATATATATATATATATATAATTTAGTGATATATTTTTATTTCTTTTCCATTTTTTACACTTGGATTTTTGTGTCATGACAGGTGTGTCAAGGAAGATTCCAGGGGGCTGTTGTAGGCGCTGACTTGTCATGAAGAGAGAGTGACACCTCAGGCATTGAGGTCAAAGTAATTAAGCATTGGAGGTGTTTTCAAGTCATAGGATAAGGTCACTGCACCTTGTGCGGCTCCATCTTTTGACTTGATAATGCCAAAATTTTATTATAAAAAATGTAAAATAAAATAAAAATGAAAAAGGTTGACGGAAATGGACCCACAAAGAGGCATCAAAAAACGAGGTTGTGCAACTTGACCTGAAATTGATCAAACTGTGTATTTGGCACTATTATCTCAATTCATGATGAGCTCCTATCACAAGAATAGGAATATATATATATATATATATATAGTAACTAATGAAGATAAAGGTTACAACATGTGTAACAATTGTCAAAGCAATTTGAGTTTGGAATTTTTAGGAACAAGTGAAATCCAAGTGTGGTACAAATCTCCAAATGTAAAAATTTAAACACATGTTTTGAAATGTATTTGTAAAGCATTTTATTAGTGTTATTGTGGATTAACAAAAAGAAGGATGGTGGCAGCATTTAAGTGACTAAAATCTGTATGTAGATTCACCTTGTACAAAATAAGATTAAACCCATCTGAATGTTTAATTCTCTTAAGTTATTCAATTGGAATATTTCAAGGGTGTTGTTAATACCACCACAGTTTTTGCTACAGATACTACAATTTGTCATCCACAATTACAATTTTGCGATTGCCACCACAACTTAACTTTATTAACTGATTATACATATATATATATATATATATATATATATGCTGAAAAAATTAATCAAATTTTTTTTGGAGTAAAAAGAAGAAAAAAAAAGATGTTGAAAAAATGACAAATTGTGATGCCAATACCCTATTTCAAAACTACACCAGAGATTTTATGTTTTTTTGACTTTGGGTTTACTGTGGATTTGAATTACTCTGAATTGCAAAACTTCCAAAACTCAAATTACATATTGTCTTAAGGAGTCAGTCATGGTTTAAAAAAATTAACATATGAGAATGGAAAAGAGTTAAGCGTTAACTTTACACTACGTTTTTTAAAAGAAATGGCCAAACAGCAAGAATCATATTGATGACGGGTGAAAAAATTGTCATAAAATCTTTTTAGCAATTAGTTTGGAAAGGCTCTTGAGGTGACTATAATGATTTCTTGCCAGATTGTCTTGTTAGATCCGTAGGGGAAATTCTAAATGAAAATCTTTGGCATGTGACTCCTTGTTGAGGACCACAGACATTCGTTCAAAACTGAAAGTTAATGATAGAGGATTGATGTTCCAGATGTTTATAGTTGTGCGCTCAACGCTGCAAAAGTCACCCCAATTGTTGAACCTCTGCAGGCATCACCAGATGCTCACGAACATCCACTAGAGATCTGCACGTTTTGTATGTTCCCTGATCAACTCCTCATTATTTCTTAACGAGCATCCACCGACAAGTAGTGTTGAAAACGTCGGAGCATGAAGGAATGTGTAGGAAGACTGAAAGGAGAGGACCTTGAGACAATAGATTGAACACAAATGCAGATGCTGTTAGTGGATTTGGTTTACTTCCAGATGGTACAAGCGAAGTCTCCAGTAATGTGTGAGCGTATGGTACTTGAAAACCGTGATTGTAACATGCCCGAAGTCCCTAAAACAGATTCTCTGTTCAGACGGCAGCTCTGAATTCACCTAACAAATCTATACAAAAAAATAAAAAAGTGAATTTGGAAAAATAATGCTAACTGAAGAATTGTGTTTGATTGGTCGTGTCAAGCAATCACCTAGCCATTATATGCAAGTCACCACATCAACGTGAATATCCTTCAGCAATCCCACCACCTGCTGCATAGTGGGTCGCTTGACAGGCAGCTCCGCAGTGCACAAGTATCCAATTCTGAGCGTCTCCAGCATCTCACTCTCCACGCCCGTAGCCAGAAGCTTTGGGTCCAAGCACTTGTAACCCTGCTTCTCACGTATCAAAGTCCTCACCCAACCGACCAAGTTGCCTCCATAGCTCTCGTGGAAGTACTGACCTGTAGGAGGCTTCCCTGTTACAAGCTCCAACAAGACGACGCCAAAGCTGAAAACGTCCCCGCGGCTGGTGGCCTTCCAGGTTTGGGTATACTCTGGAGGGATGTAGCCTGGTGAGCCACCCATCAAGGGCCCCGAGTCACAATGTTTCCCAGATTCAACCAAGTCCGCAAGGCCGCAGTCCGCCAAATGGGGCTCGTACTGAGAATCCAGCATGATGTTGGCGGTTGTCACGTCGCGGTGGACTACGCTAGGGACGCTGCCATGGTGCAGGAAGGCAAGTGCTCGTGCTACGCCGACGGCGATTCGGTGCCGGATTGGCCATGCCAACTCCTCAGGGACGATGAACCGCTCGGGGGCATCTTCCCATTTCTCCTTCGTCCAGTTTTCTGGATGATGTGTATCTGCATGTGTACAGGATGCCACATTTTAAACACTGCACATTCAGCCTCTAATGCCAGAAATGAAAACAAAGAGCACAAACTCAGCACAAAGATTTTTCATCTGTTATGCACTCTACGTTTACAAATCAAAGCAGCATTTTTTGTCTTTTCTTTTCTTTTTGGGCTGTCACAAGACAATGAAAAAGAAGAGCACTTCCTGAGCATGGACAGAAAGTGCACAGCTATGCAGGTTCAGATCCAGGGCGACAATCTGCTAGCTCAAGTCCAGAAGTCACAAGCAATATAGTTTTAGCAATCAGGTTGAGCTTGAGAATGAGAATGCATGTAGTGGCACGCAGGATGCCATCAGCCACACAGAAAACAGGATCACTCGGGGCATGGAAAATTTTGTGTCACCTGGTGAGTCGTGAAGGCGTTGGTGGACGTCAGCATTCTCCATGAATTCATAAACTAGAAGCCTCTCGCCCCCCACTAAGCAATAACCCACTAGGGACACCAGATTCTCATGCCTGATTTTCCCCAGCGCCTCCAGCTGTGCAGCTTTCTCCAACTCGTTGGCAGGGCCACAATCGCGGAGAACCTTGACGACAATCTTGAAGCCCCCTTGTAGCGTCCCCTTGAATGTCGGTCCGTATCGCCCATCAGCGATCTGGGAGTCGTTGTGGAACTTGGACGTGGCTTGCAAGAGATCGGCAAATGTGAGATTAAGCAAGGGCTTCTCGAACATAATCACTGGAATAGACGCTGGTTGCGGCACTTGGCATGCCCATCCACAAGGGTCCGACTCAAACGTCAGAGGACCTGTAAGGTAACTGGAGTTATCTTTCCTGGGCTTTTTCTTAAACCTTTTGCGCTTCTTGTGAAACAGCATGTATGTGCTAAGTAAAGCACAGAAAGCCAGGCAGAGTCCAATCACAATACCCAAGACAGCACCTGCTTCCATGTCTTTCCTGGTATGTCCTTTTCCCCTCACGATTGGGGGATGATCAATTAGCGGAGGTAGTGCAGGATCAGGAGAAGGGTTTGGCAAAGGGAGAGCCGAAGGAGCAGTGGAAGTGTCACCAACCGGGCAAGGTCTATTCACAATTCCACAGAGAAATGAATTTCCAGTAAATGACGTATTAGCAAACTTAATCCACTGGTTTGGCACTTCACCAGTCAGGTTATTGAAGGAGAGATCCAAGCTACTCAGATTCAGTGAACCAAGCGCCGGAGGGATCTGTCCATTCAGGTTATTGTAAGAGAAGTCTAGAGTCGTTATGTTAGTTGTCAGAGACAGATTTTCAGGGATGGGGCCGGTGACGTGGTTGTGAGACAGATCTAGATGTACCAAGCTCTGCAATTCACCGACCGAGTCTGGAATGGAGCCATTTCTGTTGCATGATGAAAGGTTGAGGTACACGAGACTCCCTGCATGGCTTAAGTCTGGAAGAGATCCCTCCTCGAACTCATTCGCCGCTAAGCTCAAATGCTGCAGTGAAGTCTTCTTAACTAGACCCATCGGAATACTCCCGTTGAGACGATTTGCAGAAAGATCTAGCTTCGTCAGTAAGGGCAAGTTGGCCAACGTTTCTGGGATGTTGCCAGTAAAGTTGTTCCAACTAAGGTCCAATTCCTCTAGCAGTGTGGTGAAGTTACCAGGTATAGGGCCTGAGAACCAATTCCTTGTCAGTCGAACCACTGCCAGATTCTCTGAGGCGAGTAAACCGTTCGGAATGGGCCCACTAAAAAAATTATGGCTGCAGTCAATAAATCGAATTTTTTCACTGCTGGTACCCCACGGTAGTGGAGGCAGAGGACCCCAGAGTCTGTTCTTGGCCACTGAGAGAGACCGCAAGTAGGGAATCTTGGTGATACTCACCGGTAACATACCGTGCAGATTGTTTGAGGCGACATTGAACTGCCGGAGCTGTCCCAAGTTGGAAAGATCCGGAATTTCACCTTCGAAGCCATTGTTTGAAAGGTCTAGGACGCGGATCTGCCATAGCCAATTAAACTCCGGAAGAATTGGACCAGTGAGAAGGTTGCTACTCAAGTTCAGTTGAGCCAGCTCTTGGCTTAGAGAAAAGAAGATTTGGTACGGCACGTTGCCTGTGATTCCATTCGAGGATAAATCAAGGTATCTGAGGAACCTGGTATTATTAAGCATAGGCATGGGCCCGGTGAAGTTGTTGCCATGGAGATCCAGGACATTAAGACTCCTTAAATTGCCAAGAGAATTAGGTAATGCCCCGCTGAGAAGGTTTTCTGAGAGGTCTAACTTCAATAGCTGGTAGAGGTTGATCCACTGTGGTAGGATTCCAGTTAGTCTGTTGTTGGCAAGCCCCAAGTGCATCAGGTTTCGCAGGTTGAAGATGTCATATGGGATACTTCCTGAAAGGAAATTGTTGGAGAGTTCCAGGACCGTCAGAGCCGTGAGAGCACCCAAGGTATTGTTCGGAATGGATCCATTCAAGCTTAATCCACCAAGGTTCAACGTATAAATCCGCTGTTGGGCACCCAACCCAATGCATGTGAGGCCTTCCCATTGGCACGTTGGGACTGAGGAGTTGAATACCAAGGAGTAGTCAGGTAGGACATTCCTGAGGAAGGCAATGAGGTTCTCTTCATCCTCTCGCAACGTTTGAGCAGACGCGGTCCCATGATTGAGTAAAATCAACACCACTAGCAGCAAAGTTACAATCTTTCCAGTAGGCCCCGTCATGTGTGTGGACTTACTTAGGTGCTAGTTTTCTCTCATCTCGGTCTTGTCAGAGGACGGAAATACAGTTCTCAAGGGAAGAGTTGGGGCATTTAGGGAGATATGAAGCACGGTATGCAGTATGTCTCATGATTTTTACTTGTACATGCCCTGCATGATCGAAGAAGCAGCCGAAAGTACTCCTCCAATTCGGTCATCTGGTAGGATGCAGTAGTACTCGCTGCAAAGTCTGGTTCCAAGGCTGAGAGAACCTAACTACTGGAAGACAACTACACCTCCTGTTGGCTTAGAGCCATTGCTGCAAGAATGCGTCTGCTGCATCATCAGAGCAGGAGAAACTGTCAGTGAATACCATCTTTTTCTGGAACAAACGTGCGGCAGACCTTTCACATGTCTCAAAAAGAATATAGCAGTACTATACATTTCAGATCACAGATAGACATATTTGTGACTTATAAGCACAATACCGTAGCCACCAGCTCTAGATTGTGCGTATGACTGTATCACAAATATAAATAGGCAGCTCAAATCATACGTTTCCAAGTTGCATACCATCACAGATGTTCTTGCTCGTGTGAATTCCTTTTTGGGGACAAGTTAAGCAGTAGAAAATTTCACAACCATGAAACTCGTAAGATCTTAACTGCAGATACATGAGAATTTAACTCAAAAGTTCGTATGGCTAGAACGTACACTCTACTGAGTTTCTTTACAAGTGTGATCAGATTAAAACAACACGATCAGAGAAATCGAGCACAATGAAAATGCAGTCTTTACTATCATACAAGAGTGATCCTAAGATAGACGTATACTGTACATGGTATCTCTATCAAGGACACCAGGAATGAATTTGAAGCCCTTTGACTCTCTTTTAATGTAAACACTACCCTTCACTCGGTACCGTCCCACAGCGAGATTGCTCCTGCTGGGTGCACAGCGCATGTGATTCGATAGTTAGACTGGCTATGGAAATTACGAGTTTCTGTAAATACTACTGTTGACTCCTGGGAATGGCTGTGACCTAATACGATTTTCGCAAAAAGTGTGCAACTCACACCTTGGACCTATTCGCCTACACAATTGTCCCAGTTTGAACTCGCCGTGCCGGCCACATTTCGATACACCAGAATCGCGAAAATATGCCCGTCATTGGCACACAGTCTCACGGAGGACTGCATCCAGAATTCAATCCGAAGCTTCATGCAGTGGAAAACTGTTACCAGAATGCCCGATCACATTACTCTCATTCAACTCTCCGCAGGTCGAGAATTACAAACTGCGTAGTCCATAGTTGAAATACTTTAATCGACACTAGCAAACCATTTCCAGTGTCACTGAGTCCACTACAGACCCAAAGATGACAAGATCGGTATCTACAGACAACTCGGTCGCTCACCGAAATTGCCGACCCTTGATTAAATTGAACCAGGTGATGGCTTGGTGATGAGGACATACCTGTGTTACCATTGCGTGGAAGTGATCACCCCCATTGCACTCTGCTATTCTTTAAACGCGAGCAAACCCTCGAATTGCACAAACCCACGTCAAGCGCTGCTCCACTCCATCCCTGCATCTGTTCCTCGAGGGGCTCCACATCTTCCACCAACTGATTCGCCACTACATGATCCTTTCCGGGGGGAGTATGTGCGGGGAGACCAATGGAGCAGCACGTAGGAACTGAGGACTGCAACGCAGAGAGTTATAAACCAAACATCCCCAAGGGAACGAATCTCCTCCTCCCTCACCGCAATCTACATTGCATCGTGGGGATGCTGCACCGAGTCCCGCAGACTCAAAGTCCAAACGCACGGCGTTGAGGAGGCTTGTGAAACAGGCGGAACTCTCTAACCCTCCGGGTGCAGCAAAGCTCTCTGTTCCGCGCATGCATCACAAGATCCATCAACAACGGCAGCCAACGCAGGGGCGAGCACATGAAGGCAACGGAATTAGCTGCGGGATTGGAATCATGGTCTCTTTCGGAGCCCAATGAGCGCCGACAAGCACGGCCAATGGGACGAGTAATGTGGATCTGGATTGCAGCGGGGGAAGTATTAATAGCCACATCCCGCCTTTCTGCTTTGTCTGTTGCCTTGACAACTTCTCCTCGCGGCCGCACCTCACGAAAACTCCACCTCCGAGCGCGAAACCAAAAAATAAAAATCACCCTCGAAATATTCTACAAACATTTGTAGCATTTGAAGAGATTCGACTGTGACTGGTACAGAAAGTAAAAAAATAGGGCTGAAATTTTTTTAAAAATTAAAAAACGGGATTTATTGATGCAAAATGTATTCTGGGCTTAAGAAAATGTTCGATTACATCTTGAAATCGCTGACTATTTATAGACCTATGCAAATTCACACACAACTCCAACTGATGAAAACCAACTGAACCGTGCATACATTGTTCTACACCATACAAGCTTTGGAACAGGGTGATGATGATTCGATCAAAAACTGCAGTAAGTACGAAGTTTTATATTTTTACTACGTTTTGTAAATGTCAAAGAACAGGGGCAAATTTCTCTGATATAATACCCACAAACATTTTGTTCAAATGTTCTCTTTTGTTTATCTGAAGGCAATCTTACAATCCTGTTAAAATGCTTGTTAGAAATTAACACAACTGTCCGGTAGTCATGATTCTTCATGCTCTCGAACTTCGTCTGTCCGCCATGTCTCCTGCTTCTTCTTCTTCTTCGTCACCACCAAATGCATGCACAGGAACACGACGATGGAGAGAGACCCACACTGCCCCGACTCCAGTTACAGGTGCATTTATGGAGCTTACATAGTCGATTTATTTTTATTTTTATTTTTGTCCGATGAGGAGGAAGTAAAGCATGTTCCTGCACTCGTGCGCAGCGCATTGTGGGTCGTCCTGCCCCGATCTTTGAGGCGACCTGATCCAAGCTCCAGGTCTTCTTCCCTCCGATTCTCGGAAGCTCCAGCTCACCCAACATGACCCAACGCGGGCTGATCACAACGTGCTTCTAGTCCCTGTAGCGTCGCGAAGCTCCCCAGCTTTGCAACTTGCACGTCAACCGACTACGGAGTCAGTCCGACTCGTCACCTGAAGCCAAGGAAGTGGCCGACCTGGTGCAAGTTCTAGGCAGTTCTTCAACTGCAGCTTGTCGCCATAGCAGGGTTACAAATTCCCGCATCATGGTGGCGACATTTGCTTTATTTCCGAGACTCGTAAATTTTGCAGCTATCCCGCAATTCTGCTTTGAGTTTCTTAGAAAATTTAGGGCAGGATTTCGTTTAAAATGCCGCCTTGTTTGGAAACTATGCAGCTTTTCGTTTTAGAATCGTGTTGAAACATAAGATACTGAATTTTGTTCTTTGAAAATGTAAAATAAGCACCACATTTATCATTTGAGATTTGTTTCCAATTAAAAACTTGTGTTCCAAGTGGTAACATATGATGAGTCTTTAATATATATTTATATATATATATATATATATATATATATATGGATTAATTTTAGGAGAATGTTAAAGAGACAGTTTTTTATTAAATTGACCCACCCATCCTAAAAAAATATGACTTCTAGATTCATTTCTCCACTACTAGATCCAAAATCAATGAAAACCAGCCACATTCATCATGATTATCATGTTCTTCATCTTGGGTAGATTGATATAGTAAAAACCTGGGTCTGTTTAACATTCTCCTAATTTTATTAGCTTTACCTTATTTTGGGTGTTCCAAATATTGAACAAATAATTAAGAAATTATCATCATGATAAAAAGTAAAAAATTAAAAAGCAATCTTATTTTACCAACACCAATTTCCCATAATGCTCTCTGTTTTTTTTCTGATAAAATAATATATCGCTCAAGTTGAAGATCATGTTGAAGAGTAAATTTTAGCAATCAACACCTAAACTTAGCCATAACTTGAAGAATGTAAAGTTTGAAACTTGAGGATTTAGAAATGGAGAAAGTTGTAGACAATTTCATACAATTCTAAATTGGGTACACTATTCTAAACTCAGAATGTGCATAGCTACTACACTCCTCAAGTGGAAAATAAAGATGCATTTTAAGGATAATAGCTGCAATCAATGGTGGGAAACATAACACATGAAGCGTAGAAATGAACCAACCAAGAATAATTAAATCCCCATGTATCTCAAACAGCGAACATGCCGGAACAAGGCTGTTCTAATAACGCAAGTCTATAAAGGTTCACAGGTGACAGATGTCCTCATCATGACAATTCTTGAATGAATGAACTGACATTGCTGCACAACTGTGTTGGCTGAAGTATCTAGCTTCTATCTCCTTAGCCTAACTTCGGCAGATCAATTGAAGTTACTACGGCGGAGTTCCAATACTTGAAGCCTCACTATGTTACAAGGACGCAATTGCAATTCAGACCTCATGATAAACATGCTAATGATTACAAGGGAGATTGGGAGATGGAGCAGATCTTGTCATATCCTGAAGAAACGTATCTATCTGAAATTACGGGTTCTTTCGTGGCACCACAACCATCACTATTAGCACAAGCCAAATTGCATTCGACAAATCGATAGCATCAGGATCAACCAACAAAAAGAGTTTGAAATAGAAGCCCTTCAACGTGAGACAAGGTCACTCAAAGCAGCTCTAATAAATGTCTGAAAACGTTCATAAGGGCAAATCACTTCTGATAAAACCTGTTGAGGTTTCCATCCCGAAAATTGCCGAAGATAATAAACAATCCCAAAGTTTGAACTGTTACTAAAGGAAAGATACGCACTAACCTGCTAATGGTGAGCGTGATAAGTGACAATGATACTGCTCAGATAATATATGGCAGTTACATTTTTGAATTAAAACAAACTTGGATTTAACACATCCTTAAACCACAAAGATACTGAGTTCCAGGGCACGATTCAAACAGATAGTGCGTGCAACTAAGGCTTCAGAACGACTTTATCAGAATGCCCAGCAACCGTCAACGTACATGTGAGGATGAGACTTGGTCATCAAGACAGATATAAGATACTGCAGCATTCATTTGACACGTGGCTCGCAAGCCCTCGAACTGTGTCAACTGCAGGTTCACAAATAAAACACGCCTTCAAGAAAACTTTCTACATGTTTGCTTAGTGCAGGAAGTGAAAAAAACGGATGAGCATGCTTTCTGAAAGTAACCTCCAGGCTGACAAATCATATTTAGATTATACAATTCTGCTCCAGGCTTGCAAGACTCTAGACAGCAACCATCAATAAATGCAACGAAATATCATGTCGGGGGATTCTAGAACACCATTCACCTTGGACGAATTGGAGGGTTAACTCATGAAAATAGCCCAAGGAATGAACATAGTGAACCTGAATTACTTGAATACTGCTTTCATTGCCTTGAAGCATCATCGAAAAGCTCCTCTACAACTCCACCAATTGAATCAAAGACTGATGATTGATGTAAGCAACACAACTACAATTATTAGCACATTTTTCTAACCAAGGCATCACTTAAATGTGGTGCTAGGACAGAGAAAGTGATCGATTTGATAAAAGCATGATTGCAGAAACCGAATCCTCACGCTATACAATCTATTTTATAACACTGCATTGAGGAAATCAACCAGCCTTGCAGCACAACAGGAGCTTTTCTCAATTCAGTAAATTAAATACCTTCTGGACTTCAACATAATCAGCTTCGGTAAGTTCAATGACTGGTTTGTTTTCAAGCAGCTGCGTTAAGAATAACAAATAAACACCACCCGTCCAGATTACCCAATGTGGCAAATATGCCTCTTTGATGCACATCAAACAAACTCATTCTCTTTTTGGCGTTGGTAGGTCTCAGTTACAGCAAGGATACTGATTGCCCTACGAACAAATTCCTTGTACGTAATCATGCAAAAAGAAATCATACCTGTTCCTTGGTTTGTAATTCCAAGCTTCTCCATTTCACCTTCAAAACAAACAACCAGAAATAAGCACGACTGCATTAAAATCGTTGATTCAAACAAGTTTCATTCACCATCTACAGTGTTCACATAACTGCATTAGCACACACAATGCGTGGTCCCAGCACAATGTATTTTCCAATGTCAAACACTTAAGAGTTCCATACCAATAACGCGGTCCAACTCAGAGTTAATTCGTGTTATGCAGTCTTTGAAGGTGCCTTTTGGCCTTGAGCAAACAACCATGAGATCCACCATAACGAGGACTGCTACAAAAAATAATCCATTCCTCATCCAAAAATGCAGGACCCCACAGTAGCTTGTTTGGATCTCCCTGTGGTGTTGCCACAAAATACCTATACACAGACTCTTAGACGAAAAAACGAATAGTAGTAGACCACAAATTCAAGCGACAGGAACGAACACTGGACAAACCTTCCACAATACAATGAAAATAAGCATTTGAAGAACTGTTAGTATGACTATTGAAGAAAATCTGATGCCTTCAAGTAGGTGCTCTTGGGCAGATTCTTACTTCAACTGTTCATACTGGACGAGCTGCTGCTGAATTGAACCAAAATGATAATGCAGATCTGCAGTCTGTTGCGGCAGGGCGCCTGGAAGTTTTAGTTCTTTAATCAACAACTCAAGTAGGTTTTGAAGCTCTTGATACACAATAGGATCCATTACCGGTTGTTGCAGTGGAAGTGCCTGTCTCAACTGTCTTAGTGTTGTATCCAAATCGGTAACGCGATCTAGTAGTTCCTTATATTCACATGCCCGCAGGAGGCAAAAAAAATTATAAAGAAATTTCTTCTAAACATGTAGACTTGCATGCGAGCGTTTCTATAGAATCCAGCAAACGCCGAGGCTATAAAACTCGATGCATTTGCGCAAATAAACTTCTAACTAACTGAAACAACACATGTTAAATCAAAACCAGCAAGAATCTGAACGTAAGAAGATTTGACTTGCAACTGAAGAAATTAAATTATTTATAAGACAGCATCGGTATTGGGCATATACTGAAGTGTCCACTAAAAATAAACAACAATTATATGGGCTCCGCACCACCAGAAACTAGATTGACAAAAACGAGGAAAGTCCTCACTGAGGAAAAAACCACATTCAGAAGTACCTCCCTACAAAATGTTAACATGGAAACCATGTGCATATCTGGAATCAGTAAAAATCACACAAGCAACTAAACGCACTAGATGCTGTAGAATTTTCTCAAACAACTGATCACATAGAACAAGACTTCGCTCTATGATTGGAGGCCCCACCCACGGCATCATTTGAATGTGCAATCTAGCAATAGCAAATACCATCTGCTACATTAACAATTTGTCAAGATCTTGTGCTTTAATGATCAGCTTCAGCGATAATAAAGGTACTTAATAAAAAAAAGCATACACATAAAAACCTGTGTACGAGGTTGGATCACCGTTCATGTTAGAACAAAGCAAAATGTGATCCACTACGCAATACAATAGCACCATCACAACAGATGCTGGGGCAAGGTAAAAATCATAAACCATGCTAGAAGAAAACGGTTTAAATTACACACAGAAATCTAAGAGTCAAAAAGAGAACCTTCGTATAACTGAGCACGGAGCCGATGATTGATCAGACACCAACGAAGAACTCACATCGAGTTGAGGTTGATTCATGGCAGCTGCTAATCTAGAGCCACTTTCCAACAATCGTAATGCTCCAGCTTAATCATTTTCGGTAATTAGGGCTTTTGCAAGTTGAAATGTAAAGTTGCACACCCACAGTCCTTCCCAACTCAATGCCAAAACCAAGCTTCATCAGAAAATTCCATTTTCCAGTGCTATGAATCTTGCTAAGGTCACACTACACAGAAGAATTTAAACCACAGCTGCGATCCAAAATGAGCAAGATTCATAGCACTTAAAAGATGTATTCTTCAATGTAAAAGTTCAATTCTTCAATGTAAAAGATGAGCGCTTTCCTTGATACCCATGCTTGAATACATACCCAGCCTTCGCGTTCGTAGGAAGCTCCGATCCTTTTTTTCAAAGTCTGCTTTATAAACGCAATAGTGCCCAGTAGTTGATAGCATCGACTTAGCAAGCTGTGAGCTCGAGATTTCAGCTCAAAACAAGTTGGAATCTGATTTAGTAATAATTGCTGCAACAAAAACAAAGCACGCCCAGATAAAACCAATTAATTCTTCGGGCAAGTGATATGCAGTTCGCTCACGTATTCGCGTCCAAGAAAACAATAATCTGCTAAATTACTTGACCTTACACAGATATATCAATAGCAGTTTTCGCAAAACATTGTCATAGCGACTCCAACAATTTGTTTAGTGTTGCTGCCATAATACACAATTATCTCTTACCCTAAACAAATGGCAACTTCAAATTAGGTTTGTAAGAAAGTCATCTTGATTTGTCTCTAGAAGTCCGCTCAGGCAGAAAACGATGAACCCGGCAAGCAGAAACAGCTTAAATCGATACGCAATACATCAAGTTAAGCGCATAAAAACCTATTTTTTAAAAAACCGCCGACTATAATGATTGCTAGAGACTAATTCATTTAAACAACTCATGTACAAGAGCCTCAAATCATATACAACTTCAAGGTTAGCGCAAGTCTCCATTCTCGGAATAGAAATGTTCATAATTCACGAACAAGACTAGGCTGAATTGAAGTTCCAATTCATTTCAGCTCAAACATCACTAGAAAACGCCGCAGATAACATCCAGGAAAATCTGCATTACAATTCCAACCTCCACGGTCGCATCCGCAAGTTTCATGAAACTAAAAAGTACACAATTCACAAAAAATAGTGAACATCAAGACGAACCCACCTACCAGTCGTTCGAGATGCGCCTTGGCATGGGTGACATTCTCGGTGTGCTCAAGAAGCAGAGCCACAATTCGGAGGCGCGTCTTTACTTCAATCTCCGGCAAGAGCTACACCCAACTTTGGCTAATCGCTTCCAAGCCTTTCACAGCCTGGCGCTGTTACAACCTTGCTTTCTCGTATACATCGGCTAACTTCCAAAATCCTTCCGCTATCGACTCCATCGCAACCTCTACCCCTTGTGATCGATAAATTCCTTCCTTCCTTCCCCTAGCATGTTCCTCTCTCCACGGCTCAAACCATGATCCGAAGTCTCACAAACATCGATCATACGAAGCATTCTAACAAGTCCAAGAGCATTTCTCAAAACTACAGTGGTAGAGCGAGTGATCGTATCTGCTTGAGTGGCAGATTGCACGCAAGAGAGGTTCCAATCTGGAAATTCACGACAAGATCGGAAACCCTAATGTTACCAAATGCAGGTTGCGAGTCTCGGAATAGTGGACTGCACCGAGATAAAGCGTCGTTGTTGAGATACGAACCTGGTGGACACCGTGCCAACCTCCCATCCAAAGGAGCCGTGCATGATTGTTAAATCTGCTGGAACTCGCAACATGTCATTAACCAAGTCGTGGTTGATAACATTTTGAACATAGTATACTACGTGAGCTTATTGTTGTACTGCACGTACGCTTTTGGTACTAACCGTCATTGAAAAGACCATAGAGGTTAACAATAAATAATCACAAGAAACATGTGAACATTATACATATATTTTATTTCAATTATTTATTTATTTAATTTGATATGTAGATATAGATATATATGAATATATATATATATATATATATATATATGATTTTTTGAGGAATACATATATTGAGTAAGGATAAGATTGATGATTTGTTTTGAAATAATCTTCAACTTTTATTTTCAAGAAAATAATAATAATAATAATAATAACGATTGATTACTGTATCACTTTAGTCATATTTACCATTCAAACAAGTCAAAAGAATCAAAATATTATATATTATAAATGGTGTGGTTTTGTACATAACTCTTATGTTTGTTTGAAATTTAGTCCAAAGCTTGGATGAATCAAATGGAAATAAATCCTATTTTAAAAAACTTGTTTCTAATATAACTTTTGCATCAATGTGAATTATGAGTGATTACTAAGATTTGTATTTGATAATTGAAAGAACACTATCTAATAGCTTGATAGTGAAAACACATAAAGTTGTTATACAACTTTGTTTTATGAACATTTATAGTTCTAGAAGGAGAAGTTGAAAATTTTAGTGAAACCTAAGTCTTATGGAATTTCAAAAAAAGAGATGAACCTAGAAGAAAAATTGATAATTTTACAAGCTTAAAATATTAAAGAGAGAATTAAAAAACATTGAACTTTAAAAAATAAAATAAAAATCCTTAATTGTACATATAGTAGGAATATGATGTAATTATTTCATAAAATGTATATATATACATATAAAGAATATAAAGAATATAAATCAAATAATATATTATTTTATTGAAATATTTATAATAAAATAAACCATAAATGATTAATTGCAGCTAGGTCCTTCATTTGAATTCATTTTCTACTCCTTTATAAAAATTTAAGATTTTGGATGGAAAAAGAAAATAAATAAACTTAAAAAAATTTAGTACAAAATATAGTCTTACAAAATTTACTCCTATAAATCAACCTAAGGAATCCAAAAAAGGATAAAATGATATAATTAGAGATATTAAAGAATTCTCTTTGATAATATATTATAATCATATAAAATTTATAATTATTTTTCTTATCTATCTTTTTTAAATTTAATGTAAAATTTTAAAACTAAGAAAGAAATATGTGATTGAAACTATTATTTACTTAGTTATTCTAATCTTCAATCAAATATTATATTTTATTTTGAATTCAAAAACATATCAACTAAACAAATCTATTTGACACATCTATTTAAAATTATATTAGAAAATTTGATAAATAAATTCTTGTTTATATCTATTCTTTAAAACTTATATGTGTATATATATTTTACACACATAGTACTATAAATTATAAATTATAGATTACATAATAGAAAAAATATTTATTATCAATTTGACACCTTAATTTTAAAATCTTATATATGTAAATAGATTTTATTAAATCTTTAATGAAATATTTCATATTGTAAAAATATCAAATTTTGTAATGTTAATATAATATGAATGAATAGAAATTAAATGCCAAGTTTTAGAATCTTTAACATGTATACAATTTGTTATGGATAAATATTATTAAAATTTAGAATTAAAATTTGCATAAGTAGGAGCATAAAGTATTTTAAAAAGGTAAAAAACAAAAAATACCAATTACTTTTTTATTGTAAATAAATAACATATTAAAAGAAAAAAATTATATTAAACTTATATATAAAATTTAAGCAATAATATTGAAATAATATTTTTTTTATTAGAATATCTATACTTACTTAAACTTTGCATATATATTTATAATAAACTAAAAGAAAAATAAATTTATTTTTATATTTTAGTATTTTTTTAATATATATTGACTTAGTAATCTATTAGTTTACATGCTCACTTCTAAATAAGATTTTTTAAAATACTTTTTACTTAATAAAATACAAGTTTTATATTGAATTTATTCACATCATTTAAAATTTGTATATTATAAACATTATTGAAGGTATTTGATTTTTTGTTTAGTAATAATAATAATAATAATAATAATAAATTCTAACACTTATAACATATCTATACATCTAGATATAAATTAGCACACACAACAAATTTAAGTTAGAATATCACTATTTTTAATTTTTTTAATTTTTTTAAAATTAAACTTTTTTAATATTATATGCTAATGAATATATATATTTATATTTATATATGCATACATATGTAAATTTAAATAATTTTTCTATTACTAAAAGATATTATAAAAAATAAAAAATAATGCTATGATTAATTAGACTATTATTTTTGTAATCTATGTTTAATTAATTTTAAGATATGATTCTATCAAATTTATTTTAAGCAATCTTTATATGTTCGTGATATACTTTGATTAATAAGTAAGTTATTATTATTATTATTATTATTATCAAAAGTTGAAGAAAATATTTTTCCAAGAAAACAAAACATAAAAGTATATTCATTAGTATAGAGTTAGAAAATATTGAAAAAATTTATTGAACAGTTATATACAATGTTGCAATAATGTTGTGCTTGAAATGCAAACCAATGTCAAATCCTATTCACATTTAACATGCTATTAATAAATATATACATATTTATATTTACATATTTGACTTAATTCTGTAGTTCATATCTTAGAAACTTTCTTACTTAAAGAATGAATATTGGATAATTGTTCTTTATGATGTTTACAACTTTATGTCAAAAGTAACATAATATAAATGTAGATCATAATAATTTGGAATTTAATATTCTTATTCCATATGTTTAAACATAATTTTCCATTCACAAAAACATTAACAAGATAATAAGGTTTCAAATATATTTGTAAAATGGTGTTTATCTACCACGTATTAAAATAAAACGAACCATGATTTGTGACAACATTAAATTTTATAGATTACAACTGTGATAAAGGTAGACTTAGAGATTTTTTATAAATATTCTACTATGCAAAGAAATTTTCTTCAAAAACTTAAAATTAAGTAAACTAGATTTGTTTGTTAGAAAATTTTGTATAACTTTGTTTTAGTAGCTTTTACATCCTCCAATTAAAAAAATCTACAATACACTTCTAATCTTGTAAGTAACATTCACATAAGCAGGACCTAAATTATCCTCAATTTCATCAAAAAAAAATTTATTACGTTGTCGTACTGTAATTGCTTATAGTATGTAAAAATTAGTTAGGACATATAATATGTTCATAAGTCTTGGTATATGTTAGGATGGTTAATAGATTAATTTGAAGAGAGTGGATATAAAAAACTTTATTTTGGGTTTTATCTATTTTGATTATAGCATTTAAAAAAAATCTATAGAACCTAAATGTTTAACATGAATCCTTAAGATGAGATTAGAGCCTAAAGAAGAAATTTTTAATTAGGAGGAGGCTTATTGGGAGGGATGAAAGCAAGGCATGGTTGGATGAAGGCATGGAATGGGAATCTTCATTCCTATTGGTCAAAGGCCATGTCCAATGGGCATCAAAGAGGCTGCCCGAGGTCTTATTAGGAATTAGGGTTTCTCTTTTAAGATAATTCGAGCTTTGGAGGCTAGGGTCATCAAGTTTAGGTTTTTGGGTACAAATTGGGTGCAAATTTTGTGTGATTTAGAGTTTTTATGAAGGAGTTATTGGCGCTCAAAGTTAAGGTGTCAATTTTGTACCTATTGTCACTCTTTGGGGCATAAGATATGTTTACGGAGAGTAAAAAATGATTGGCAACTGGGGTTGGATAGAACACTTCTTTAACCACACTTTTCATATGTTGTTTAATGAATTTGGAGTTTGGATGAAGAAGTATAGAGGGTTGAAGTCAACACATCCAAATCAAAGGTAGTAAGTAAGTGATTTTGTTCATAATAATGGTTGGAGCCATATCTTGAGTTTATGGAAGAATTATTAGTTCAAACCTTTTGGAAAAGGTAGATAATTGTGTTAAGAAACTATACATACAAATTTTGTGGCATATGGATATTTAGTTTGTGAGATATGAAGAAATTTGCATGTAGGTGTAATAAAACTAGGGTTTGAAGCTACTATTAGGGTTTTGGTGATATCTTAAGATTTGCGATGAATTTATGAATGAAATTTGTTGTGGTAGTTGTTAGAAGTACATCAGTACTTTATGTAAAATTTGAGTATGTAGGAACAGTCCAATTGAAAGATATGAGTTTTTGAAATTCGGGAATAATATCCCATAAGGATATTAAAGGATTTAGAGGTTTTATCATATTTTGGGTGTTTTTGGAAACTTAAGACTTATACATTTGGTGTAGTAGTACCTAAAAGTGTTATATGTATGTATATATATATATATATATATAAACTTGGACTTCCTTATCTCAAGACTTGATTGAGCAATTAGTGGCAACCAGAAGTCCAATGATTTCTTGAGGCAAACTCTCTCTATCTTGACAATGTCTCATTTATCTTGCAACTTGCTATTATTATTTTTTGTATATTAGTATAATCAATTTAATTTTTTTTGTTAAATTTTACCCAAATATATTCTTGCTAATATTGAATCAATGCCATATACTAAAGAAATGTTTAACTTCTTCATATTAAATATAAACTGTGGAGAGAAATTTTATAAAGTAAAATATCAAAAATAAAATTGTCAATTTTTAATTTCATTTCTTAGAATATATCACAAAATCATTTAAGCCACATGATGTTACATTTGGTAGACCACCTACCACAAATAAAATTGCCTTCAGAATCTTCAATCTATCATTCATAAAAGAATAAAAAAAATACAAAGTATGAATATCCCTTGAGCATAACTATATATATATATATATATATATATATTAATTTTATATGCTTCACACTAATCTGTGTTACAGAGTAACTTAGTCCTTTTACAGAGATTAAATTTTTGAAGAAAATAAAATGAATAAGCCATGCATTACTTTTTCTTTTTCATATTCACTTTTCTACATTATATATCTCTTTGCATTATAGTCTTGTAATAATATGAGGCAGAAGAGCATGCATTCCATTGCACTAAAGTTTCATAAATCTTTGGCTTCATTTTTAAGACTGTTCTGTCCGATTAGTATCACATGTATTGTTTTAAAGAAGGTGCCTGATAATTTGGACTAACTTTTTGAATGATTATATATATATATATAGATGTATTTTTTCTACAATTATATACCCCTACATGTATTCTGATGTTTACTAAAAGGAATTCACTTCTTTTCATCAGAGGAAATATATCTAAAGAATAATGGGTAAGACCATGTGAACAAGCATTTTAGTATGCCATATAAAGTAGAATTGGTTGCATTTTTTTTAATGCAGGATTGAATTTACAACTTCAGGAATTTTAAAAAATCGGATTTATATCTTATATTAGATGCGTGACAAAAACAAACTACAATCTCACATTAAAGAATGCACCAGGATGGGAACAAAAATAGTTTTCATTTTTTTTTTAAAAGGTTCAAACTTCATTTAAGAAGCTGCAAAATTAATAATCTGACAACTCATTGAAATTTAATTCCACAACTTGTTGTGCACAATGGATTTGGTTTATTCCAACTATTTTCAAAAGTGGCTCCCAATGAAAACTATATTGTGTGTGTATATATATATATATATATATATGTGTGTGTGTGATACATTTTATTTCATTCCAAATTATTAGTTAAAATAATAAAAAAAAAAAACAAATATGCAAACAGCTTTGCCCGTTTAATGTGCTATTAAGTGGTCCACACACACACATAAGTACTAGTGGAAACCCATGCCATTGACCACAAAAAAGAACAACATCAATATGCAAATTTTGATCTTTGACTGATCAAAAGTTGAGTTATTGCTTCACTTTTGATGAAAACAATGAGATATGCACTGTATTAGAGCTCCTCTGGTTTATCTCCTGAGAGCTGTTTTATATAAGAAATGTGTTGCTTTTCTTTATTTTTCTTGATTTAGGAAAACCATGAATGATTTGCATCCAAAGTGTTGTAGTAAGATTGAGCGGATGTCATCCGGCTCACCGTATTCCCCCTATTCCATACAAAAAAGCTTCGATGGCCTGTTCGTATTCGAAATCTGGAAGCAACAACGAATGCGAGAGAGGTGGGGGGTTTTGTCGTATGGTAGAAACAGCCCAACGCACGCGAGCACAATCAATCACCAAGACGACGCTGATTTGACTTCCACGCACACACAATCATAAAACACGGCTCGCTCGCGACGAGACAGATGGGGACACGCCACAACCGCCAACCAAGAGAGAGCGAGAGAGCATCAGGAGATCCGGTCGCAATGCCGCGGATGGTGAGAAGCCCTGCTCACCAGGAAGGGATGGTGGGTCCCATCGATCTCCTCCCCCGCAGATCGCCAATCCAAACCCCCTCAACACCCTCACGAACCGTTACTGCAACACGCGGCGACATCGGCTGAGCCACACCCCCAGCCGAAAGCTGTCATCCCACCCCCCAATAATGAGCTCGACGGAGTCGAACAGAAGTTTCGCGGAGTTTGAGAGGGCGATGCGCAGCAGGAAGAGGCCTCCTCCCCCGGATCGTGGCACCAGACCTCCGCGAAAAAGACCTCGGCAGTGCAACACCCCGCCACGTTCTCTCCGCTGGGAAACTCATCCCAGATTACCCCAAATATATATATTTTTTTCCTACAGCGCGGCATCAGATCCTCGCTTCAGAGACTCGTGCCGGGAAACTTCGACGCGCCAAATTTAACACCGTCGACTTTTGTTACCACCCCTGCGCTTGCTTTCGGGCCACTGCTGCTCTCGCCTGATCGGACTCGGTGCTCACTCATATTTGCCCCCCTGCCGAGTTGAGCCTCGGTGGATTTAGCAGTTCAAATGTTCGCACTGTTGAGCACGCTTGGGGCTTTATTCTCACGTCCTTGCGCGGACGTCTTCAGGAGTACTTCGCCGTCTCGCACCTTGTACACCGCGATAAGAAACATAAACATTTCTCAGCTCTATTTACAGGCAAAACACCATCCACTGTCGTGAAGGGAAGCTGAGGGAATCGTCGATTAGGGTTTCAGATTGCAGTCTAAGTACACATCACAAGGAAATAAAATAAAAAACGTGTAAGTGGTTGAAAGCATGAACATAAACTTCCCAACTGTTTGTTTGTTTTGTTTTGTTATTTAATGTAGTGTGCTACTTTCACGTCCACTCTTCAGCATAAATTAAATAGTACCCAGATTATGACAGATCCTTCAATCAAGCTAGTCCAGTAGAAGAAGACAAAGGAGCCTTTTCTCTTTAGGTTTGTGCAAATATCCATCCGCAACTTAAATGTGTGTTGTAGAATTAAGGATTTTTGGGGGCTTTTGGAAGGATTGTGTTACGCAGAAACAAATGGTGGGAGTTGGTAGCAGCAGCATTATTCATTTATATATTTAGTTATTTTATCTTTTTTGTTGTCCTGGGTGGGATTTAGACAAGTCAAAGAGTCCTTTTTTGTCTTGAGGGCGCATGCTGTGAATAGATACAAAGTCAACATGTGTGCATTGGAATATGTGTGAACATGGAGACTCTCTCTCTTTTCCACACAAATGCTTTTGTTTGGTTGTGGGTTTGCTTGTATTGGATCCCGGCATAGTTATTGCCTCTTCGTGTTTCTACACTGAGATGGTGAACTTGGACCTGGTTTAGGGTTTGCCTCGCATCACGTCTACATAACGAGAGAAAATCCTAAAAGAAGTATCTTGGTTATTTTTCCTTGAACAATAATGACAGCAGTTACATGGTAAATTATTTCGCCATTCCATAATTTATTGTTGGAGTTGCGAGACCAAAAGAGATTTCAGTAACGAATTGATAATAACAGAAATTGTAAAACTAAAAAAAAACTAGAAATGATTATTTATGTGATGTCGTATAAGGGAAATTTTGGTTTTTGATCAAAACAAATTACCTTATTTTAATTTTTGGGGTCTTTAGGCTTCTTGTCCAAGGTGTGAAAAAACATATAATTTCTAATTGATTCATTCTTCTAATCGGAGAAAAATAAATAGATTAATAGTTATTAATATATTAGTTTGTTTTATACAAGAGACAAATTATGCAGGGCGGATCAAACTTTACAAGCCTTGTTGTATGCTTGTCCAAATCATTGAATTCTAATGCATCGTTTCCTTGAAACACAATCACTTACTTATACTTACCACTGACACCAACAGCACACAACGACTCACAATTTTCCACAACTTCATCAGGCGAAGTGGTGGAAACATTGTGGTATGAATTTAATGAAATGTTTTGCATGTGCATCTCGGAGAACAGACTGTCCAATTCAAATGCACACAAACTAAATGGAACTCAGATTTAATCCTCACACACAGTATTTTTCTTCTCCAGTGTAGATTACTCACAACATCAAGCATTGTTGGATCCAAGCAGAATAGCCCAGGGTCACAAAAACGAAGTACCCCAACAGACATCAACGCTAATTAAACTCCACACTAAATACAAAAAAAATGAAACAGAGAAAGAGAGATGCAAGGGGGGCGTAAAAGAAGGGGGGACGTGGAAAGAAAAGGTGACAGCGATGGCCATGGCCATGCGAGCAGTGCGCTGCAGCGCAGCGCAACCCGACGCCACGCACTGCCCGCCATCCCCATGCGTTAAGTCGGGCAGACGAAAGAAAAATTAGGGGAGGGATTAGTAAAATAGTAAGATATAGACTGGAGGGGGGGGGGGATCCCGCTATAATGCCAGGGGCGGGGATGGGGTCCCGGTGGTGACGGAATGGGGGTGGGAGTCACGCCTGGGTTACTAGTTACCAGGGATTTGCAAGCTGGCCTCGCGTCTTCCACTTGCTAAAAATACAGCACCAAGCTCGAGCCCTTCTCCATTGCCAGCCAGCCACCCGCACCTCCCCGTACTCGGTGCCATTGTTTCCTACCAATCTCCTCCTCCTCTTGCAGGAGGTTTCCACTCGCGGTCCGTGGGCTAGACAGCCGGTAACGTGACGTCTTGGCGTTTTGTGGGATTTCCAAACTGCGCTAGGTTGTGGTGGTGTATGGACGTAAGTGGTTTGGGTTGCGGGATTTGTTGTAGTAGTTGTTGCTGTTGGTTGGTTGGAGCGGGTGGTGTGGCGTATCAGTGGATTTAGATCTGCGCCTCGCCCGAGTCGGGGCAACGGAAGGGCGTTTGTAGTGCGGGGGGAGGAATGGTGATGGGAGGAGTGAAGGTCGGCTCTTCTGCCCTGGTGTTGATGCTGGCAATGCTGGCATTCGTGCTGGTGCAATGCGTGGACAGGGCGGACGCGGGTCATGGAAGCCCCATCATGGAACTCGCTACCACGTCCTCCGGTCTCCCCGAGGGGTTCGATGATCTGAGAATGTATGAGGATCCTGAAGACCAGTTCCTTGACGAGCCTGCCAGGCGCTTGTTGGCCGCACGGCGCAGGAGCTATATCTCTTACGGGGCCTTGAATCGTAACCGCTCTCCATGCCCAGCGCGCTCCGGTCGGTCGTACTACACGCCCAATTGCAATAGCAACGCAGGACCGGCGCGGCCTTACACCCGGGGGTGCCTCCGGATCACCCGTTGCCAGAGAGTGTAGATGCTCGCAGTCTTCTTTGCTCTGGTGAGCTTTCGGAGTCCTCCCTTGCAATCCAAATTTGTGAACTTTCAAGTGAGGTTGGTGAGAGAGAGAGAAAGAAAGAAAGTGACATAGAGGCGGGGAAGGGTGGTGATCGTGGATGGGTCGGTGATTCAAATGCACATGGATCACCTAGGGGAAAATATTTACCTACATACATACCTGTATTGCTGATCCGGACTACTTCAAGAAAAAGTAAAGATTACTCCCAGTTGTTTGTGGTTGAGATCCGCCGTGGAACTGAAGTTGCCGTCCTTGTCTATGAATCGGAGAAGCAGAAATCATAGAATGCAGTTGATATTTAATCTTCTGTGAGAATAAAGAGTTTGAAATTCTAGCCGTTGTGGTCATTGCAGTTGGGTTGGAACTATAGCTTCGAAGTATGTATAATTTGGAGAGCTCGGAGGAGTCAGAAAGCGGCCTGGCATTGGGAGTTGCTTAGCAGCGTCCTTGGATTCTCTTAATGCAAGTATATCATCTGAAGTGAGACGTCGAAGTTAGTATTGCTCATCTTTTCCTCGTACCAGTAGGAAACGTCTCGATTTCAATAGTAGCTGTGACATTCGTGGCGATCTTTATCGCTGGCAGTCTCACATTCGGGCTTCACTTGTAGGGTTCTTTTCACGAATGATAACGTTGATCCTACAGTCAATTGGTATGTCCTACGTACTACACGTCTGAATTGCAAATTTCATAGGTAATAAGGATCTTTTTTTGGTTGTAGAAATGTTTCACTAGGATCTTGTAGCTTCGGCAATTGACCTCCTGGATGATCTAAGGTGTTTCTCACTATACTCAGTACATATGATATTTCATTTCTCGACAAAACATCCGTGGCTCTGAGTTTCTGTGGATGCTCACACTATTTAGCCCTAATATGTATCCTACTCATCTCCTGGTACCAGCTCGGGCGACCCACATTGTTTCTGGATGTATTTCTAGGTTCTCACTGCAGTAGGGTCTTGCAGAACACCACCGCTCGTGGTCGTAAGCCAAGCACTCTGAGTGCTAAGCTGAGATTTACGCATTTTGTTAAAGGGGGATTAACTCGGCCTGTAGTTAGACGTAAAATGCATTTATAATTCGCTTCAGCTGAAATTCTTTCATGAACCTCTTTCACACGTGAGAGTTCTGTGTTGCTGCTTGGGCTCCGCATGGTGCAATGGTCGTTTTCACCTTCGTCCGTTTGTTCGTTTTGTCTGGTAGACTTCACACGTCGTACTACCAGCTTCAAACGTACCAGCCACTGTGGTGAACATGTGAGACATAATTGTATCGGTCGTTTTACGCTCATGATGCACTCAGTTAAACGAATGTCTGCTGCAGAACTTAAGACAACTAACTGATGTATCAGGCAATTTGCTGAGTGCCTCAAACAACTTATTCACTCAAAACACTATTGCCGTCGATTGTGTGTAAGTGTCGCGTGTATTGAGCACATGGAATGAGCCCCAATATGCCAACTCTGGCGTGCTCTGTTCAATTCAAACACACTCGGTGTTCCCCGATCAACCCAATCAATATTGCAAACATAAAAATTGCATCCGATCGGAGGATATATTGGGCGAGTGAAGATTGAAACTGGCACATTTCAAGCAGTATGGAATTTTTTTTTACTTCTGATATGCACAATGTGAACATATGCAATAGAACATTTTGTTCAGAGACGTGGCGCATGTAAGTAGGTCAAACACTGTGCACTGCCCATCTCCTTTGCCATCGGCTGCTAGCAATAATTTAAAATTCAATTGTTTAAAAGGAAATATTTCCTTATGGGCTGACATATGTTGCGTGAACAATGCAGCTAGTTGTCGCGTTCCTCAAGCTTAAGCACAACAGATGCCACTAGTTACATACAAATCATATATCTAATAATCAAACATCACATCTTGTGCACATAATCTTTTCTACAGTTCATGGGACTTCGACATGCTCAAAAATGTGTTGGGAAAAAAAATGGCATTTTTTTTGCATAGTAGGAAAGGCGACGGAGGCAATCCGATCTTCAGAATCTAAAGTAGCTGCCTTGCAGGGATACCCTAGACAGTATCATACAAGTTGCATACAAGAATCAGGGTACAAGACCGATATCCTTGAAATACTCGTGTTCCAATGCATTTCGTGCTGTTACCCGTCGACTTGGCTCAAGTGTCAGCATTTTCTGTTTCAGGTGTCCTAATAACGTAAGACTTGGAAACCGATATTGGAACAAATTGCAATATCCGAATACGCTGCTCCCATCATTCTGGTTTCAAGAGGCATATGACTGCATGCATTGCTTAAGGCGAACAATTAGACTAAAAGTAGAAATAATAAAAAAAAACAAAACCACACAGAATTCAGATGCCGGAGTTGAAAGATCACATACCTCTAGCAAGTCGATGCCTGCTGGCTCAAGGCTAGGTACGACTGATGACAAAGGCTGCTCGTCAACATGCTCCGCATAAGAAATATAGATCAAAGGCATCACAGGTTTGCATATCTGTGATCTTCGCTTCTAACCTCTTAAACCCTAGCCTAACCCTTCTGAAACATTATGACCGTCTCTCTTAGAAAGTCAGCATCAAACAGCTAGATGATAGAACAGTATTTTATACATACCTTCGGAGGCCACTTTGGAAAAGCAGTCTTGAAATCTGGCAATGAAGTTACACCTGGCCAAACTTCTTCATTTGGAGTGCCAAGTGTCCTGTAAAATCACCGACTTAACAATTACCGACTTGATAATCGAATACATCACCGACTCGGCTATCGGATACAAAGAATAAGCTCGCCGAAATAACTTTACCTGAAGATTTTGAACAGCTCATCTATCTCAGAATCTCCTGGAAACAAGGGCCGTTGATTGACCATCTCAGCGAAAATGCATCCTACAGACCACACATCTACAGGTGTAGAGTAGTGGCGAGAACCTAAGAGAATTTCTGGTGCTCTGTACCACAATGTTACCACCTGCATTTAAGCCAGACAATGAAACCCATGAACTACGACCCAAATGAGCTGTTTATGATGCAAAAAAGTTATCAGCTAACAACATTTGAATCGTAAGATCTTCCACGTTCTCTCGTCTCACAAGAAAAGATTCAGAGAAGTGTTACGAAGGACCTAAAACAATTAGAACTTTTTATTTATTTTTATCGCACAGCTGGCTTTCATTCCCTGTCCTGGCAGAGGCGATTGTAAGCCTAACATTCCGTATGAAAGTAGAACCATTTGACCCCGACTAATAATTACCTCATGAGTGAATGTCCTGACAGGAATACCAAAAGCTCGTGCAAGGCCAAAGTCAGCTAGCTTCAAAGCATTGGTACGTCGATCAATCAAAAGATTCTGAGGTTTCAAGTCTCTGTGAAGGACCCTGTGGGCATGGCAATAAGCAATGCCCCGCAAGATCTGGTATAGAAAGGTCTGCACGCAAAGCTTTACTCACTGTTAACCAGAGGCACAAATGAACCCAAAGAGGCTATAAATCTTGAGGTAGTATTCCAATACCGAATTATAATGTGACGTATAGTTTGAGCTTTTAGCCTAAAACACATACACGCTAATGCAGAAAAGATTAGACATACCTTGATCAAGCGTGGGTCTTTGGCAAGGTCCGGGCAGGTGTCCATATGCTTCTTTAGGTCGAGGTCCAGGTATTCAAAAACCAAGTACAATCGTTTCTCACTATGCACCACATCTTGTAGCCTGCTACCACAGATATATACCAGCATTTACAAGCAAACAGGAAGGTTTCAGAGAGGAAATAGTTTATAACAGCTTATCAAAAGTCTTCAGAGACGTTAACATACAAGACCCCTACATGTCATACGATGAGGTTGAAACCAAAGTCATTTACAAGTAACAAGACCGCAGCCATGTTTAAGTAGATGTCCCAGGTAAGATTTGAAAGAAAGAAAGAAAGAACGTGTAAGCAAGTCGATATTTTCTTAACAAGCAGAAAAATAGTATATCGATCAAAAGATGGAGTTAAGCTGCCTTGCATAAGGCTTAAGAGTAGGCAGAGCCTTGATAGTACGATGAGAGTCTACGATGACAAAATAGGAGCATATCGCAAATTCTAAAATCCAGTCGTGCTGAGATTGTACCGAACGATGTTGCCATGGTGCATTTCTTTCAGGAGTGAAATTTCTCGAATGGCGGTGCTTGGAACACCTTCATCTTCTTGCTCCAGCCGTATTTTTTTCAGAGCAATAGTTTCATTAGTGAGGCGATCCCGGGCCTTGTATACGACACCGTATGTGCCCTCTCCAATCTTCTCCACTTTCTCATACTGTCATTAGAACAGCCATCATGGAATGGAACTATTAATAACATGTACTTAAGAGTTTCTACAGCCTTGTAAGAAAGAGTAAACCTCTCGATTAGTCATACCGCAAGGACAAGAAATTTTAATAGAAAAACTCGCGGTGCAATATAAGTAACATAAGGACCTACAGTGAAAAACATGATGAAGAGTAGGTTGGAGCAAGAAACAATAAAAAAAGGGATGGTACGCACTAATTTTTTGAGTTCTAATCAACTTCCTTTTGCTTTTGTTATCAATGAAAGAGAATCGCTATTATGCATCTGTGTTAACTTAGGAATATCATGCTAATACCAGCATTCTCAGATCGTTGAAACACGAAGGACATGTATGAAAGATAATGCTTTTTCTGGTATGATGAGAATATTGATGACGAATTCATCAAGTCAACACCCTCACCATTTGCCAACGAACCTATCAGTTATTTGTCAGCATCTCTCATCACTGCGAATCCGTAAAAAAGATTGCATTCCACCAGTAAGCTCAAAACGCACCTGATCCATTTGAAACTTGAGGTAACGAGATCAGACCAAATCGCCTGATGGAGTACCAGCTCCGCACAAAACGAGAAGTGAAGACTAATCACATTGACATTGCAGGAGCGTTCAGAATTAAACTTCGAGGAAAGATGAGTCCCTTCGTTGAGCTTAAGACAGACAAACTCAGGGCACACCAAAGCGAAGCCAGAAGGCAACAGACAGTATGCTTCTAAGGCAATTCGATTCCCGGTGGACTAGACACAAGTGCTAAGGAGCTGTAGCTGGAATATGGACAAAGAGAACCTCAATTTAAATACTCATTCATCATTCATAGAGGAATATTACACAATGTAGGCCAAGTTCACAAAGATCATCGAGAGAGACTAACGGCACGAAGAAAATAGACAGGTAAGGAATTCACCGTAGTGGAAAAATCGGAAACAGACTTGCCAGAATCTATTGCAGCACTTCAAGAGAATAAAATTCAGAAGAAGACCACCTTATAATCTCTCTAGCAGAAGAATTCGCCCGTGCTGGCTAGAAGTCTTCCTCAAAATCAACAAGGCTATGGCGAATCTGATTGCCCGGCCGATTCTATACACAAATCATATAGCACAATTCAAATTGTACAGGATAAAAACCTGGCGGAGAAAAGTAAATCGGAAGCACAAAGACCATGAAGTAAAGCTAATAAAACCCCCGCGCGCCCACATTCTATGCCATTAAAAAACTCGTCACAGTTTACACAAATTCGACTCGCACATCACTGCGCAGTTCGGCGACAAATCCTTCTCTCATTCCCCACTCTCCAAAAAATTATCAAAACCAGCTAACCCGAACATAACGAAAAAGAAATTACAAACGAATCACCGAATAGAACACACTCTCACACTCATTCTCCCACGCATACACACACAAAAACACATACATGCACATATATATAAAAAGAAAAGAAAAAGAAAAGGCTTTATCACGATATCCAAACACCTCACTATAACCAGAGCACTCAATCACAGCTGTCTAAGGCCCTCTGAGAACATTCCCTCGACAACAATCTCTTTACCGAAACAAAACACGATGGACGGCAAAGCTGATGCAGCCTTATTCATCGCAGAATGCGGGAGCGAAATGCGGCCAATTTGTAGGCACGAATGAAGACAGGACAATCCGGGAGGGCTTCTTAGTGAGGCACGAAGATGCGTCACAAGGGGGCACGCGCGACAAGGCAGTCAGATACGAGGCTGGCTGGCGATGCAGATGGAGGGGAGGACCCAGGGCTGAGCCGGAAGCGCGGAGGAGGAGGAGCAGGAGGAGGTCATTGAATGAAAAGGGGGAGGGGGGGTGCAGAGCAACATACGGCAGTGCGATGCACTGCGAGGTCCCCCCCTCGTAGAATTGTGTCGGAGAAACCTCCCAACTCAATCGACTGGCTCCGCCATCGTGGGCCGTCGGATCGCAGCTGCCGCTCAGATTCAATCTCGATTGGATTTCTGGGAACAGAGGAAGGGAACGTAGGGGAATCAGGGGGGGACGGGCAGGTTGGAGGGCGGGCAGGGATGGGAACTCAGAACCCATTCCTGACAGGGCCCGCACTGATACATGTTCTACCCCCTCATTGGCCCCATACTGATTTTCACATTCATATGGGTGCTGAAGTTTGCTCAGGGGCTGCCTCTCAATCCTAATTTTCAACCAACACTCTTGCTTCGAAGAATACTTTTTTGTTGTCATACAACATCACTCTCCATGTACATGATACTTTTGTTTCCAGGAAGAATTTTTGCAACTCAAAAAATTTACTCATTAATTTTTTCTCAAACATAGATATTTAATAAACAAGGATTCATCATTGATTGTTTTCTTTGAACAAGAAATAAAATTTAGATTGGCCACAATTTAGTTTCTTTCATTTTTATAATAGACATTCAATTTACACATACTCTATTGAAAAGGTTGTAAAATTTTATTATTATATTTTTTAAGAACATTAAAAAAATCATTTAATTAAGTTTCTCTTAAAGTATAATTTTGGTATAAGATATTATATTTTAAAACTTCTCAGTTTAATGGAAGATGATTCTGCTCGTTGATGTACTTGACTTGTATAGTTCAGTTGTATGAATTATGTTACTTTCTGTGTAAAAATCCTTCATGAGTTTTTATTTTATCTTATTTTATTTCTAAAACAAGTTTAATACATCAAATTTTCAGAAATTTTGTATATTGACATAAAAAAAAATATACATGTCCATGGTATTTTTAATTACGGTGTTTTCTAAGATTGATTGTAAAATAAGAAAACAAAACTATGGTAAATTGTGAAGTAAAATGAAGTTGTAGATACAAACTAGTTACACTAATATGTTTTAAAAAATAAAATACCTACTTAAACAAATTAAAATAATATATATATATATATATATATATATATATATATATATATATGTATTTACTACTTAAAAAATAATTCAAGATGTAACTACTTAAACCTACTTAAGCAACTATTACAAATGTACACAAAAATACTATACTTTACAAAAAGTATCATTTTTTATATTACATTTTTACAATTACACTTAAAATTATATTGCAATTGTAGTATAGAATTATTAGCAATTTTATCTCAAAATAAATTTTTCTATTAAAATATTAGCTTATAAAAAAGAAAATGACAAAGGACTCATAACAATCTTAGTCCTACTTCTATAGTATTTTGTACTTTTATAATTTTGTTCATTAATCCTAAAATTAATTTTTTTCTTTGTTTCTTTCTTATGTGAGACTTAAAAAATATTTACACAATTAAGCTTTAATTAAACACTCCTGTAATCAATAAAATGTTGACTTTAAAATGTTTAATATAATATTCTAATATTCAATTTAATAAATCATAGTAATAAAAAATTATGTAAAATTTTATATTATATTGTTTCATTTTAATTTCATCTATTTTATATTTAGAAATTATTCTTTGATTATATTTAAGAAAGAGATAAATCTAAATGTAATCTTAATTAGGATGATTCTATTTAGTATATAACATCATTAATATTCTAGTATAGTACTTAAAACAAGATTATTTGGATTTTCATAATTGGAATTATTATTTATTTAAACGTTTAAACACATTTAAAATTAGATAGTAAAAATTATTGAATAATTTTCAACTATTTAAAACAAATTGTAACACATTTAAGAAAATATAAATAAAGTTCTTGTTATAGATAACAAAATGATCTTGTACACTTTATGCTTTAAAACCTTAACAATTACTATATCACATAATATAAAAGCTTAAAGTAGTTTCAGTAAATCCATATTATTAGAAATTAAGTAATAAGATAATTTCTTTTTAATACTTTTATACTTTCATATAATAGATGCTATAACATTAGCCAATGTGACTGTAAAAAGTTAATAAAAAAGCTAATTAATTCTTTAATTCACATCAAATACAATAACATATTCTAAACTATTTATAATTAAAATCATAATAAAATAATTATTATAAAAAAATAGCAACATAAAATAACTCATTTTGTTAAGTTGAAAAAACATGCAATAAAAGAAAACCACATAAAATAATCAAGAATATATATATATATATATATATATATATATATATATATATACATGCTTATTTGTATGTTTTTGTACCAAATAATAATATTTAAATACAATTATTTTGTCACTTGAAAAAATCTAAAATTAAATATTGAAATAATATTGAATAAATTTTTTAATATTTTAAAATTAATTTGAATTTTATGTTGTAAAAATTAATATTATTGCAAGAAGTACTAAAGCCTATGTTAGAATGTTGAATAATCTAAAAAACTGAAAATAATTCTCATCCTTGAATTATCCTACCAAGTAATAAAATATTACATATATATATATACACAAATATAAATATACATATACTTAAAGAAAAAGAAAAATATTAAATATATAAAACAAATTACTAATTTCTATGTAAAAATAAAATTAAACATGATGTTTTTATATATATTATTTAAAATTTAAAATCATATATAATAGAAATATTTATTTGAAAATAAAAATTTAAACATGCTATCATTAAAATTCAAATTTCAACTTTCAAATTTGCAAAAATTGACTTTTTATCTTTTCATTGCTAACAACAATTGATGGTGAATGTATCTTTAACAAATAATGTAAAATAATGTCATAGAGTTTTTCTCATACAATGATATAATTTTTTTGACTATTTTATATCAAGTTATGTCGATCAATATGTAATTATTTGTACAATTTATCTGTTTTTCTCTTTTACAACAAAACAAGAAATTTTTACAATCTTGCTTATTTAGTTTTTTTTGGTTTAGTTATTTTATTTTTTCTTTTTTGTCTTTGACCACTTGTGAACTCTTGCTATGTTTATAGGCAATCAAACAACACAATAAAAGAACCATTTCTATGAAACTCAATATGTCCCACATTACTTATAATGTAATATATTTCTTTTTCCACTATCTATCCTGTAACTTCCTAATTTCTACAAGCACTTAAACTTAGTGTGAGAAGTTGAATTTTATTTCATTTCTATGAACCAGAAAAAAACTAAGTAATTGTGATATACTGAGCTAATAAAATACTATGCTCAAAGTGGTTCACAACTATTGAAGTTGATTAAATTTTGAACTTTTGATTTTCACAACATGGTTTACAATAAAAACATGTTCAAGAATGAGTCCTTACTGAGCATAATATCTCAAACTAAATGATGTGTAATATTCTATCCAACACTCTTGTACTCTACATCATGGATCACAAAAAAAACCACAATAACCATTTTCCAAGGGCCTATCTTCATGATCCACAATCCATTTGTTTCCCTGCATGCTAATCGTTCCCTACATCTTGTCCTTCCACCCCACAAGGACACTGATACGACCAACATTACAATATGGGTCACTCATTTTTCTCCAAACAAAAGCTACTCTGAAGAAGAACATACTGCAATACGATATGAGAACCGAGAAATGCTCGCAAAGAAACCGTATTATTCAAATGAGTCGATTGCCAACCGTTGATCCCATACAACTGATTCTACAGTGGCACCAGGTCTTGGAGGCCTCAGAGTTGAATGAAGATCTGTATATAACTCAAGCCAGTGCAAAAATGAACCATTTCGGTTGAGAAGTTTTGGTCTCAGGGATCAGAGTTTGAAAGGTTGATGCTTCAGAATACTCAATCTCCCCTGCACTGCCCTGACTTGGAATCTATGGTGTACAAACACTCACTGCTGCCATTTCCAAGTTTGAAGGTCCATCAAAGGGCTGTTCGGAGCCGCTTTGTCTTGTCGGAATCTGGCACACTTGCATCCCTAGAAGATCCTAAAACTGCGTTTGGAACGAGCAGCTCTCCATCCATCTGCATCTCAACCACACCAAACCTTGGTTATAGTGTGAACCGGTGTACTTAAGATGAAAGACATATTAAGAACAAACAGTTTAAATCTGTGAAATCGCTGTATCTCGGAAAAACACAATACCAGGAATCACACTTATCTGTTTTTGTACAGGTGACCCACTTCTCCAATCTAAGGTAAGATTTAAAGGAAGAGTAGAGATTATCTGGTCATAACATACAAATGTAACATTCCTAGTATGTTATTACATGGCAGCAGTGACATGAGATAACTCAAACTCACATAGTTGGTTTGGTGAAGACGGTTAGTGAGTGGACCAATTGTCTCATCAGGTACTACAGCGTATCTCTCAGCAGGCGAAATCCAATTGGAACCTGCACCAAATTAATTACCACTGGTCAGAATGAGTAAAGCGGGATCCCTACGGCGACCAAATGTTTCTAGGTGGTCAGGTTAATATCAGATGTGAAAGTATGCAGAGCATAAGACATGTATGTTCCGAAATAGAGGCTTTGTGACTTACTTGCACAGTTCCCAGATGGAGAGCTTTCTATCCCTTGACAGGCAAGGCCGTCTGCACTCAGGAGCTCTATTCTTTTGGGGACGCACCTTGAGAACCAAATAAGAAAAAGCGCTTCGGTCAGCTCCACAAAAGCTTCAAAGGTTATCATTCAAATAAGTAACTTTTACAAATATTTCCTAAATCATGTTACGTTGAATATTCGTAATCACAGATCAGGGGAAAACATTATACTGTGTGTGTATATATCAAATGAAGATGAAGTTTAATAAAACATCAGAATTCTAGGGGATACGAAGTACCTATCAACGGCATCGCCATGACCTAGTTGGCCACTTGTGCCTCGGCCCCAACTATAAACGTTGCCTCTGTCCGTTATTGCCACAGTATGTCTCCAACCACACGTGACTCGTGTAACTTTCTACAAACCATAAGAAACTACATTAAAACGAGAACAACATTCACAACATAGAAACGAGAGTTAGGAATTTTTTTACAAACGGTATGCTTTTAAGAGAACTCCATACACGAATTGCCTACCTCATTGACAATACCAGTGATTAATTTTGGAGAGTTATGATCATCAGTATTCCCACATCCAACTTGGCCAAACTGCACAGGCACCAAAATAAGTAAACTCTGATCAGGAAAACGGAGCTCTGTAAGAAAATCAATCGCACATGCATCAACCATCAAACCTATAAGTGTCAACTCCATTGCAAGCCAAAAAATTATGATTCTCAGGAATACACTAGAAGTAGAGGTGTCCCAACGATCGCTATTCACCTTGTTCCAGCCCCATCCATACAGCTCCCCATCTTCATCTAATGCGACAGTATGCCGCCATCCTCCCGAAACCTTCATCAAATGCAGACATTTGGATAAATAGTAGATTCGACTAATAATAATAATAATAATAAATATCACTGCAGCGACAAGATGCTGCAAACGTGAGGGAAATGTAGTAGAACGGCATGATGCCACAGAACCAGCCACAACATTCCCACTCAACATAGTACAAGTGTACTTACAGCTTGAATGGTTTTATTTTTTAAGGCCTGGACTTGATGTGGCACAAGATGGTCCTCAAAATCACCATGACCCAGTTGCCCATACTTGCTCCATCCGAATGTGTACAAGTTCCCCGAATTAGCAACGGCTATTGTGTGTCGCCATCCACAAGCCACCAAATTCATTTTCTCCCCCTGAAAATTCGTATGAAACAGAGCCATTTCATGTAATGCGAAAACATTGACTTTTTACTGTTGATAACAACTTCGTACTCTGCACTCTCTATCAACATGAGAAAAATCATGAATGTTGAACTGGCGAGGTAAATTTACGCAGTCACTATATATCCAAGTACGTAATTTTGGAAAAGCAGAAGTTTCAGAATGTAAGATGTAAGGTAGAAGACATACAGGAACAGCGGCGACTTCGCCAGGAACAAGGCGGTCATTCCGATCACCTAAACCGAGGTTTCCGTAACGACCCCATCCCCACCCATACAGTTTCCCACTCTCTGTTACTGCTGCCGTGTGCTCAGCTCCAGCTGCCAGCATCTTCACCGCTATGCCCTGGGTTCACAAACCATAATTTGCATCAATCTAAGTGTTCAAACTAGATCTGTTGGGAGAGATACAACACCCTGACTTTCAAAATGGTGACACTTATCGAACAATGTTGTCGTCATTAGCAAACATTCAATCTATAAGAAATTTGTGCCTAAGGCTATAGAGTGTCACTTTCACCCATACTTTGCTCAGAAAATGGATCTGAAAACACGGTTGTTGACATGAAGAGTTCTTAACATACCTCGAAGGCCGCCACTTTATTAGGGACTAGCACATCCTCAGTGTGTCCAAGACCAAGCTGTCCATTTTGATTCCGACCCCAGCTGCACAACGAGTCAAAGGTAATAATCGGTCAGTGTCACTTCCAATGAGGTGAGGTAACATGAAGATATCCAGTGACTTCTGCACTTATATTTTTAAACCCAAGTCAATGTAACGATACGCTTCAAATATTAAATATGAGATGCAGCCACTGAGACTCGACCTGAAAATTACCTGTGCACTTCGCCATCACCTGTGATAGCAAGACAGTGACTATCACCACAAGCAATCTGTTTGATTTCAAGGCCCTTAAGCCCCTTTATAGCTCGTGGTATGAACAAATCGCTAGAATTCCCGTGCCCTAATCTCCCGAAATCTCCCCTGTAGATGGAAGAACCTACGTTAGAAATAAGTGCTCTATCCGGTCATTAAGATATGCCAGGCCAGAACGCAGACATTGTTCAGCTGCTTACGTCAGTCAACCTATTCCATGTTATTTGAACAAAACAAGTCACAATTCCCACCGAATTAGTTACAAAGCTTAGACGCAGGAAATTGCTTGTCGAGCTATTTGTCAAGCATGCAAGGCTACTTACCAACCCCAGCTGTACACGGTTCTGGTGGACTCGGAGCGAGCAGTAGTGTGGTCAGCTCCACATGTAATGGAGGATATCTCACAGTCATCAAGTGCACTAATGACAAGGGGCAGGTGCCTTTCTTCAGCATCTCCATGCCCGAGCTGCCCATCTTCACCCCGACCCCATGAACAAACCAAGTCGCCAGCTGCACAACATTCAAGAAAAATTCCACTTGAACAAACAGAACGCATGCTGAAGCATGTCATTACTCGCACTTAGAAACATAATCTCCCACAGCATCACATAATCAATCCGTATATGTAGATCTAGCTCGATGACGATAGCAAAAATCACGTTCTAAGAAACGACAAGGTCTTGCATCTGCTATTGAATCAAACTAGCAGCCTCAGGGCTTCAATATTCTGCAAGTGCACCACTAGTGGGGTAAAGTTTGGTCTCCTTTGGTCACAACATAGCGCACCTCGAGTGAGAGTTTTCATGTCTGGTTGAAAAGGATGATAATGAAGATAAATCCGATTGCGTGAAAGTACAGTGAAGTTAGATTCTATCACATATGGATTCGAGTAGGTCATTACTCTAAAAGTATACAGCTCATCTGTACAGAAAGCCAGTCAATATGCACGCTGGTGGGTTTTCTAGTGTGCAGGAATGCAAGTTTCATGAGCAACACGCGCCTAGCAAGTTGCCTGAGCCTACGAAACTCTTTCCAGAGATGCTATTGTTCGCTAGAGTTCACAGACGCTTGTCCAAGCCCTCTAAGAAAACTCACCTCAAATCTAGTTTACAGTTGTTCCAAAGGATTAGCATGCCCACTCAGTCTCATTACCGACTAATGAGAATGCCACATACCAGAGGCAAGGTCTTTAATCAAATGAACGGTCCCTAATTCGGCAGCTAAGGACACTTGTGCTGGGAAAGAAAACCTTTCTCACATGCAGATGCACTAAAGTAGGGGAAGAATTCCTTACAAAGAAGGGCGACAGTGTGGCTGGCGCCTGCAGAGACAGAGATGACGCGCCTCCTCGGGCCCCCACTGCATGCAGCCTTATCCTCCTCCATCTCTAACCTTCCCAGACCACCTGATTTACCAATTCCGGCCTATTAAAGAGCCTTACAACTGCGAGCTCCACCTTGAAAGAGTCTACATCAACTCCAATACCACCTCATAAAAATTAGCTGCCTAGCTACCAAACGCAAAATGCTCTCTCCCAAAAACTCTGCCCACCACAAGTACTAGACTCTTGAGTGTACGCCAGCTCCAAATCCTCAACTGGCGACCTACACCAGCACTGGATGCAACAAGTTTCCCAGCATCCGAAGCTAACAAACCTTCCCTCTCCTACGCGGCTGCAAAGACACATGAAACCCGAGAAACAGCCGAGCTTCTGAATATTGGATAATTTTGTGACGCAAAGGCTGCTGTTCAACCAAAAAAGCGATATAATTCACGTCTCACCTAACCCGACAAACTCGCTCCCGGTGTCCAGAGGTGCGAGAGTCCTGACCGCGAAGCCTCCAGAAGCTTAGCCCAGTCGATGACTCCCACCCTGCAGCAGCTCTGAACAGCCTAGAAACAAGCGGACAGATGGAATCCCACATGCATGGAGCATTTGGCACAAAGCAAGTGCGGGTGGTGCCCTGAACTCTTGTGGGTAATCGTTTGACAAGGCCCCCAAGAGCAAATTGAGTTGCAAAAGAATGAATCACAACAGCAGCGAGGAGTTGGGGCTACTGCTCAATATCCTCCCCACCCATATCCAACCCTGGGGGCTAGATGCTTAAATTAACCTCCTTTTTGCACCTGGCTGGGTCCACATACCATAAACAAAATTACCCTTCTCCATTCTCCGTCTCTCACCTCCACCACCGTGCCGGGGCAGTGCCACTATTGAATTCAGCTGTGCATTGTGCACAGAGATCGGTCAGTTCCGGATCTCCCTGATAGGTTCAATACTGTAAAGAGGCTTCTGCATCTTTTTAGTTATGTGTTAATTACTCGTGAAATTCTCACCACGTGTGAGTACATTATTGCAAATCTGGAGCTATTCTACTCTTACACTACATGCTGTGAAATCTCCTCTGAATTACATTCACACTATTTAGGAAATCAGACTGGTTTTGTTTCTTCGCAAATTTAATACATCCACCATTAAAAATATGTGAATGTTAAGGTTTGTTTTTGTGGGATCCTACCAGTGTCCTGTAGCTCCTCTATTAAATGAAGTACATTATCATTAATTCAACACAAATTTAGCGCAATTAATTACTTTTGGTTCTATTTACAGCATCAAAACATTGGTGTGACGTTTGACCTCGGGATTTGTGGAATCGACATAAAGGTGACTTACTAATGATTTGCTTACACTGATTTAATCAAAATTTACTATATGTTATATAACTTATAACCGAGTTCGCTCCATTGAATGTTTTTTACAATAAGGAATGAATAAGAGATACAAAATAAATAAATAAATAAATAAAAAGTGTTCTCACTCCGTAATGATGGACATGAGGTTGATTCTGGTGCATTTAGGAGTGAAGAAATGTTTTCTCCTCTAATGAAGAAGAGTCCATCATTTCTAAAAGCTGCGCGCCATTTTAGAATTTTGGAACAATACTACGAAAAATGTCTTCTCGGAGCACACACACAAAAATCTGCATATATATATATATATATATATATACATATATACACATATACAAGCAAAATGTTACAATCCTGAGCATTCGTAAAGAAAAATTGCAGTGCTTCAAGTGGACAGCTGCAAAGATATCACAACCACAAATGTGACTGGATACAAGCACAAGACCACATGAACCCTCAGAGACTACATAGGAATCTCTCAATCCAAATTTAATTTTAACAGAGGAAAACTTTGGGTTCCATGACCTCAATTTAGTGCATGGGAGTTTTAGAAATTAATAAGGAATGAAGCAAAACTTCAAAATGTGAAGTTGAACAACGACCCCAAGTAATTTACGTACATGTGTGGATATGAATTCTCTCTGATCAAGTGTACTCTCAGAAGATTGTCTTACAGGCTTCACAACTGTACAAGGGAGAGGGTCATTGGCTACACACAATACTTCATGAGAAAATCATCATCTTCATCGAGATTAATGTCTTCATCCTCTCCAAAATGTTCATTTTCCTCGTCATCAATTTCAGATTCATTTGCTGGGTCACCGTCTTCTGGAAACCACTCGTCATCTTCAGCCTCACTAGATGCATTGTAAGGATGACCGTCATTCTCCATCCGTAATCTGCCTGACAACCCCTCAGCACTTCCTTCACGACCAGCATCGTCTTCCTCAAACTCCAATCGATCCTCCACCATCGCCATTGGAACCTCAAAATTAGACATATTTTGATCTTCAGCACTGTCACCTCTAATGGCACCCCAAATGCTGGTCTTTCTTGGAACATAAGCTTCGGTGGTGGTGGATTCCTGTGTCAACTCCTCGTCCTCTTCAGTTTCGTGTTCGGTACCTTCATCTGATGATATTCCGAGAGCACGTCTCTCAAGTGCTGCCTTAACTCGATCATCAAATGTTTCGTCATTGCAGGCCAACATGTAACGAAGATGGAAAACCAGTCCGTGGGATTTCAGAATTTGTTGCCTCGGTTTGATTCTCTCCTCCAAAGAGTAGCTGAAGTACCTGTCGATGCATACATCCAACAAACATCAAGTCTTCGCAGAGTAGCGTTGATGAGCAATGATTCTGTATTAACCATTCTAAGAGAGCAGTTGATAGGATTGCAATTATTTCATCGCTTCATTAGCTCTAAATGTTCAAATAGTTCAGAGTGTATCATTACCAACTTTGTGACGGACATACTCAAAACAAACGTATGTTCTTACAATTAGTAGGTACCGAGACACAACAGATGAAGCTACGCTACAGGAAATATAAAATGATTGTCTGCATTTGTTATGCTTCGTAATATTCCTCCTTGAAATACACTGGCACTCCAATGATTACATCAATAACAAAAGTATTCAGTCAGGGCCAAGCACACAAGAGATAGGCCAATTAATACACTAGGACAAGTCAAGCTCTTCCAGAAATGATGTAAATTGAATGAAGAAATGAAGATCAATCAAGGTACGTTGTGTACCGCGAGTTCTTAACTTGGTGAGGACATGAAATTGACTGACATAGAAATTAAATTGAGACCATTCTGAAAGCAAACAATCACTTACCGAGGAAAGAGAACAAGGTCCTCAAGAGGACGCTTCATCGATCGCTTGAAGTACCGCAATTTGGATTCAACAATTGCAAGGTTGTATCTAAGCAGCATTGGAAAATCGGCCACCATGTGCCCTGTATGCTCACGCTTCAGCTGATGGTTCCGTAAGAACTTTACGAGAGGCTGAAGCCTCAAAGTCAAACTTGTTCCTATCAGCTGTGGTCGTAACGCAATAACTTTTCCAATATGCTCTTCCTTCACCCCTGCCTCTTCCAAGATAAATCTCACCTGCGTACCACACCCCATGGAACATCATTTATCACATCCAGAGAACTTCATGTCTTAGTTACTTAGGGCAAGAAGAAACCAGAGTTAATTGTTGAAAATGAAATATAATCCAGCCCGCTAGCTCCAATCAGAGTCTGATTTGTAACCAAGCAAACTAAGTAATGTCACCGCATTCATGTGTTTCTCTCAGAATCGGTTGCTTGTTTCATGCCATACTTTATAAATCCAGAAAAGCCAAATCCCTCACAAGATAGTATTCCATCTAGAGTATTTGCTTAAAAATTTTCGTATTGAGCTGCAGCGCCAGAGGCACTGTCTTCGTTTTCCTGATGCGAAAGTCGAATAAAACTAAAATTGAAAAGTAACAAAAAAAAATCAAAAAAAATTAAAAGAAAAATCAAAACCGACATAAAATACTCACCACAGGACGAATCTTTCTGTCCAGGCTGTAGCTTAGTAATGCAGGAAAAGCAACAAGAACTTGCCCAATTGCGTCCTCACGAATTCCAATTGCACGAAAAAATCGAACCTGTCAAAGCAAAATCACTTCATATACGAATTCTACTCACTCAGGCCATTCTAAGGCCCATCAGTAGGCTTCGAGAGTGTCGATCCTAAAGATGGCTAATAGCTTAAGGCAAAAGCTAAAGAAGTCATAACATGGAAGTAGGCACTTGCGACGTTTAAAACACGATTAATAATGATGAGATAAGCTTGACATGCTCCGAAAACACTCACAGTTGATGCTAGAAAGAAACAGCTAAATATAATTTTGAAACCAAAGCAATTCTTCAAAAGTCACCACACCATTGTAATTGAACACTGGCTTACCTTAGGTGCAATATTCTTCTCGAGATTCATGCAAAAGACGGATGGATGTACACAAAATATACGCAGAATGCCTGCGTCCTGAATTCCTAGCAGTTTAAAATACTTAATCAGGGGCACCCATCCATTCCCTATATCGGAAGCAAGTAGCTGAGGTCTCGTAGCAATCGCTTTACCAATGTTGGCATCAGCCATACCCAGGCATCTCATGTACTCGACCTGCGTGATGGTCACCCATAATGAGGTTCCAAAAGAAACTTATTGATGCAAGATATTACTGACAGCAATGTCATTGGTCCTTTAGAAACAAACCCTTGAGGAAATTTTTCACTATTAGTCAATAAGAATTCGCAAAATAGGGTAATTTATCAGCCTGCCTGCAAGCCTTGAAGCCCCAGCTACGAGGCTTGACATGACGCGCAAAGGGACCTACTATGAAAAGTTCCGTCTGAGATTGGCCCAAATCGTCAGTGAAGACGTCAGAAAATTCATGAGGTTGTTTTACCTCCATACTAAGAATCAGGGATGGTCTCCAGCACACAGTTCGAAAAATTGCAAACGTAGACGAGGGACTATCTTAATGCGGACACTGTCCTAATTTGTAAACTTGCAGCCAGGTTTCAGGACAGAGACAAGTTGCGTCAACAAAATGCATCAAATACGAAGATCATCTCGTACCTTAGCTTGCATCTCAGTAAGTAAAAATCGACCAACACTTGCGGGAAAATTAAATGCCATCGGGCCAAAGTGCTCTGGTGTCACTCCCAACTCCTGGAAGAAAGAAATTTTGTCAAGGAGTTCATCTATACTAAGCGCAAGAATTCCTGGCGATCGGCTTATCACAACCCCAACCCAATCTCTTCGTACTCCAGCATCCTCAAGCAGCTGTACCATGTTCTCGAGCTGTTTTAGTGGCTTATCAAGGATGACTGGATGTCTTGTCAGAACAACTCCAAGGTCACGACCTCTTACATAATTCTTCTTAAGAAAACTGATCCTGTCACGCAGAGTATCCAAATCTACACCTTTCAGATCTATTAGCTGACCAACTCGAGGCACAGTAATGTGATTGTGCTTCATCCATCTGTACACAACCACAGGTGAATACCTCAACGTGGTAAGTCCGGGATCTCTCAATTAACAAGCATAGCACAGATTGCAAATTTCGATGCATGCAGACTTACTTGACAACCTCCGCAACCTTGGTCTCTGCAAGGCATGCTCGAGCTCGTGCCACAAACGTCGAGGTCGCATACCGTTCTTGTGATTTAAGCGCCACCGCTTGAATGAGAATATGATCCACGAAAGCTGGCATGTTATCCACCACGAGCTGTGAATAAGTCTTACTTAGAGATGCCTCCATGAAGTGTTCCCTTAAAATTCCCCTAGTTTGCTGCCTCCTTTTCTTCAGTGCCTCTCTGAGTGCCTTCTCATCATCGCTCATACTTACATTCGTTACCTGCTCTTCCGATATCACAGACCTCCTCCTTAAGAATGGCCGACTTCCAGCACTCTCCTCATCCAACCTGACCTCCTTAGCAGGTTCTCGAATGTAGGACTTAGACGAATCAGAGTCTAATAATCTAGCGTTGAGCAACCGCCGCAAGTATGTTTCCTTCCCAGTTCCTTCTCCATTGCCACTTGACTCCTGATGTTCCCTAGAGCCATTATTATGAATAGGGTTACAGCCATCCTGATCCCGACGCCATATCGATTTATGGTCATTTGGATTTCTAGTATTCGAAGGAGAGCCTCGCTTTTCAGAGGAGAAGGGCACCTTCTTCGGATATACAGGATTAGGAGCGTATCTCAAATTTGAGGGATACATCTTTCGTGGATTTGGAGGAGGCCACTGTCGATCTCGCGGATGGCGCCATGCTCTAGCATCTTGCTTTCCAACCATGTTTCTGTGGTCTCTTGTATACTCTATCCTTCAAGGATAAATTGAACTATTCAGAAAGATCCTCGAAAAAGTACTTCAGAAAAGTTAGTGATTGAATTGCTAAAATCAAGCCAACATCTAGTCAAATACTCAAGTCTAGACCATTACCTTGTGGAGCTGATCCCTTTCCTCGTCCTCCACCTCGTCCTCCACCTCGACCGCCCTCTCTACCGCCCCACCTACCGTCTCGGTCAAGAGAGAATGGCCCTCTCTCATCCTCGAAACCTGTCTTAAATTCAGACCGCTCACCAGGCGCACTCGTTGAGGCTCTCCAATACGAATGGCTTGCACCCCCACTCTCTCCTAAATCGCTTGAACTTGTCGAGAAAGAACTTTCCATTTCCTCCTCAGCATCATGGAATCTCCTCTCTCCCAACATCGGTGACTGTCTTCGTTCCCGTGAATTCCCTCTGCTCGACTCAAAGCTCCCCATATAAGCATCGCCATCTTCACCTTCGTCAGAAACAGAACCTCGCAACTGCCAATGCGTGTCTTCAAACCTTCCACCCCGCACTCGCAATTGAGTGCCTTCTCGTAGAAAGGAAGATGGAAAAAAACTCGGGCAGAATAATTTGGAAGCAAAAACCTTCTCTGAAGACTGAGAAATCAAATGGAGAGAGGAGAATTGAGACAGCAAGTGCTGAGCTCCAGCGTAAGTGTACATTGCACCACCTCCCTCTCACACCCACTCACACAACTTCCTCACAATCCTCAACCGCGACCGTCATCCAGCTCTCAAACTCACCACGTCATCAATCCTTCACTGAATTTCCGTATCCTCATAACGCAATCCTCACTCGACGAGCTCGGAAAACAAACACAGCGGTCCAGTACTTTCAAAAGCCACAAACTTCAACCCCAGCCCTGAAACTACAATTACGACCAGAAAACAGACAATCTCTGCTATATTGTGTTTGATGGCATTGCTGTGAAGAGGGGTTTGCACCCGCAAAAGGAATCATCCACTGGAATTGGAATGGCGTGAATTGAAGGAGGGATGCTTCGCTAAACCCTAGAAAAGTGAAATGCTTGAAGCATGGGTGGTGCCGCACTCACTCCCTCGGAGGTGGGGCTTGCCAGCTGGCAAGCGCGGGCCTTATCCGGTTTCTGCCACTTCAGCTCCCGCGGTCTTCAATTCCCCACCATGCCCCTTTCCCCCACTCTTGATCGTGTCGACGTGACAAGAACCTAGTGGGGCAAACGAGGTTAACTTTTTTTGCTTCTTTCATTATTTAGTACACTCCAAAACTAGGCCGAAATATCCAAGTCAATCCGTTCAAATTCTATTGCGAGTTCGAAGAGGAATCCACCGAACCAAATTCATTGAAGTCACGAATGCTTTTCATGTGTTGTTATTTTGGTATAATGTCTATTGCAATGTGATTTTTGATAGGAAAAATGTGACTATGTAGGTGTTTTGCAAACATTCATATCCATGGTTATATGAGCATAATTGGAAGAGAATGAGAATGGGCACAAGAGAATACATTGTATGAAGAAATATGTTGTCTAATCTTCTTTTGGTGGATTAGGTTAATAATGGCATCCACAAATGGTATGACACTCTAAACTCTTCATAAAAATTCAAGTTGCAATAGTAGACAATATGTGGACTCTAGCACTAAATGCAACTCTTGGAATATGTGGACTAATATCATTGAAGAAAACATTTTATTTTTATTTTAAAATAATAATAATTTTAAATTTTAAAATAAAAAATATATATTTCAAAAGTTAACAAATTTAAAATAAAAGGTATAAGTTTGCTGTACATGAAATCATTTCAAAACACTTATTTATATTTTTTCAATTTATACAAAAGGTTGATACAAAAAATTAAACAGTTCCCTCTACAATATTTTTTTATATAAATAATTTGAATAGACATAGTTTCACATTTATAAACATCTTGTGTCATGAAAATTAGCCAGTTTTGGATCACACTGAGTTCTACAAACAAAATAAATAATTCAACAGTAATGTTGTGTGGTATTCCAAATCACAAAAGATTAACAAGAAGTTTTCATGATTCATGAGCTCATGATCTCTTTTGTTCAGCACTATAATCCACTATCAATATGTGTTAACACTTTAATACTTATAGGGGGTAGCATAGACAATTTATACCACTTACATGAATAACACTTATGTGACTTTGGAAAAAAAAAACAAAAACAAAAAACAAAAACAAAAAAACAACACTTATTTAAAATGATGGATGAAAACATATAAGATATGAATGTCATCATACACTTAAGTATAATAGAAGAACAAATCTAAAGTAGTTTAATGAGATTCTTATGCATACCAAGATCCTATTTCCTTTTGAAGGGTTCAAATACTTTAGATGAGAGATGTAACATCAAGAGGTCTTTGTTCCAAAAATTGTTTCAATGCCACTAATGCACTTTTAGCATCCTTGAAACTTAATTCATCTACCACCACCTCACCAATTTGCACAATTTTAGCTTCTTTAATGAATTGATTGTCAATTGCATCATTTCTTCCATTAAATATACCTATAATTTCTTCCTCCATAGGTATGTAGAGATTGTGTAGATAAAATTCTATTTCATAATTAATAAATTCATGTGCATTCATAGTGGATCTAGCTTCACTCTTTGCAAACACCAATAGTAATAGTTCTAGTAAGGTAGTAACTACTTCCAACTCTTTCTTTTGTAGTGCTTCAAGAACTTTTTTATTTCTCATGATTTCCTCCTTTGCTTTCATGTTGTCAAATAGAATATAAAAAAAAATATGTGTATATTTCCAACAATTTATGATTGTTTATGTAATAACTCCAATGCACGAAGTATTTTGTATCATTATCACATATTGATACATATCAATATTTTTGCTTTTATTTTTCATGAATAAATTTATGTGATGTTGAATTAGTCGCTTGCAATATTAAGCTTTAAATGATTGAATAATTCTTTTATCCATAGGTTGGAATCTACTTGTAGTATTAGAAGGCAGGCATTCAAGTCTAATCACTTTTAATTGTGTACCTATATTAGGTAGTTGGTGACCTAAAAATTTGTCAGCCAATAGTAATATTTTATTTTTTTATTTTTTTATTTTTTGTACATCAACTACTTCCTTTAAAAATCAAGCATAAATTTCTCAAATATCCTGATAGTCATCTTAGCTTTCTTATTTGCAAACCACTTAATCCTAAGGTTATCTTGGTTGAAAATATGCCTACATAAAAATGCTCAAGACTTCATATACTTATTAATAACTATGCATCTTCTTCATGACGAGTATATTGTGTAATATGAAATCTTTTCTTAAATTTGTCTATCCATCCATAAGAAAATTGAAGCTTCTTCTCACCCTTCTCGTTAGATATCATGCCATAAAATATCTTTGAAGGAGTAATTACAAAATCATCATACAAAATAATATTAAAATCTTCTATAAGCTTAAATCAGATGAAAGTAGCTTGCATCACCTATGGACATTGAACTTTCTTAATGCACTTTAAGACAATTAGATGTTGGACATCAATATCCAATAAATCTCTCGTCTTTAGTAATAAGTAAACGTTCATCTCAAAAGCTGAGGCATAATAAGTAGAATTAACCCATGTAGTCAAAACTCCATTATTCTATCCAATAAACACCAATCTTTGATGATACTGGAGGATATCGTTATTTTGCACCAAAATAAATCCAAAGTTCTTCTTTATTGTAGACCTAAACTTCTAACCTATCTAAATCATCAAATTAGAAATCTATCAAAACATAATAATATTACTAAATCCTCAAATGATACAATATTGTAATACAAAGAAGCTAATGTAAGAGAGCTTGAACTTTAAATCTCAAAGAGTATGATGGAATTTATAGCCAATAATATCTGCATGATGTAGAATAGATGATGTATGAAGATATTGTGAACTATATATAATATTATAAATGCCAACCAAAACATGATATGTACATGATGGACCTAATCCAATTTCATCCAAATTATAAAATTTCATAGCCTCACTTTCATCCAAATTTAATACTTATTGAGGTGAATCTATTAAAGAGGGGAGCATAATTTTTATAGATTCTCTTAAAAATTATCAAAGTAGTATATTTTTTGAACTTTTTTTTTTTGGGAACACATATAAAATTTTAACACTCATCTAGGAAACACATATCGAGGGTGGACTCCACGCACTTGATGAACAGGGGTGAACATGGTAATTCATTCATCCACATCGTTTCCACACCTGGCTTTTTCCCGAGGGAATCCTCCCTGCTAAACGCCCCTGCATTCACGCACATATGGATGGATGAAAACATTACAGTGGGATGTACGAATGTATGATGAACGAAAAGCATCCATCCATCCGAGGAGCTAGGTCCCTGCAGAGAGACAGTTGAGGTTTAACGCAAAGGATTCAGCTGGATAAGGCTTCGTCGAATTCCCAATTTCCTAAACCCAAACCCCTGATTCAACATCGCAGGAAGGCAGCACTTGTGTGCTTTGTGCCCATCGCCGCAATCTCCAGTTTCTTCCTCCAAACTGGCTTCATTGGTACCTCAACAAATTCCCAGAGCTTGAGTAGAATTGTTAAGTGTTGAGTTGCTGTGTTTGTGTAGTGAGCCTGTCGACTAGAGCGTGCGTTCTGATCTCATGTGGGTTTTGTTTGCTGCACTACTTCCTTTGTTAATCGGTGATTCGTCGTGCGAAATGTGGTTTCACTGATGTATTGGTGTTGTGGTGAGTTTAGGAACTAGAAGAAGGTTGCAATTGGGTGTGGTTGTGAGGAGGTTGTGTGAGTGACGGTGTGAGTGAAGGAGTTGGGTGCAATGTATTCATCTGCTGCAGCACAGCACCTGCTGTCTCAATCGTCGTTTCTGCATTTGCTTCCCTCGTCTTCAGCCAAGGTTCTTGCCTCCACGGTTCCTGCCACTTTGAAGCGCCCTCCAAGCGAGAATACGCTCACGCATTCAGTTTCTCTTTTCTTTTCCCCTCGAAGGGTGGTGGGTGTGGCATTTAGAGCCAAGTTGCCACCTCTGCGTGCCTTAGGTTACAGCGACCAAGGTGAAAACGACGACGATGTGTATGTGAGGAGCTTCAAGCCTCAAATGGGAGAGAGGAGAAGGTTTGACGATGGTAGAGACCAGACGTTTTCGAGGGATTCAGGGGAAGGCGAGGTTGCAGGCAGGTCGTACCAGAGAGCCTCAACAAGTGGTGCTGGCGACCGGTCAGATTTTGGAACGGTTTCTAACGACGACAGAAGGTCATTTCCTCAAGGCAGGGGCGGTCGAAGCGGCCGAGGTGGTCGAGGGATTAGAGGAGGTCGAGGAACCGGTCGATATGACAGAGTAGCTTCCAAAGACACTTATTCAAGAGACGAAGGACGCGAGTGGGACGAAAATGGAGGCTTCCGTCCTGAGGGAAGAGGAGAATTCAGAGACGCGGCTACAGGTGGACGAAGTGCTGGAAGAGATTCTGGACGAGGAAGAGGATCAGCTCCACGCGGTAGTGTATTAGACCTTTGTATAGAATTTGTTATCGGTTTGTAAAAGGGAATTGAAAACTTTATTACTCGCTTGAAAGCATTAAATTCCATCATGTAGATAGTGATTAAATGCCCTTATTAATGCATTCAGTTGTTACTGCAAGACAGAAGCTACTTTTAGGGCATCTTTGGTATGGTGTGGAATTCTGCTAAAGATATTCCTCATGATGTTATTTTTTTTCCGCTCAGCATTACTTCGATGATTAGTTTTTGCAGTGACTTTCCGTATCTTACTGTTATTGCTCATATCAGGGAGAACATGGGCTCGAAGAAATGCTCTCAGAAGCGACAGGCCTAGGAACACACTAGTACTGGACGAAGCCACTGGGGAGATGGTTGAGTATAAGCATCCAGACTGGAAAGAAGACCCTAAAGCTGCAAGAAAGGCGAAGAGGGAGCCAGCCGTAGCCCCACAAGTTCACTTTGACTCTCCTATGAGCAAGCAGCCACACGTTGCCATTCTTGGAGGTGGGATGTCAGGACTTGTATGTGCTCTTACTCTTGAAGAACTCGGGATTCGTTCTACCGTATTCGACACTGTAAGCCTTCTTTAACCATCACATTTTGACTTGTTCACCTTAGGAAATGTGTTCTTAATTCACTCTTGTATAGTATTCCGTGCTTGGGCTGTTTTCAACGTACTGACCGGGATGATTGTTTACTGATAATACCTAGTTGCTCTTTGACTAATAGTCTGTACATGGCACTTTCAAGTCTCCGCACACACTCTTGCGTCTTTTCTCTATCAGGTTTTCAACTTACGATCTGTATGTGATATGTAGGGTAAGCATGGCCTGGGTGGTCGCATGGCAACTCGAGATATCCACACCAAGGACGGACTTTCTTTAACTTTTGACCATGCGGCTCAGTACTTTACTGTCTCGGATCCGAAGTTTCGTAAACTTGTGGATAGATGGATCGATGAAGGTGCTGTTAAGGAATGGAAAGGAGTTGTTGGAAAGTTGCAGGCTGGTGGAAAGTATTCTGATTTGGCGGATGATGTGCCACGTTATGTCGGAACGTATGGAATGCGGCCACTCGCCGATCATATGGTCTCACGAGTGAGTTATCAACCGACTCAGAATAAGCTAATTAGCTTGTGGATTCACAATTTAGTGTCGCATGTGATGAAATCGAGGATATGGTCCTACAGGACTTTGTTAACATGTATGTATTTTTACGTAGTGTTCAATTGCGAACACCTGTCTCCAATCATGCAAGGAGCTCTTAACTTTTATTATCTTTTCACAAACTTTCGGTGGCACCGTACGTGCAAATTTCTGACAGGGCCGACTTATTGAAGTGAAAAGGCCGGTGTGGATCAGCAACATGGATGCTAAGGGCCCTCTGTGGCATCTAAACGAGAATGGGAAACCTCACGGCGAATTCGATGCAGTCGTAATTGCTCATAATGGTAAGGTTTTTCTTCCACTACGATCCAGTTTTTAGTAGCTTTCTTCTTAGTTCTGTTTCTTATCAATTTGAACTCTGGATTTCCTGTATCGCACGTGTATCTCAAGGAGGTGCTTATTTTTGTGGATATGAGGTATTTGAGGTATTTGTGATTTGTGTTTTTGAATCTGTAAATATGGCAGGAAAATGTGCAAATCGTCTGCTTGCGCCATCAGGGGCACCTGAAGTATTTAAGCAGATGAAGGTATAATTTAAACCTATTATTCACACACACACACACACATATATATATATATATATATATATATATATATATATATGTATGTATGTATGTATGTATGTATGTATGTATAAAGTTACATTCAGAGAGGTGTAATGTATGTTGCTTTTAGTAACATTTTTTAGTTTCATGTTTCATTCATCGTATCTGCGTAGGTTTTTGTTATCTATATAAAATAACTACTTTCTGGAGTTAATCCTTATGTTGATTTTGTGCACTACTCTGGACATTAGAGGCTGGAATTGAGTTCAATCTGGGCCTTGTTGGCTGCTTTCGAGGAGCCACTACCTCTTCCAGAAGGACTTGAGAGCAGCCGTCTGGACGGTGCCTTCATTGAAGGAGTGAATGCTGTGTCGTGGATGGCGAACAACAGTTACAAGCTTAAAAAGGATGGCCCTCACTGTTGGACCTTCTTCAGCACTGCTGCGTTCGGTAAAAGGAATAAGGTTCCGCAGGTGAGACAACATTTTGGAATACATCAATTCATGAAATTACAGTGTACTTTGTGGTTTGTAAGTCATGATTTCATTCACCAAAGTCTTCTGGATTTGCTGATTACATGCATTATGGATTTTGAAGCAAATTTATAAGATATGTTCTAATAAATCTTTACCACGCAGGAAAGCATTCCAGCAGTTAGAGCAGAGAGGGTGCGGAAGGAGATGCTTCAAGGAGTGGGAACTGCTCTTGGTTTAGCCGAGGGAGCCATGCCGACTCCAATTTTCACCAAAGTTCAACTTTGGTATGCAAGGCTTTACCTTTTGCTTTTGTAACAATTAAATACGACTGTTCGTTCTGTTAGTGACATGTGTTTCTTTACTCCACGTTCAAATGTTTGTTGATGCACTATGATTTTGTAGGGGAGCCGGTTTACCAACAAATACTCCAGGCGTTCCTTGTATTTTTGATCCCGTTGCACGAGTCGGCATCTGTGGAGACTGGCTTTTAGGATCCAGCTTAGAGGCAGCAGCACTGAGCGGCATGGCACTTGCTGAACATGTAAGCTTCTTATTCCACAAATTCGAACTACCTTACTGTTAAGTAAATTCATAAGGCTTCTATGTAATATTGACTTCCATGGAAGCTCCTTTGAACAACCCGAAAAGGGTTCGTGATCTTCAAGAATCGTCAGAATGGGAGGGGCATACTGATTCCAGAAATAGATGGGTCAGTATCGACAGGAAATTGTCAGATCTTTTGTCTCATTTTTATCTCCGGGGTTCAGAGGCTATTCTTCCATTATTTTTCTTTTTTGACTAATTCTATCTTAAATGGATTGACTTGCCAAGTACTTAATCATTTTCTCCAAACGTGCTACATGCAGATTGCGGATTTCCGAGATAGAGGTGAACTAAACCCTGAAGAGTTCAGTATTGGACTACAAAAAGGCTTCTCAAATGTCGAAGGTCAAGATATAGGACAGTTTCCTGGGTCCACAGGACTCGAGACAAAAATGTCTCAGCAGCTTGTTGGGTCCACTCATTAATACGCTTAAAATAGTTCATTGTTACATTCATGGTAATCTCAGCTACTAAACCGAATCGAAATGCATTTTCCTAGACCTCCAAATTCCTTGTTGAGTAGAGATTAATCTCAAGCTAGTTAGCACACATGTTCAGTTAACAGCAATTGTATTTTCTGCAGCTTTACCTGGACTCTGTAACCGTCATGCAAAATTCGCTTTAAGCACTCTCCTTCCTGTACTAGTTTCTCGTTTGGTTTGAATTTAGGGAGCATCTGTCCGAACTTAACGTGAGATCAGGTAGTGTCGATAGCGAGAATAAGAATATTTGATCTGAAATTTAGCCAATTAAGGAACGATTTTAAGTACCCTTGAGTGTGAAGGCCAAGGGTGCTGCCGATTCTTGAGTACAAGAGAAAGTGGTCTAAAGTAAGATTATGTAGCCAAACACTATCCAATATACGTTTGTATATGTATATTTATAGATGCACCGTTTTACGATCAAATGCTAGATCAATAAACTTAGATAGTAGAACGCTGTATGCAACTCCCACGGAATCCAAAAAGGTGAGAAAACGATGTCCTACACATTTCAATGTATTGTGCATCTATCTATCATGAATGGGGGCTCAGCATGTGGACCCCATCAAACTTTTTGGTGAGTGCTGTAAATTGAAGTATATTGCTTTCAGTTTAACCTTATTGAGCACAGGAGCTGTGAGTACTTTATGATTGATGAGATGGAAGTGGAGTAAATAATACAGTGTCGTGACAGATTCCGTGGACATCTAACCTTAAAAGGATGTCTAACCTTGCCTTAAATAAAGAGATGCAACTTTTATAAAGTATGGTGAAGAAATGTTGCCAAAGAGTGGAGAAGAGAGTACTTGGTGATACAAGCAAGCTACATAAATTCCAAAGTGCGGATTCTAATATCATTGAACAGAACGCACGTTTCAGAGAGATTACAAACACAAGCGACCACTTGCAGGACTTGCATGTCGGAATTACCGTTACCGTACACGTATTTTTGGCATGCACACTATCCTATCAGAGATTTACAATGATCCAACGGCCCTAGCTTCTACAAAAACCCTATAAATACAGTATCTTACTGATTGTTTCTTACCGGGAGTTTTCACAACAGACATGCAGTGATCAATCATACAAGAAAGTCCAACAAGAGGTAAATGCGAAAATAACAGAACTGATGAACTAAATTCAGTGTACTGCAAGTGAAATTAGGAGAAAATAACTAAAGTTCAGTCCAAGATGACATATGATAATTAGAAAACAAAAAAAATCAACACCAATAAAATTCAGTGATATTTACTGCTTGAAAGTTAACGAAATTCTGCTTGATTGTTGTCTCTGAAGTGTTAGCCAGATCTTACAGCAAGCCGTAAGCAGCGTATTCATACTGCGACTATACTAGCAGGCTGCAACTGAGATCAGAGAGCCCTAAATTGCTAGCACGTAGAAACAAGAACACTGTTAAACAAGGACATCAATCACACCCTCACCAGTCTGCACCAAAACTGGAGAGACCTATCTAGCTATAAAAAATCTACAATGGATGCAACTGCAGCCTCAACCACATCCCGCTCCATACTTGAATCCACAAACCTTCAAAACCGACAAGAAGTTCCAAGTCTCTGGACCTGATTCTTGCTCTTAAACTTTACCTCGGCAAAAGCTTCAGGTAGGAGCTCCTGGAAGCCCTCCAAGAAAAGAGACCATTCCTTCTCACTCATATCTGCCAAAATAAGAGGCCCATGGATGAGGTCATTCGCATTTTTAGTACAACGCACGTTTTGTGCCACATTCATCGCTGCATACCCACGAAGGCCGATTGTATGTGGCTTTTCGATTTGAGTATGAGAACGAAACTTTCCAATTTTCAGAGAGGTGGATCTCGATGGCACTGACATGCGAGACAAAGAATAAGATTGATTGTCATTAGATGGCGAGGAAAAAGAATTGTCCGGTGGAATACCCAGAGGTGAGGGCCGAATCGGAGAAATTTCCAGAGCGCGAAAGTTTGATAGACCGATTTGCGAACTCAACTCGAAGCGCGGAGACCATGAAGGGGAGCTTGACAATGGTGACATAGATCTGCACCCATTAGCAGGTGAAGAGGAGTTGGGACTTCTGTGAATATCAGGAAGCTTCAGAGCAGGCACTTCAACATGGTCGTCCATGTCAAACTGGAAATCGTCTGAGAAATCCTCTGCTAGATTGAAGCCGTCAAAATCATCACTTTCTGGACTAGATGATAAAAGCTCCATCCTCGCTAGCTCGCAAACATTTTCAAGTTCACTAGCTTCCTCGCCACAGAGCTCTCTAGTCATCATGCCACCGATTTCTGAGAGAGTCAACCCTGCTTCTGCTGCCAGCTTCAGGAATATAGTACACAGCACCAACATGCGTAAACAAGCCTCTCGCATTGTAGGAAGCTCTTTCCGCAGCAAACTGCAGTCTTTGGCAGGGTCTAGCTTTTCTATATAATCCAATTCTTCCTTTGAGAAGGGAATAGAGGCCTGTGGCCAATGAAGCCATTCGAAGTATAGATCCTCAAGGGTTTCCGGAAGGCAAAGGCCATGATCAATAGGAATAAGATCCACCGCCTCCTCAAACAAACTTCCATTTTCAACATTCATTTTTTTCACTAATATATTGCCTGCATGTCGGTCGGTGTTGAACAAACGGACATCAAGTATTCCTATACGATGTACAGAAGAAACAGTAAATCGGGAAGGGCCATAGTCACTTGCGTCGAAGTCATGTCTTATAAACTGCTGAAACGACGCTAATTTGGCACTGCCTGGTTGTGAATGTCCAGCACCTGCATACTCTGCATTAACATTAAATATAGGGTGAGTTGCGTTCACCAGAGCTGTCACCGGCACCTTGGCGAAATGGTCATGATCTAATAGGTAAGCGGCCACTTCCCTCAAGCCAGTCTCTCCCACTCGAATTGAGGGCTTTGGACCAGGTTGCCCTAATGCTCTGCCGACATACCCTTTTGGGTTATTACGTGCAAAAGGCTCCTCATCAGTGGGTTTTACAATTGCTACGTTTTCTCCCATGCAGTTTCGAAAATAGTATGCTCCACCCATACCCCCGGTTGCTAGGACGGGTTGCACCCCGGCTTCGACGCCTTTAGCTGCTTCTCGCACAAGCCGCTTGATCTTGGTAGAGTGTTTTGAACCACCCACGATCTCGAACACACTGTTTTGATGGACATCTCTGCTTCTGGGTGACAAACACGGAGTTGAGGAGCTCCGGGATATTTTCTTCCTGAGTAAAACAGGAGCATCGCTGCTTATTGCACTTAAATCCTTATCAAGAACATGGTCGCCAAAAACCAAAGTACTTTGCTCTGTAGGGATGTTAAATGCAGCCTGCACTTTTTTCTTCACAGATTCTATCTTGTCATCCCTGTCTAGTTCAATGCCAAGAACGTCTCCTGCATTTCATCAAATCAGACGTCATTTCCAAGTTGTACCTTTCTAGCGTTTGTTCTTCAACACCAAATGAGACTTGGTGAACTTCACGTCAGGTATCATGAGATAGAACAATTCAAAGATCAAGTCTACAAGTGTAACACACGATGATATCCTAATTTCTACTAGAGGTGCATCACATGCAGCCTTGAGTACATGCCAAGCTGATGACATTTAAACCAACGTGGACATTGGCCAAGCATGTCATACTAACAATATTTTCGTTCACCTGAGTAAGCTTGCACAAAAATTCGTCGCCCTCCTGCTTGACGGCATGCATTTGAATGAAAACCGTTTCTGCCCACACTATGGCCATTAACTGTATCTGGAACTGTCAGAGGTTTCCGAACTTGCACTGGGCCTTGTGCATTGGGAGGCATGCCTGAACCAACCACAAGAATATCATCATTTAAGTTGAAAATCATCCCTGCTGTCTTCTTACAAGAATATCTTTGGTTCATAGGACGATGAACATATTCGAAAAGTGAGCAGGACTTAACAAAGCCGATTATGAACATTGTTCCATCTAAAGATGCTAGAAATAACTCATGTACATAGCGGCTGAAGCAGCTGACATTATCAAGGAATCAGATTAAATTAGTGCACAAGAAGCATGAGCTTGTATACATGATTGGTAACGCTTCACACTAAACTATATAAGCACAATACAAGATACAAGGATGATAAGTTGTGCCAAAAAATGTTTACAGAATGACATGTAGAAGACTGAATTTCGAAATAAACAGCTTCTTACCTACAACTATTGCTTGCACATTTACTAGCACATGAAATTATAACTAAGAGATTGGAGTTTCCATCACAGGGGCCCACGGGTTGGCAGGGATGCAGGACAATCACTGGTGCACAAAAACAAGTGAAGCGAAGGTGCTGCGATCCTGTTTACCTGAACCTTATGCAGAGCGCAAACTGCTCCTTTTGGAGTGTGAGTACTCTTCTTGGAAAGGGCAATGACAGTGGCTTCGTCCAATACGTAACCATCCAATGACAGAGCTGCAATTTGCCGTCCCAGGCTACAGAATGAGCAATTACTTCCTTTTCTCTTGCAGATCTACAAATCGCCTAAACTAGGACCACTAATTACCAGCTTAATTACCATTACACGAAACCGTCCGTCACTGTGTAGAAGACGGCGCGGCCAGAGATTGAATTTTTTTTACAGAGTAGGTTCTGAAAAACCAAAGAACCACAGCAAGAGTTGATTACCAGGCCTACGCAAGGCTGGTGCTAGAAGGATATTCCTCTTACTACCAGTGCGTAAGAGCTATTGGCAATTTCTAAACATGTGGTGCGATCCTTGAAAAAAGTGATGATACCGATGCAATGCGCTCACTCAAACTTCGATCAAAAACCACTTCATGCTTCATCGCCCGAAAATGGACCGCTGGCAAGGCTAGAAGCACCCGAGCTCCAAAATCGAAAAACCACTCACGGAGCCCTGTGTGTGACCCGTGATCAACTTTTCAGCTACATTTGCAAAGCTTGCGCTGTAAGTTCTGAAGCTAACATACCATCCCCCAGTCCCAAGCTTTGTCAAACCGTGACCACCACTTCAGAAACCCATTCCCCTCTGCAAAGTACAATTCCCGTCCCTCTCAAACTAGTCGAGAAAATTCCGCCACTTGACGACAGCTGTCGCTCGCAGGCTAAAGCCTAGCTTCAGCGAACTCCACCAATCCTACAGTATAATTACAGAGGAAACCCTAACCTAACAGATCATCAGCCAGCAGAAATGGCTCCCTCACAACACAGCCGTCATGAAACAGGAAACGATCTTCAACAACCCGCACATACTACACAAGCCTTCAAACTCACAATGCCAGCACAAAGCGGTCAATTCCAACAGCCACACCCTGCTGCCGCTCAACAATTTCGAAAAGTGAGGGCACACAAATTGGCCGGCGAAGGGGTTTAGGCCAGCAGAGCAGCAGCCACTGACCCGAGACACACAATGCAAAATGGCACAACACTCCGAATACCCTTCACTACACGCTCACGACAAGCCAAGAACTCAAACACGCACCGATCTGCATACACACCGCGAGGGGCGACACTAAATTTCACACGCCACTATCACTACACGCCACGGAGACTCAAATTTCTCACAAATTCTGCCAGGGGGGAAAAGACAAGTCAGTCAACTCGCTGCTACAGACGCATGCCGAACATGGCAAAGCAGAGCCCAATGCAGCGGTGCTAACTGACTCCTCCTACAAGCATCCACAGAAAGAACGCCGGATGCTGAGACTCTCAAAAGAATGTCCACTCTCTCCTCCTCGCTTGGCCAAGCTCCCTCCCACAGCATCCATCCGAGCTCTCTCTGCACAATCGCTACGTCGACAAGTGCACCGCGCGACTCACTGGAAGGAAAAGGGAGGCTCCCGAAACCTAGAATCTTGGATGGGAAACGTTCCGGGAACAGAACTGGCTCTACATAAAGTGCACCTTCTAGAAACGGAGTCGACATGGAACAACAGGAGCCCTCGTCCTAGTTTACAATGGATGAACAAATTTCCACGTCCGCCTCGTTGGTTTGCCATGTCAGCTGTGAGTGGGATCATATAAATCTGAGGTGGCGGACAAAATTGTCTGAGGTGGCGCGGTCGTGGGGTTCAGAAGCTCATCCTCTCTGAGTCCAAAGTTTCTTGGTGTGGATTGATTCTTAGCGTCGCGAGTAATCGCAGCGGATGGTGGAGATGGTGGGTGTTTCAGTTTGATGATGATGCAGTGGCTGGCTGGCTGGCTGTGGGTCACAACGAGTGCTGGGCTGCGGAGCTCATTCTTCTGAGGGTCGATTGATGGATGGAGGTTTCCGTGGGTGCTTCGAGTGTTGGCAAGATGCAGGGAGGTTTGGTGGTCTCCTCTGCTGCGCAGGTACATTTTTTGAAGCTTTGAGTGTGGGTTTGAGTGGATTGTGTGCTGGATTCTTCGCAATGGGTGTTGGTTGTCACCTTGAATTTTTTTGGTTCCTGATAATTTCGAATGCTTTTGGAGTTTCTGCGATTCTTTCACTGCTGGGTGAATAATGTAGTCTATTGTTGTGGCAGTTGTTTTTTCTGTGTGGGTTTATGCTGGTTCGGCTCTAGCTCATGGTGGAGATTTTTGAAGTCTTTCAGTTTGTGTTGACGTTTATCCTTCTTGAACTGTCGGATTGGTGTTGGTCGCTGGAGAATGTCGAGTTCGTGTGCAAGTGTGAGAAGCTGTTGGTGTTTCATAATTTTAGAAGAGCGCTGTGTTAAGAATTCTCACGATTGAATTTGTGCATCTCACAGACGCAAGTGCAATCTACCGCTAGCCGATTCGCTCTAGTCTCTTCCGCACCACGGTCCAATCTTGCCTCTTCCAATTCACCCTCGCTCGCGTTTTTACGACTTCCCTCTGAGCGCTCGTTACGCAGGGCGAGGTCCTGGAGTGCTTCGGCTCCTCAACGACGGCCCCTTCAGGTGGTGTGCGGTGGTCTGGGTGATTTCATAGGGGGAGATTTGCTGGGCCTCGACCTTGACCAATGGGTCGGTGATGTTGAGAAGTATGGCTCAATTGCTGTGTATGCTCCTGCTGAGGGCGGCTATGAAGGTCGTTACAGCACTCGTTTGAAAAGCGAAGGATACCATTTCATGAATATCTCGGCGCGCGGCTTGGGTGACCCTGAGGCTTACCTCACCAAAGTGCATGGCGTGCGACCTGTAAGAAGTTCTACATCTTTGACGATTCTGAGAAAGGCATTTTAGCTCCTCACACGTTTATTAATCTTAATTTTACGAGTGGTTTGAGAACGGATTGAGAATGGATTGCATGGTACCAGGGTTGCATTCGAGGCCTAACGAGTTATCTTACTACATCGAGCATTGAGGGCCTTGATACGAGGACACCTTAAATTTCGTTTTACTCTTGGGTTGTAGTTTTGGTGAAGCATTGTGGAAGGCGGGAGTCAATATGGAGCATTTTTAGAACATGAAATGTAAAGAACGGATGATAGAATGATATTATGATTCCTGGCACATTGAACTACGCTAGATCGAAATCTCCCCAGGGATGTGGAAATGCGATACCTTAAGTCAGGCGATGCTTAGAATACACACTCTAACAACTCGGAGAAGTTTTATGTCTCCGGTGACGTATCTTTTGGCAATTAGTACCGTTTTTCATTTTGGAGAATCAGGCCAAATTTGCATCTCGGTCACATTAATAACAAAAGGGGTCATGGGAAGGTGATGACGACGAGTGCATAAATAATTTATTTTAACATCTTGATCACATTGATAACAAAAGGGGTCATGGGAAGGTGATGACGATGAGTGCATAAATAATTTATTTTAGCACTTCGAACTGTAGAGTTGCTAGCAAAACAACGAGGATCTTCAAGAATGGAGACTTTTAGTTAACAGAAAATAAAACCGGTTCTATGCAGGCCCATCTTGGGAAGCAAACCATCGCGCGCTGGTATTTTCCACCGGAGGTCGACTACCGGCTCTCTCTTCTTCCTAAGAATTGCAAGGGCCTCGTTCTTTGGGTTTTGGAGGCTAAGGTGAGGAATAGCATCCTTTTTATTTTTGTGTGTGTGGTTGTGTTTTGGACTTATTTTATCACATTGCGATGATCCACCCGAAGAATTTCGTGACTCTACGTAAAATCTAAGCTTTACTTGAAGAGGTGCTGCTGTGAGTTACTTTTTCAAACCACTTTTTTTAGTTCATTATGTTATTAACATAAACATGTCGGCAGGTTCTATCGAAGTCAGAGTTGCAGTTTCTTGCACTGCTCCCGGCAATTCGTCCGAATGTGAAGGTTATTGCAGAATGTGGGACCTGGTAAGGAACTCATTACAATGAACTTATAATGACTAAAGGGTATTAGCAGAGTTGCTAATGTTGAGATGCGCACACATTAGGTTTGAGTTTTACTTATGCTCCTCAGACAGCTCGTGTGGAGATTGTGATAATCTTTAAGTATTCTCCCAGCATTCCAATTTTGTTTCTTATGTGATAGTGGTCTTCTTCTGCAATTGTAGTAAACTTTTTATTGCATCTGTGTGAATTGGATGTAAACTATAGCTGATAGTGATGGTAACAAATATTATATTGTTATTATTCACGAAGGTCAAACTTGAACTATAAATACGTTTTGATTTAGAATTTCTACGCTGAAATAGTTGAATTTCTATTACAATGCCATAGCACGTGTGACTCACTCATCGTTTCAAGAGAATCAACATGGCAAGCGACACTGTGAAGACAGTACTTGAGTGTCCCCTTTCTCATGGAATAAACCCCATTGCTCATTTTTTAGGGCTGCTTGTTCAAACGGCTCATTCAATCAATCCGATTCTTTTTTTATTGCAATTCGATTCTCACATAATCGTTTTGATTCTCTTTTCAGGAGGTCTTTCAAATGGAGACCACTGAAGGACGCGGCAGGTCTTCCAGCCCCTCAGGAAGCGAACGCGGATGCTTCAACTTGATTTGTCGAACAAGCATTGTACTATTTGCCACCAGTTATTTACCATGAATATTACCTCCTGAGCGCACTTTCTAGGTTACCCTTTTCGGGATTTGCATTATTCTGATTCAATTGCGTATTGTGAACATCATGCATCTATCTTGCTAATTTACAGGTCTTTCCGTGGAGATTCATGTTAATTGAGAGGTTCCTTTGAAAATTAGAGTTGCAAAGATGTGTCTTTCCGTGACGTAGTCTCTAGAAAACGTGTACGGTTTGTATTGACTTCATTTCATGTTGACCAGGTTACGACGAGTGGGATAGCGCAGAAACATTCTTAGAAAATTCCTTGAAACTAAGATAAACAGATGTCGCGGCCTTCATGGTCGTCCAGAATATTTTGCAGTGATTATTGATTAAATTGTCCATGATCTTGATTATGTCTTAAATATTTCATTACTAATCCAAATGTGCATACTCCTATCAGCACCATAGCCCGTGATTCATGTTGGACGTTGCATCATAATACTTTGATTCATGAGACTGGGTTTATGGGCCCTCCGTTACAGGCCAGTATTGAAATATTCAGTCCTCGGAATTCGGTGAGTGATGTCACGTGGACGAGATGCCCCAGTAATCTACTAGAGCACAATATGCTTGACTTTTTCCGCAAATGTCCTGGATAAAGTTGCTCTGCAATTCCATTTCAAAGTTAGTGATGCAACTTGCATAAAATCGCATTCGGCCTCAATTAGAACTTAGCAGCTGGACCTAAATATCAGGTACCGAAAGCAGATTACATTGCATGATTCCAGTAATGCCATTAGGTTTGATCATTGGGTTTTCACATGAGTTATTAGGATGAAGCTCCAAGACGATTAACCTTCTCCCTAATAGAACCATAATCTGAAATCTGTATTTAGGTCTCCGTTAATGTTCTATATGCTGAATTTAGATTCTCAAAACTAGTTTTATGTGCTCAAAAGTACACCGAAGAATATTTTTCACATGTTTGTATAACTGTTTTTTTTAGTACTTTGCGAATCTCACACTCTGTGTATCTCATTCCCAGATCGAGTAATTTGTTGAGAGTGGTGGATGCTTGCAACTTTAGCAACTTTGGAGTATGGGTTGACATCACAGAAACATGACCTCAGAATTCATGAGGTTAGGTGCCAGTGCCCAGTACAGTTGGAGGATTTTGTAATGAGCCTACAAGGACCTAGATAGTACCAGAAAAAGAACATGCCATGTGGCCCCTGTCTGAGTCTATCCAAGTCAATGGTGACTGATATTTTACAAAGCAGCTGAAAGTTTGATATTGCCCTTGCGGGAGGGCCCATCTTCAACGCCAGTGCCCCTCTGTCTCAAACAGATGTCCAGATGTTCGCTTTGCAGATAAAATAAACAACGTTTCCAAGGAAAACGCAACTAATCGTTTTCGACCAGTAAGCACATAATCAACATGAGATCAAAGCCTTGGGAGCGAATACATTAACCATGATTTGGGTGGTTCTCTCTTGAATGGTATTGTACACATCCAAGAGCCGCCGGGACCCACTTAGGTAGCATACTCTTGGCATCAGGATGTCCTGTGAGTGATAAGTGTGCCCGGCTACATGCCATAATCTACATAGACCTGTCAAAAAATCGGCAAGGCAATAAATACTGCCTCTGATATATTGCGACTCAGATTCACAGGCACAAGAATAATCTTACACGGCTGTACCTTAGTAGGATGAAGGGCTAGAATATCTCCTATATGCGACTTCACCAATTCTCCAAAATGTGAACTAGTACAGACCATCTCCAAAATGAAGCATTGCAGAGGGTGACGGCATCACCTTCTCAGGCATCCTAATGAGTTGGAAATACAATACTAATAGCCCACCTCCCTAATCTATCCACCTAGTCACGAGGATTGAAAAGTACGCAACCACAAGGAGCGTACAAAGATCATGTTCTACAGGTTACAACTCTGATAAAATAGCAGGTATGAAGTGCGACAGCTCAGCTGTGAGTGATTGGAATCCAATCACAAGTTGCGAATGGAACTCTTGATCTTCTTCTCCTATAAGTCGTGCATGAATTCGTATCGACTTCTTGCACACAGCCATAAACTCCAAGAGTGCTGCTATAAGTTGCTGTAGTTCCTGCGGGTTTAGCCTTGTTGCAGGTTCTCCAGACAAGAAAGCAGCACATATTCCAAGCACACCACTGTTTACCTGCAAAGTAACAACCACATGATGAGCACTTGATAAACGTTTCTACAATTCTCACATTTAGAGCACCACATATACTTAAAGAAAAGAAAATCAGCGAATAGCCACCAACCATACTTAAATAAGATACGAAAAAGTATTTTGACAAGGAGAATTTTGGGGCATTGGCCCCTGAATGTAATACCTGAACTGCAACACTCCCTTGCAATATTCTTTGAAGGCTTTGCAACCGGGACGGATGGTCTCCTTCATTCAATCGGTTGTCATCAAGTTCCCCTGCTAATGCGGATGTTCGAGTTTCGATCATGCCTATAGCATTTTCAATAGGCGAAAATTCACGAGACTCCGACTTTACAACCGTTAGACGATTCACAAGAGCAGGAAAAGGTCCTTCTGTCCATAGCATAGTACGTCTTTTCCATTGATCCTCTAGACCTCCTTGTGACTTGCCGTTTTTTGTGAAAGGAGTATCATACAAAAATCGATTGAACACTCGGGCACTAACCGTCGCTGTTGACTTATTGGATTGTCTATCTCGACTACTCTCCATGTCCTCATCCTCAGTAATAGGCTCAACAGATGTGATTTGCATGTAGCAGATCTCCGCTTGAAGGTCCTCAAGTTTAACTTGTCGAGAATCAGGAATGATATGCAAAGACTGTTTCCCCTCGATAACCCTGGGCTCATAAATATTTCCCAAATTCCTCATGATATCCCCTAATCGCACATCTCTTGCCTCTCTGTAAACATACTCCTTGCCATTCAGACTCCCGAAGCTTTTGCCATAAAATCCCACACGATAATAAGTTGCATCTGAGAAGGGGATCGGACTAGACTCCTGCTCTACTATGGCTTCATAAATGCTTGTCAGAGAAGTGTGACATTTTGAGAGTTGTCCGTAGGCACGCCTTGCTTTATGAACTGGGATAATAAGCTCCAAAATGCCTGAACCAGAATATTTTGATAAGCATGCCAAAGTCACTCTTGTAAAAAAAAAAAAAAAAATGAAAACTATAATCAAGATATTCATACATAATCTACGAGGACTCAACAATATCCAATAACCAAAGTATGTGCACGTCTTACCCGCACAGAAATGATAAAGCTCTCCCTGAACAAAAAGCTTGTTGGCAAGCTGAAGATACTTCACAGCTGATTCCACAGTGAGCTTTGATGAACCATAGCCCTCTATTTCAGCACTAGCAGCTTCTCCAAAGCTAGCACCAGTGAGCACAGGGCATATTTTTCGCAGAGCCTCCACATGTTCCTTGCCCCACATGGGATCTCCTTTACCTACAATGGCCTGTACACTCGAGTACAGACGTTTTGTCACTACCAAAAATTATCAACAGAGCTTATACACTAAAAAATCTATTTCCTTCAAAGAAAAACTACACATGCTCAGAAATTGTAGGTCAATTAGATATCTACCACAGAAATGATGCATTCATAAGAAAATAAAAAAAACAAATATTCCAAATTTAAGCAAGACTCTACTCTGAAAGTATTCAAAGTTCACATCTAAAAATTTCTAGCCATTTACACCGCACCAAGAAAGTCAGTATATGCCTTCGAATGTTTTGGTTTAGCAGCGAAGAACTGACTATCAGGGTGTAAAAAGAAGCATCAAAGAACAAAGTACATCTACTGCTTATTATTAATGTCCCAATAATCATTGACATAATAAGCACCGATCAATGAAGGATATCAATATAATTCCACTAAAAGTTCATAACAGATACCTGCATAATGACGCCTGCAACAGCAACTGCGCATTGAGCGGCTTCTGCATAAGACTGGTTTCCTTGATGAACTTCACAAAGATATAAAAGCCACATGATGTGTAGGTCAGGTACATGGGAGTATGCCCTCGCCAAACCGTAGTATGCCTCAGCAGTTGCATACTTATCAGCTGACATGACTTCCGGCCCCTGAACCAAAACACAACAATAAAAGAATTACAAATGATCACTTTTTAATTAAGATACGGGTAGACGTTTTCGAACACAAACAATAAATAAGAACAAATTGGTGACAAACTGTAATGAGTTCAACAAATTATGCCCCAATACATATCACGATCTCATTGCCAGGTCCATATCTGACAGTTCTTGTGAGAAGGGAAAAAACATGAAGATGTGAAACCATTCAGGCAGTGGAGAGTTTCACTACAAAATGATTCACTGTACCAGTAGAGCATGTGCCACTGCAGCCTCAACAGCTTTAAGCAGAGTGCTGGACAGTTCAGCAACTCCAGCCCAGCTCCAGTTCTGCTCACAACCTCCATCTGGTTTTCCCGACAGTGCATCTTCGGGAAGTCCACATTCACGAAGAAGATCTAAACTGATGTTTTCCTGAGAAATCTGTCGCAGCGATCTGCGAAGGCGCTGAGATTCACCACTTTCCTCTAAGGATCCATCCATTCGATGTTGAGTCACTTGAACATCAGACATAAGTTCTGATAGCGTGATTGTTAACAGCACACGTAGACGAGACAGCCCTTGGAAATATTGGAAGGCAGTCTGCACCATATTGTTCAAATTAATATGATAAAATTTACTTGCCGCACTCTTGGACGTTGTTATGCAAATTCAGACGAAATTAGTGACCATTCTCATTGTGCACACGCTCCAACAAAGCACACATTACTACCAACACTGTTTCTGACATTACATGTGATGATGCGTCAACTAAGCTAATTGCTAAATACAGGTTAAGTGATTACATTGAAAATCGTAACATTGCCATTGAGGGTAAAATTCAGTCAACCTCATAGAGAATACTTAACTTGACGCCCTTGTAATCATTACCAGTTACACAATGACGATATCATGTGTTTGTATTATGGACCTATCCATTAGAAGATGAACTATAAAAACCATGATTTTGAAGCTCCATTTTTAAAAACTCTGAACATGCAGTCGAAACATGCCCACTCGAGAGAGAAATCAAGAAAGAAACAGAAAACTTACTCGAACAAGAATTTGAAGACCAACAACGGCTCTTTTCCGAATACTCTCATTACGAAAAACTCCGAGTCGCAGAAGATGAAAAGCAACTTGTTTCAAAAACCTATCATTATCCCGGCTCATCAGAACAGCCCCATGTTGACTAAACAAATTGTTTAACACAGGAAAGAAAGCTTTCCAGAAGGGCAAGGGTTGACTGCGTCCTAAAAATCCAGTGATGATGCTTGTGATACAATCAAGTCGGATATAATCTGTAGCGACAACTTCGCTTGTCGTGGCCTCCATAAATTTTTCAACGACTTCCAGAAGTTGCAGCATAACCGAAGCGCTGAGACTCTCTTCCCACACATCCTGAAAGACTACATGTGTCAGAGAAGTATTCAAATGAAGGTTCGCATGGCAAGGTCCATTCTACATTTACAAAGTCCAGACGCTTTAGATTATATCTACCAAACACTCGTGAACTCAAACAGCCGTACTGACCAGTTTCTGCCGCAGCTTAGGATGTAAGCTTTCTTTAAGAGTCACCCCTGCTCCTCTTCCTGCTGTCTGAGCTTGCGCCAAAGCTTCGCGCAAAGAGTGAGGCTGACTTGGGCTGCTTGAGCTGTTTGAAATTGGGCTTACTCTCTTCCAGAATATGCTGGCGTCTGGACTCGCCTGTGGAACTATCCACTGAGCTCCGGGAGAACTCTTTGTAACCTGCAACATGTTCTCGCAAAAATATTCGTCAACATACATCAACAAAATTGTACTGCATTTTTTCATCTAACAAGGTTCCTTTTCAAACCTTCACGTGTAAAGCAGTACGCATCATTCCAAAAAATCAAAGGCGAAAGGAAAAAAGGAGGTAATAACTTTTTTCTCACGTGCATAAACATAACTAGATGTGAACATTGTAAAGAAAAAATCATGTCTTTCAACGTTTGAGATTTGTAGAGCAGAAATCGCAGAAACGTAAAATCATAAAATATAAACGCACCCTAATATCTTGTCGAGAAGATTCAGCTAGATAATGGTTAACTGCAGGAGAAAGCTTCTCAGAATACCGAAGAGGCCCTTCGCCTTGTTCATTGGTAGGCATTGCACCCATCAAGCCGTCCGCTCCTGCTTTTTTGTACTGCACAAATGAAGCCGTATTTACATTATTGTGTGCACCCCCAATGCTGCAAGCAGTTTACCAGATTTTCAGAGTCCATCTCCACTTAAATTGCAATTATCTTGGTGACACTACCACTTCAGCACGAATATCTACAGATACTACACGTCAGAGCTGCAAGAAATCAAAGCGCTAAGAACTTTTTAACCAACCATATATGCAACAAAAGTTTGGTAGTGAATGTCTTTTGGGTCGTAGGTCCTGGTACATATTAAAGCAATTACAGTGACTAATGCATATGCTGATAAAGCTGGGAGGATAAAGGTCAAACCTCAAACAGCTCTTGACATTCTTCAAGAAGCTTGAAAAACAGCCTTGTTCGAGAAACATTTTGTTGCCAAGCCTTTATAAGAGAAGCATCATCCAGGTAGCGTAAAATGTGGAGCACACACACCAGGATTTCACGCTTTTCTGTTGAGCTCAACCCATAAAATACTGGCATCTCATCCAAGATCTGCTAAGTCCAGTTTTTACAACAGTTGAGAAAATTCAATCAAATCACTTATCACCCCTGCATATGTATCCAAAGTTCGAGAACGACAACTCCCTGGGAAAGATGTGCTACAGCTTTGCATGAAAACTGATGGTTGCTTAGAAGTACTTCGATACATATAGCCAGGAAAGAAGGACAAAATTACAATTACTGAGATAGTGCATGAAATAACAACAGAAATACGTATTCCAACTTACCAATCCAACTAAAGGGAAGTAACGCTGTGAGATGTACAATTTGTCATCAAGTGTTTGGTATCGTGAGTCGTATTCATGCTTGCAAAGGAGTTGTACAAGTATTCGACATGCCTATGGAGTAGATAGGAAAAGTAACAGTAAAATTTAGTGTCACACACGGAATGATTAACGACGGATAATGCTGAAGGTATCGCAAAAGCCTTGAGAATCTCTTGATATCAGAAAATAATTCAGCGTAGATTAGTTCTATTGCTGCAAAAATTGCACACTTGTAACAATATATTCATTTCTATTAGTCAATGCTAGACATGTTGATTACCTTTGCCTTTAAGGCTGAATCCTCATGATCCCAAGTGATGAATAGCTCCTGCATCAACGTTGATGCCAAATAATTCCTGCCATCTCCTCACAACAGATTAATTCCCAGCAGCTACACTATTCACACAACCATGGAGGAGACAAATAGCTCCGAGCTACACCGTAACAATAGCATGATTATTGGATCAATGAACCTTCAAGTTAATCCTTTAAGTTAGGTCTACATACATAATGAGAGACATATGTGTTCCCAAGTTGGTAGAAATTAGTGCATCTGTCAAAATTGTTCGAAAAATACCAGAAAAAATCTCTATTTGCAGGAACTCGTTGATAGAAGAGAAATTCAAGCGTACAAGTACAAACCTCTCCGTAGGATCTCTGCCAGGCATTTCAACGAACAAGTCGTGATCACAGATGATATGGAGAAAATTAAGTTTGTATTCATGAATTACTGATTGACAAACCCCAGCAAATTTATTGAAGTAGAGCGCGACCTGTGGAAGCACAAAAGAAAAATTAATTTGCGAACACGATGCTTATGACCCAAAAGTATCACGGTTGATTCGCGCACATACTGGACAAACCGCAAAGCGATTAGTCCAGACCATCTCGACTTTTTATTACTTAAGAAGTGGAAGACATCTTTATAGGCACTGTTTATCATAAAGCTACAGACGGCAGGACGCCAAAGTTATTCGAAACTCCAATATACAAGTTCATACCAAAGTTTCTCATAAACCATCATCCTGAGAAAAACTCAAACACACATGAATCATTTCAACAACATTAGGTTTTTTGAGTTATAAACCAATCTACAACAAGGAGTAAAATATTTCTTGGTTGATTGACTCACTAACTCAAAGACTTGGCGCGGTTCAATAACAGAGAGAAGATCGTAGCAGAAGAAGCCCAAACTGCTGTTAAGTTTCTTGGCGAGAACCAAGCCCTTCTTTCCTCTGTCTTGAACCTCCGTCAGCAAACAATCATACAGCTGCCCAATGCTTTTAAAGACCTCATCATTGAGCTGTAATGGTGGCAACTCTTCACCTGAAAAAAATCATGCAACTGCTTCAGAGGATCTTGACTATGAGGTTGCGTTCCTTCCATACATTGAATATGCAGCTCACAACTCAGCTAGTTTCCGTAACAATGCCCACTGAGCGCTAAAGTAGAAAGGAAAACAGATGATCTGAGTTATGACGTACAGCTTATGGCCAGTTCCAAAGACAGTAGAGGAGAACCTGATACAGACCTGGAGGAAGGGCTTCACTATACGTACGAGACTGCTCGAGTGTCATTGACTTCACAATCAACTCAAGGAAGAACCAAGCCATGGACAACACATCGTCGTACACAGGTCCAACTCTGTAGCCTTTGGCCTGCGTCACGACAATATGTTAAGACCGCGAATAACCAAAACCTTTGATCTTATCCTCACTATTTGAAAGAAATCCCCTATGCCTGAATGTCATACCTTGCTGCGAGCAAGACTACGCCAAACGCTGCAGAGACCAGAATACACCGGATCATGGCGCCCACCAAAATCATCAAATGCGTAGTCCACATATTGAACAAGATATCGATTCCGCTCAGCTCCATCTGATGTTTCGCCTTGTACCCTGCTCACACCGAAGCAATTGAGAAAATATTGCCAAAAAAAGGGTGCTCGTAAATGCAGCGTTAAATCTTTAACTTTTTAACAGTGCAAGTGGAGATCTGGAACCTGGTAATGATATTGACCATTGATCGGAACGCAGCAACCTGTGAAGTCGATTAAGTACCATAACATAGTAAACAGAAGAGATAAGTGTCTCATGTCAACAATTCAAAGAAAATGAAAACAACCGAAACTGTAGATAGGCATCGGCAATTTCTAACTCGTTTATTGGCAAAAAAGACGGAGGATAAGAATTATTCCTAATTTTAAAGCAGCAACAAATCCCATCACAGCTCAAATAGCTTACAGAAGGTACGCAACAAAATGTCAGATAGTTTCGCCCAAAGATCAAAAATGAAACACTTGAAGAATACATTTAAAACCACGAATACCTGCAGCGTTTCTCCACCATCACCAATCATGCGAAGTAGCATATTCAGGCATGGTTGAAGAAACTGAAGCATAGCAGATGCTTCAACGTTCTTTAAAGCATTGATTGCCTGCAGATTTTTAAACTATGGAGTCAATAAACAGCAAGTAATATAAATTGCTCATCAAAGCTTTATAAAAGGACTCATCGTATAGATCTCAAATACCAAGAAAACCTAAAATTACTTTCAACCACGCGTCCACACTCACTGGATCATGTGTGCGGTGTAGGCAATTCCCCGAGTTCCAAAGTTTCTTAAATTAATGAAACGAAGATAAGTACTGTAGAGAAATCAAGCAAATATGCTAAGATTACCAAGTGCGACACATTCAAGAATTAGATCAAATGAGAATCAATAAACACACCTCCATAAGTTCGTTTCCCCATGGACTGGTCCGCAAAACGTGACGATTATACTCGGAGAAAAAGTCCCGAATCCTCTCATTAACAGGATACAGCGATGAGCACAAACGGGACCTTAATTTAAATACCGTTCTACCATCATCAAGATATTCCAATCGATCCTGAACCAATTCAAAGTCCACATCCCACCTAGAACAGTTTAGGCAACTCCAAACGTTGCAGTATAGTGAAGACTATGTATTGAAGATGTACTGCATGCGATACACAATGTGGCTAAATTTACCTTCACATTGTCTTTTAGGTAATTAGGGTACAGTTCCTTTGCAATAGGCAGGGTACCATCCAACCGGATAACCCTGTAGCCACAATATTAAAGATCAACGCAATAGAGGACACATGAATTTTGTTATGCATAGGTAAGTGGAGAAGTGATAATCATAACAAAAGAAAATTTCAGGTGTTCATGCCAACCCATTAGAGAACTCCAGGTTAAATAGATGGCCTGAAGGTCACTGTAGTTTGCAAAAGCTGATAACAGGCGAACTTTGCACATTCTAATAATTAAGACAATCGATGATAAACTCCTGAGAAACCATTCGAACACTCTGGATATACATGCTGAGACAAGGTACTCACTGAGAGGCGAATAAGAGCGGCAGAACTGCGTATCCTACAACCACCTGCGATAATGCCGAAACAACTCACTGGTCATTATTGATAAGTGGTCTCAATGACTTGAAGTAAACATTAATGAGCATTTACTAGGCAAGCGGCAGTTACTGCAAACAAAATAGTACGTACATCGAAATTTCAAGGTTTGCAATAAGAATGGTAAGGATTGACAAATGCATGGACGTTACCAGAGGAAAAAAATAGGAAATCTACAACACTATCAGGACAAATCCAATACAATCAGCTAGCTTTAAGAGTTAGATTCCCCTCTTCAGAACCATACAGTATACAACCCCAGACGTTTTCAATTTGTCACTGTTTACTAAATTAGAAACAGCGATTAAATCCTCGCAAATTCACGGAATGGAACACACATAGACATGTCAAACTTGCTCAACCTATCATATATCAAAGCTGAAACATAAAGTATATCAAAGCCAAGAATGCAGATAGAAGTGAAATTGATAATATACTGGCTTTGGTGCTTCAAGTTTCATCTGAAGATCCACATGAAAGAATGTGAACAGGAGGTGATGGTCCGGAGACAGATTGGCAGGAAGTTGAACTTTGAACTCGTCATGAAAGTGAGGCGTTTTCGTATTAGAATCAATCTGAGAGTGGGCATACTTCTGCATAGAGCTATCAGCATCCCTGGGATAAAGAGCCTGTTTTGCATAAAAACACCTCGTCAAAGACATCAAAATAACACCTTACATCAGCAGCATAGAGAAAAAAATTAGGCGTAACATTCGAACTAAGGGGTAAACTATTCTTTTTTGGTTTTTCTTGGTTTTTTTATTCTATCTTTTATCTTTTATCTTTTATTTTAAGATAAAGATTAAGACATACCTCAAGGGGTGGCTTTCGAATATCGCTATCATCCACCCTGAGCTCCAGCCGAATGAAAAGGTTTCGCTTTCGGTTAAGTGTGACAGATTGTGGATAAACATAGAGGCAGTGCAACAGCTGTGACAATGGCTCAGGTTTCGGACCCAGTCGATATTCAACAGCACGAAACTGTAACATCCAAATAAGAAATAACAAAAAATGAGTGGAGCTTCTTGGTTCGGACCAATGAATGCTACAAAAATACATCGAAGATATACACAGATGTAACTAATTCCTGGACATCGAAAGATTAACCATCTTGCAAATAAGTATTTGTTTTTATTCCCAGTGTGGTTCTTTTAAAGAAGAAGACTGCTCGAAGTAAAAACAAAGTACCTCTGATCGCCCCAGATCAAGACTACTTCCACTGCCTGAAAGTAAGTCACGATGTACAGGACTATTTTTCTGATATCCATTATATAGCGCCTTCGTGAATTCAAGCCCTTGAGAAGAACGCCCTGATAATGATGCTCCTATAGAACGAGAATCAGCATCAAAGGAGCCATTACTGAAACTGCCGCACTCGGAGATGCAATCCGCCTCATGATCATCACTGCCCAGCCTCTCAATCTCAAGACGCAAAATTGCCTTCACTGGCTTGTGCACTTTACGCTTTGGATCTTGGAAAGAAAGCACGCTTGATTGGCCGCCAGGTTGTTCAATCTTGTAACCAAACAGACCTTGTTAAAAGAACAGATGACATACTGTATAAAGTGCATTAAGCATATTTCAAAAGCATGATGTACGACCAAAAACGCTTAAACTACTGCTAAATGAAGTGAGAACATACAACGTACCAGAAGCATATCCTCTGTATAATTCTCTTTCACACGATGAAGGCTCGACACATCAACCAGAACTGGAACACTGGCAGAGTCGGCCTTTGAGTCAGCAATCAGCCTGCCATCTAAATCCAGTGATGCCTCCATGAGAGCAGACCCCAAAATGCCTGAAGGCAACGGGCTGCTTGTTGGAGATGACGAGAAGCCTCCCACACCCCCAGTAACATTCGCGTCAAACAGCGCAATCATCGACCAAGCGAATGGTTCACGAAACGGCATTACTCTTGCCCATACTTGCAGTTTTTGTTTCTCATGTTCTGTCAAATGTACCTTCAAACAGAGGGAGCCAACTGGTGTTAAATAGCTCTAACCCATGTTACTTTGTATGTCCTTAAGCTGATTCGAAGCGAAATAAAAACAACAGTCATTCTTGGAAACCAATTAAATCGTGAACTATCATAATGGTTTCAGCACATAAATCGAGTACAGAACCATCTCTATGTTTTCGAAGTATCCATTTGATAGAGTTGCAACATCGCAAGAGACAGGAGAAATTCCGCTCACTTGGAAATGCATAAGACAAACTCACAGGTTCTTTACGTGTGTAGACAGAAGGAGTAACACCCCCCTCTTCTGTGACATGCTTCTCAAGCTGCACTAATAAGCAGATTGCTGGTGATGGTGCTGCCAGAGAGAAAATAGCTTTCCTTTGAGATCCACTACCTTCCTGTCGAGATCATGAGTCCAAGACACCCACCTTAAGAGAACTTGCCAATCATACATGCCATTAATGACATTAAAAACCACAAATCGTACAGATTATCAAAAGACTAGTGGTTGTTATGCAATCTTACATCTTGAAACTCAGCTGGTAAACATCGAAAGTGAAAATCCTCTGAAAGCTTTTCTCGCTTCTCCCGATGATAGACACATATTGTACCATACCACGGCTCTGGATCATGCCAAATTTAAATGTTGTAATCATTATAGAATGGAAGCAGCAATCTCAACTCCAAATTGAATTGAACTATACATGGATTAATTTTCCCAGTAGGCCCCTGTGGAACAAGTCTCACCAACAAGACCGGCTTGAATATTGAGAGATACGACCTTCACGGAAATCCTCAGCCCGTCACTGCAATCACCCAGAATCAAAGTTCATGTGGTGTAACATTGCAAGAGTCCAAACACTACCAGACGTTATATGCCTTATAGCCCTCCACGCAGGGATACGTCTCAGATTTATAAGGCGTGAAACTTTAATAATAAAAATAGGAATTACAACTACAGGTTTAACTGCACAGAGCCGCAGATATGTGATCAACACGAGAATAATAAGGTTTCTAGCCCCAAAAAGATTGGCAAATGAACTCAAAGGACCTCGATGAAAATGCCGTTGGAATCTCTGGTATTCTTTGACCACATACGGATGCCCTCGCTGCCCGCCAACTAAAAACTGGCTCGTATGAAGGTAGCGGAGCCCCACCATAATGCTGCATACATGACACGGTATCCTTACTCTGAGGAAATCATCGAAGACAATGCCCAAAAAAATCATATTACCGGAATTACAACAAGTAGTTAACCAAGCAATCCCCACACAGCCATACGTAAGAAGAATTCTCTCTTTATTTACTCTACAACCTAGCTAAACGTGAGAATTGCAAACAGCCCACACAAAGAAAGGATATGAAAGATCAAGCGTTTACAGTAGTTTAGCAGCGTGCTTCCTCTTAAATGACATTGGATTTGGAATTCCGTTCCGTAATAGCCTTTCCTCACAACGTGAGAAACATTAATGAGCACACAGTCATTTGATGATGTCTTTATTATTGGAGAAGTTGCAAGTTCTCTTTCATATAGACTGTGGTGGAAAAGGACCATGATGCAACCCATTTATTTGTCAGATCATTCCTATTTACTTAGTCTTCATTCTCTTGGGAGTACTTGGAGACTTTAAAATGTTCCTCTTTTCATGATATTTTGGGATTGCACAGATGCTTACCTTGATTTAGAGACAAAGAACTTCAAGCAAACTCATCTTAATGATAAAAAAAAATAATAATTAAACTAAGCCACACTTCTCTCCAAGGAATTAACACGAGTTGAAACAACTGATACACCTGACACTCTCATTTTCTTCCTCTATGAGGAAGTAAAAAAGGACGAATATCCATACGATGTTTCAGCAAGTTATTTGAGAACCCTAATGTGACTAGCCGTCATGTCATCATACTTCCAAAGTTAGGTGAGAGGTAAAGGGTTTGGCCAAAAGAACCTTCGGTGCTTTGGTGACGATTGAATCTGGAGCATCACTTCCTGTTGACCTCCCAGAAAATCGACCTGAAAACAACCCTCCGGAATATCTTCCAGACGTCGTTGGATCTTCATCATCTGTAGTGTCTCCATGCCTCCCAAGCCTTATGTTGGAAAGGCGTAGCTCTACGACCATAACGTATATGATTAACAGGATGGTAGGCTGTCAATAAAATATGTAGCGGTACCAAACGAAAGGAAAGTGAAATGAGAAACAACTGTGAATATGAAAATGTATCTCCCTATGACAACCTAATAACAATCATAGATCTTATCCTTCTTGAACAACCTTTAATTAATTTTCATACGAAAGGGAGACCGTGAATATGAAAATATATTTACCTGTCTCTACATCTGTGTCAGGTCCTTCAAAAATCTGGTTTTCAAATACAGGAAGTGGAACACTTTCATAATGTCCGTATTTGCTTTCATCCTTCACCCAATCTGAAGTGTAGCTTTGAAGCACCTCTTTTAAATGTGGCCATGGCTCCACATTGTCATCCAACTGCCAGCATTGACGTAGAGTAGCAAAAAATATTATTTAGTCCGCTCTTGGAAGACTAAGAGCCAATGACAAGTCTTCAAAAATATCTCTTCCATAACAAGTTAGCAGCGAAGATCGTAGCTTTCACATATTACTGCCAGAAGCTAGCAACAAATTGCTCGCTTAGAAAGTTCATGGCGGGAACCATGTGTCGAATGGCAACCTCGTAAATAGGAATCACGATTCGTCATTATACCAAACATACGAAAGCCAACAGCAAGTAGAGAAATACATCTGGAATCTCACCAAGAGCTCAACGTCTGCCGACTGCCCAGAGTTAGGATGTGGGATACGCTTAAACCGCTGCCCACTCAAGGCAATCTCACCCATCCCCTGCTAACCGATCCAAAGAACGTCTTGGTAAGTAACATTCTGGTGTTGCCAAAAGTTAAAAGCAATGAACCTCGTCGTTAATAAACTTACATATAGAAACAACACAGCCAACTCTATAGGCAATAGATGACGGTACCTACTTGATTGCTCGGACGTAGTTCAAAACTGCTCCAAATTTAAGATCCACTTAGTCCTTGTAATCAAGTTTTCTTTCCCTCTCATATTCGTGAAGCTTACATTCTCTAAATGAATTATACTTCTATGTTGGGCCTGTATGTCCCCATGCGTTTCTTACAGTACTAGGCTACTTTTATGAGATATCTTCACCACTACTAACTTGACTATAGCTAGAAACTTAATAAATGCCGATAATAAAACCAACTATTCAGCCAACACCAGCATAAGGCTCATATGAGATGATCCAAGGTAGTCAGCTACAATGTGCTCTTCGAGATTTTAATACGTTTCAGACTGTGAAGGTGCCGACTAAGTACCTAGTTCAGAGTAAGTGGCTAAATGGTATGTCCTTGGATTAATAACGATCTGCGAAGAGCTTCACTAAGAACGCCTAATGCAAGTCGATGAACATGTTGACCAGACAAACAGCCGTTGTATAACTGCATTAATCATTCAGTTAGACGGCATTCTTCTTAAATGATACCCTACTTCTCCAAGTGTGCTTCTATCGGCCTCGTGCGCTTACCTCAACTCTCTAAATTCTGCAATGAGAAAGAAACCTTTTGATTGCGCTTAATCACTAACATTTTGTACCGGGAACTACGTGTATGCGGAGGCAGTGAGCAAAAATCCAGTGTTTTTTGACATGAATGTTTAATTCTCATGCCTGATATTCCTCGCTATTACACTTGCTTTGATGGGGAGTAGGTTAGGAGCGATGCGCTCAGCATTTTGTAATCTGGTCACATATTCTAATGACGAGGATGAGCTCATGACACCATGACAATTTCCTCCTGCACAAAAGCTGCAGCACCCTGATTTAACAACAAGTTAATGTTTTAATAAGAAGATCCGCGTCTTAGACAATGTAACATTGTCTGAACAACATGACCTGTGATGCAAGCCATAGGAGTGAATTGATTAAGCTAATCTTTTGACTGGAGGGAAACTGCAAACTAAAACCAGCTTTTACATTCCTGGGATGGGGTAGACGACGAGCATCCCGTTCTAAAGCACAGACCATACTGCATGAGAAACTCTCCTGCAAGGCTTTCTTAGTAACCATGAAGAGCTCTTAGAGCTAAACTTCCAGCTCTAGTTGTTCTAAGTTTTAAAGAGGCGAGAAAGACGGAGGTAAGTATGCTAAAGTGACCAACTTGTGGAGCCTGAGCGCAAAGATAAGTTAAATTAGGAAATTGCCCTTGTCAGATACGACCTAAAAGGTTTGATCAGCTCATTGTTTGAGAGATAGGAATGACAGAGAAAATCCTGCTTGATCATCAAGAGGAACAAGAACCACAAATCTGCTGAGCTGATTTCTATCAACAACGCTCTTCTCCAAACTAACATCACCATTTCCTATGCATTTGAGACAAAATTTAACCAGCAATTCTTTGAAGAATGCGAATTCAGACAAAGATTGCCAGCTGCTCTAAGGAATTAGCACACACTACAAAGTTAAGGTCCAAATTGACATACTTCCCGCGATTGATAAATTCACCTCACCCTCAACCACACTGACCAGAAGGACCAGGGATTACTCGCATCCAAAATTTGATGGAGAGGAAATTTGCGGAGATATAATAATTGAAAAAACAAAAAACAAAAAACAAAAACAAAAACAAAACAAAACAAACAAGAATACAAATTATAGGTGAGAAAGAAATTAGTAAACAATGCAGGGAGAACACTTAATTGGAAAAGATGCCTTTGACACTGGCTACCTGCACTTCTATGAAGAAAAACAAAATCATTAATTGACAAAATCCAATACGACGCTGCGTAGTCTTTTCCGATAGCCCCCGCTAAACAACCGCATTACGAAGGATTCCTTTCGAGGTACATTAGAGAGGTAAAGAAAGCGACACCTCCACCACAACCTAAACGCAACACACCGTAATAGGAAATTTATAAAAAAATAAAAAAATAAAAAAATAAACAATCAAACAAACAAAACAAACAAAAACCCTAAAACCCTAAAAAACCAATGCAGGCACACAATGACGATACCGAGAACTCCATCATACCAAAAACGAACATCCTTCTTCCAGAAAACCACAATCCAGACCTCGGGAAGAAAAAACCATTAAATTAAAATTAAATTTTAAAACGAAATCAACTCAAATTTTAATCATGATCGAGGTCGAAATCAAATGTTTGAAATCATCGGAAAAATCCACGCAACAGACCTCGTCTCTCGAATCATGAACAGTAGGCACCGGCAGAACACTTTCTCAGCTCCCAAAGTCTCCGAAACCTGCTCCCATGAAAATGCGGCTACCAGAGGCCTCCCCGCGCCATTCCCAGCCGTGTAAAGCACAGCCGAACGAGAACGAGAAGGGGAACCAGGAGGAAGCAGGCCCACCGGAGGCAGAAAACCAGCCCGGCCTCAGGGCGACGCAGATCGGTGGAGCTCGATGCCTGCGCATTCCTCCATAGCCGCTCCTACTCTGCTCTGCCTATGCTCGGGCAGGGCAGGGCTGGGCACGGCAGGGCAGGGCTGGGCAGGGCCGGGCAGGTTAGGGAAGGGCAGCCAGCCTATCTTCCAAAAAGTCCCCCCACCCCCTCCCGTCTGCCCTCTGTCTCTCATTGAGGGCTTTGCCCTTGGCCCCTGGAATGTCCGACGTGGCAGTATTGGGACCTGAGTTCACCGACGTCTGCCCCGTTTGAAGGGAGGAGGGGGGGGGGTTCGTATCGACCAACGAGGATCTAGTTTGTATGTGGCCTCGTGGAGGGGGAATCTCTGGCTTATAACTACCATTGTTGATTGGTAATGAAGAATAAGAGCACCCCCGCCCACCCCTCTTTCATTTATTTATTTATTTATTTATTCCCTCCTATAGATATTTATTTATTTATTTATTCCCTCCTGTAGATATTTATTTATTTATTTATTCCCTCCTGTAGATATTTATCTATTTATTTATTCCCTCCTATAGATATTTATCTATTTATTTATTCCTCCCCCCCCCCATTTACTGTATTCTTATCATTAATATTATTATTATTATTCAACCTCTTTAGTATGTTTGTGTGCGTGGGTTGTATACGTTACACTATGATCGTGACACTTGATTTTCCATTATTGCACTAGTGCATTGTTTTTGATGGGTGGTGTGAGTCGTTGTTTTTATTTCTATCAGAATAAAATATATGTGTGATAATTATTAATGACATTTTTTTTTTTCCCGAAGTACCCAATGGAAACCACGGCTCTGCACTGTGCTAAGTATGTGTTGAAATCCACTAAATACGTTTTTTCTTCTTCAATAAATCTATTAAAAATTAAATATGTATTATGTTTATTTCTCTATTTTTAATTTTCTTCATTTTTCATCTTACATTCGAAATAGAACCGATTTTCTGCAAAATCCAGGAAATAGGTGTAGGAGTTTTAACAAAAGATCCAATCTGTTATAGGGATTATGAATTCCACACTATCAAAAATCGATAGAACATATTCAAAAAAATATCATTGGAATACTAGTTCTTGTGAAAATTAACCTAGAAATAAAAACTCAACAAAAATATTTTACCGTTAAAACACTTCAAAACCCCAAAGTTTCTATTTTCTGTACAATAATACTCAAGAAAAATTTAGAATTAAACTTAGAAATTATTATATGAAATTGGTTCTTTAACAAAGTAAGAATAAAACCATAAAAGAGAAAAAAATGTTAATTATTTAATTTAAAAACCTGACCAAAAAATTCCCAAATATTTTGGATTTAATTATTGTACTTTAACTTCTTTTTACAACTTCTAGGAATATTTGAATTAAAATAGGCATCATAAAGTATGTTATTAACTAATCTTCTTAACTAATGTTCTTAAATACATTAAAGTTTAAGAGATATTTATGAAATTAACAAGTATCAAAATTTATATTTGATTTAAAGAAGATTCTAAGCAAAATTGAATGCAAGGTTGGGGTGTTACATTCCAATTGACATGCAAAAAAATGATTTTTCAGATTTTTACCATGAAACAAAGTATAATAAAGATTTATAAGAGATTTATAAACTTTTATCAACTTATAAAAGTAAATTGTTATTACAAGTGTAAAATTATCACTAATGTATGAATACAAAAGGATATACAAATCTTTTGATATACACTATTTTTCAAATATCTTTTATGTAAATACAACATTAAGCATTACATCTTTTATGTAAATACAACATTAAACATGTCTAGAGTACTTATTCTCAATTTATTTTTTTGACATAATGCTGTATGTATGTATGTATGTATGTATTCAATTTTATAAGACATCAAGTGAAGGTATATATGTTTATATTAATATTTAAAAATATACACATTATTGATTTAAGTACAAAGAAATCATTTTTATAACATATAATATTAAAAACATGATAAGATTAATTGATTAATATATAATATTTAGAAATTTATTGATATTTTAAAGATCAAATATAAAATTGAAAATTTAATAATGATATATCTAAGAAGTTTGATTTTTTATACAAATATTTGATTGTAGTTGTAAAATAGACATTTACTAAGAAATTCATATTAAATTATATTATTTGAAATATATATATACATATATAGGAAAATATTAAAATAATCCAAGATTTTATTAAACTGATCTACCTATCTTAACCATCATAAAAATAAAATAAAACCTCAATATTTATTTTTTTATTATTAAATCTACAACCAATGAAAACCAACCACATTCCTCATTATCATAATCTTCATCATTTTTACAATTATGGCAGCTACATAATCTCTTGACTCTTTAATAAAAAAATATTTTTTTCCTTAAAAAGAAGCTAGAGACAATTTTGGATTTAATCTTTGTGCCATGCCTCCTATCTCCTTCTTATATTGAACTTTGCACTCAGAGTATCTCAATACAATATACCATATATATTGATCAAAGTATTCTATAAAGAGTTTTTTTTCTTTGTTTACCAATTCATAGCTCATTCTACTTGGCTCATTCCACTTGTTCATTATAGGTCATGATATGGATTGCAATTCTATCAAAGTTTTATAAGAAATACAAAGATTTGACCTATAAATGGCCTTAATCATATACTATAGGATTTTTCTAGTTGTTAACTCTTTGTTCACTTCTTTTAAACTTTTTGTATATATGTCATTTCAAGTTTTGATATTGTTAATATTAGGAGTCAAAATAGTATTAGTAGTGATATTTTTAAATCATTTGAGTAGTATTTTAGGATACAATACATTTTTATCTTAGCTTGAATATTATTTGAAAGCATCAAGATATAAGTATTTTTCTTTACGTTTTGCCTTTCTATGTATATGGATGTATTGCACTTATGTGAAATTCCACCCTTTTTATTGATGAAAAAAACTTACTTATTTATATCAATAATTATTTTTGACTGCTACAAAATTTGTTATAAGTAGAACAAATATTCTAACTATAATAATTCAACAAACTATAGTTGTTATTGCCACTACAAAGCATGACAATATGCATTTTATAATTATCTTTTTTAAACTATCATTGTAATATTCTTCTTATCAAGTACACTAGAACTTTTGATTTATCATTTGTTGCAACTCTTATTCAATACAAACATGACAATAAGTTTAGTCTTATCTTAATTGCCACTTTTTTTTGTCTCTCTTTTGTAAGCTATTTTGTTTTTTATTTCCAAAGTCATGTATCATATGACAGTATGTAGATAGAGACAATGTTTAAGCACACCAAATAATTGAGAATTTTAGTTGAGTTGATTGAAGAGCTACAATAAGATGGGAGTTACAAGAATTTGGACTATTGGACGTAAATAAAGATATGGAAGCAAAAAATGGTATGGAATGAAGAGTGGAGGTGTAAAAGAGCTAAGCCAATAAAAAGAGTAGCAACAAAAATGGAGATGTAGTGGGCATAAAGAATAGAAAGGAGATGTCATTATCATTGCTATTTATAATTGTAGCAACAAGTATCCATAGCATCATCATTTTGTTTTATATTGGCATATCACATGATAAGCATGGTGATTAAAAAGAAATAAGATAGACCTAGACTATGGTGTGGATACAATTTGATAGCCATGTTGGTGATTGGAGAAGAAGGCATACTAATATACATTGGTACAAGGTTGATTTTGTTTGAGAGTGCAATTGCAAATTATTTTGCAATAGATAATGATGTTGTAGGTGATGATCTTAAGGTAGGTCATCTTTACTATATTTTGATTTTTGGAAGGTGAATGTAGAATTAAGCTTAGATATTTTTTTTGAGTCATGTCATATTTGATATCCAAAAGATTTTATTGATGAAAGATGTGTTGGATTTTTAGAATTTTATGATTTTATGATCTAGAATTGAATATTGGAGCCGATTTTGCTCATGTAAAAAAATTTAGGTCGTGCAAAAGAATTTTAGGGCATTTAACAAAAAATATTAAATACCTTGGTTTAATAGTTGCTAATTTGGAAATGAATTTACATATACAACATTAATATTATTTCATTAATTTATTTCTTTAATAATTTAATTTATATTTTTTATTGAATATTTTTGTACTCTATGGCTATTTGTATAATTGATGCAATTAATTTGCTTCAATGGCCATAAAGCACAAAATTATGGCGATTGATAATACCTATAATGAATGTAATTGTGGTCTCTTAGCTTTTAGAGTTCTTTCAATGATTTTTTTGTAGTTTTTATATATAGGCATATACTAAAGAATTAACTCGGATTATAAAACAACAATAGGAAAGAAATGATAGCACCAATGGTAGTAGTAGGTTATTTAATGCTTTGCAAAAAAATATCATAAATGTTCTTGCATACATGTTATTTCTATAATATTATATTACATATAAAAAGAATATATAAGACTGCGCATGTAAGTTAGTCTAAATTTGATGAATAAATGTAATTATTTGTAAATTTGTGTAAGAGCTATAAGTATATATTTTGTACAATCATGAATATAAATCTTTCTTCATATTACTAAATAACCTAATTTTTCACCATTCACATACTAGCTATATCTAAATTATACATATAGATAGTTATCAGGGCATGATAATTTAAGTAGAATAAGTGCACATATTGAATCTGCCTCTTTTGCAATTTTTACAATGTTAAACATTTTTTGCCACTTCAACAACTTTAAATTGTGACGGTATATGTTGTATAGAAGATTCAACACCAAATTGTCTTGTAAAGCTAGGTGCTCCGTGCAATCGATTCGTTAGACAACTAACTATTAGATTTTCTAATCTCATAATTGTTAATGCAAGCTCCAAAAGTTGACTACACAGTCTTTTTTGTTAGTAGAAGGATAACAACTTAAATATTTAACTAATAACATTAAAGACAAAGTGAAGATCTTTAGAAGATGCAAATGAATTTTTTGGTAGTATTGAAGGTATTAAAGCAACAATATTCACAAAATAATATTGAAAATAAAAATCTTCTACTGTCAAAATACCTC